CAGCGAATTGCAACGAACATATCTTTAATCACATAAATTCTTAATTTGCCGATCACTTGTCGCCTCACCGAACCGAGTTGTGTGTAAATAAAGCTTAACAACAAATTTAAACACTTGATATAATAATTTTTAAAATAGCTCTACTAAATACAAGTTGTTTTTTAAATGTGCACCGAATTTTCAAGAGCATAAGCATTAAATGACATTACAAATATTTAGGAATTGATTGATATACTTGGGCAAAATATAAAGAGCTGCTCAAAGGGTACTTTTATGAAAACTTTTTCTACTCAAAAAGTAATTTTTGGGAAAAAAGAGCTTATTATTTCAAGAAAATATATATTTATATAAGCGATACAACATACAACCAACTACTTTTCGACTGATCGTTCCTGCAAAAGAAAGCTGTCCTTGTGTTTAAAACTGGGAGAAAAGTTCGCATAGAAATAGACAGACAATCGGACATGGATATATCAATTTGTCATGGGGTCGGAGATCTCTCCTTCGCATTTCTTGAAACAATTTTAATGCCCTCTACTACAAAAATACTTTTGCTAATAATGTACGATTTAACATAAATCTGAAAAATTGTAAAGCATCTTTGATTTCTGTGCTTCAAATTCGGCAAACACTGGCATTTTAAAGCAAATAAACAATTAATTATGGCCACGGAAATGCTGCACACTTCTACATGTGGCATTTCCGTTAGCATATGGTTAATATCTTCCAAATACCATATATACCATTTTAATTCCCCCGCAGTAACCCTTGGGCTCGCAACTCTTCAGGCGGACACATTTACAACATGCTCGACGGTATTTTGTTTATGCAAATGCGAACAATTTTGTGGCTTTGTGGGGGAAATCCAAACAATTGGGCTTTGCATAAACGTAAATAAACTATTTTTACACATTATTTGCACATTTTTAAAGTTTGTAATTGCTTTTCTATTCGTGTGTGTGTGTGTGTGTGCGTGTGTTTGTGTGTGTGCAACTAGGCCAACTTCTTAGACATAACGGAGACAGCTTCAAACTTTTACTAACTGTTTCTGCAACTTTTACTCTTCTGCTGTCTTTGAGTAATGGCTTAAAAAAGTTTTTCACGCCCAATAAAATTGCTAAGAAATATACATAAATCGTTAAAAGTTTGCAACTTAAATATAGATGTATTTCTATTCAGTTGAGCGCAATTTAACTGCGCAGAGCTCATTAGAGCAGCCGAAAAAAAAGAGCGTAAATAATAATCAGCTGCCGCCGCATCATTATAATTATGTTCATTAACTTACTGACTGAGTGAACCATTGAAAAATATTTGTATACAAAAGACTGCGGATCGTCTTTTTTGTTTTTTTGTTTTTTGTTATTGTTTGTTTTCTTTTTGGTCGTTCTTTGAATAATTTATGTTGCTTGGTCTTTAGCTTTGCCCGTGGGTTATTATACCCTAGACCCATTCAAAATGTTTAACGGGGGTATTATGTTTTTGTGCAAATGTATGTAAAAGGACTTAGAAGGCATCGCAGCGGCCATAAAGTATCGATCAGGCTCTAAAGCCCACTCGATCGCAAGGATCTCACTACCAAAAAGAGCTAGAGACTTGAAACGTAGGTCCTCCAATATGCTTGTTGAATAGTATAAACAGATCAAGTATTTTCCATTTTATAGCAACCCCCCACATTTTACCTAGAGCGGCATTTGGTATTGGTAGTAGAAGGTTCAGGGTATTCCCTAGTCGGGCACTTCCGTCTAGAGTACTCTTAGTTGTATTCTTGAGCATTTTCAGCTTTGTTGTTTCTTTGCTTTGTCGATTGGTTTTTACATGGTTAGAAATGGAAATTTACAAGATACCCAAAAGTCAATCAACCTAAACGCTTCTGTCGTTTATAAAGGTCTTAGCCCACATTTCTCTGTTAATTGTTCTTGGCATTTCGCCATGCTTTGTGTGTGGCTTGATCGTGTGTAAATATCGAATATTTCTATGCTTTTACTTTTTATTTCCATATGAATTAGTTCCCCAATTGTTTTAGGTATTTTAAAACTAAACAATTCTAATTGCGTATATCTTAAATTATGGGTTATTTCCGCCTGGCCTAAATCTTCTGTGTACTTAGTTTATATACGATCGAATGCAATTATTGCATAAGTTCACAGCTTGAAATTTACATTTTTGGGATAATGGATAGTTGTTTTTATTTATTTACTATGCCTACAGGCACGCCTCACAAAAGTTTTAGGCAATAGCTAGTATAAATTGTTTTTAATAAATAAAAACAAAATTTATATATTGGAACGGAAGTTGTGACTTACATACTTTAAAATTAATTGCAAATAGTTTTAGGTGACCTATCGATATAAAAAACTAACGATTTATAAAAACAGAAAAGAAATGTACATTGTTGGTCTAGATATATTTGACATCACGGCTGAGTTAATAAAGCCATGAGCATCTGCCGGTCTTGCCTATGAGGGTTGGGCAGATTCGAATAATCTTTAATTTTCGGCCGCAGATAGCGATTTATATACACTTGTAGAGGGTATTATAATATTATCATAAAATGTGTAACGCATAGCAGGAGACATGTCCGATCTCATAAAGTACATATTTTAGATCAGCATCAACAGCTGGTTTAATATAGGCAAGTCCGTCTGCCCATACGTCTGTCGGTTCGTCCGCCTGTATCAAAACGAAGTCCGCTTTTTTATTGCGGGCTTTACATATGTCGGAACCGACAGATCGGACAACTATATCATACAGATGCTATATTCTGTTTCCATTATCAAACTTAGCTATTTCGAGCTTGACTTTTCTCGCACAACTGCAAAACCGTAAGCCAAATGTATACAAGGGTATTATATCCTCGGCATTTTCTTCTTTCGCGTTTGTTGTTTATTTTTATTTATTTTGTATTGTATGTAGCTTTAATTTGTGTTATCTGGTATTTGGTTTCAAGTGCATTCTTCTTTCTTATCTTAGCAACAATTAGCGAAAGTATTTGTTGATTAGAAACATTTATAATGCACACATGAATTGTGATTTTACAGAACAAAGAAAATAACAAAAATAAAAAAACTTATCAACATTTTTGGGTATACATTTATTTTTGGAATCACACCATACTTATATAGATATGCGTACACATATACGTACGTGTATACATATGTACTCTTAATTGTTAACTAGTTTTCAAATCAAATCAAAAAAAAAAAAAAAGAAAAAGAAAATGCCGATAAAGCAAAAACTGCTTTTGGTTGCCTTTAATTTATTCCCATTGCGTCGGTTTTTGAAACACCAAATTCAGGTTTAATTAATTTGCAAGACGAGTAGGTAGCCAGGCAAAAATTTTGGCCATAACAGCTTTATTTTGGACAACAAATTTGTGACCATCAAAATAAATATACACACATGTGTATGGAAGCTGGACAAAATTCATTTTTGGCCTTAAAACAATTTAGAGAATTAGAGAACAATTTTTCTCTGTTGCCCTATTGAGATATTTCCTTTGTTAGTGTTGATTTTTAAATAAGCTTATGTAAAAAATTATTTGAAAACTAGTTTTTAAAAATTATATATCAATAAACTTGTGACGTACAAGTAAAACCAGACAAAATTTACGCATACAGCTTTTAGAATTGAGAATTAACGATTTTAGAATGTTTTTCTGGGTGATAATAAACTTACTTGTCCCATTAAATATTTAAGTATTAAAATATACTTACAAGCTATTAGAAATCTCTTAAGTTTCTATCTTTTTTTCATTCATTCTTCATTTGTTTTATTTTCTTTGGGTGTGAGATTTATTAAGATAAGTCTGCAAAATGTTGCAATTTCATTGCTTAACCGTATATATAGAGCCTAATATATACTATACTTATGTGACTTTCTGTTGCTTGCAAATTGCTCAACCTTGAACTAATTTCTATTTAAATAATCTTTTGTCAAGTTTTCATCTGCAAAAAATTTATTTGAAAATTTCAAGAAAAACCCAATTTTTTTTAATTATCATTTATTTCAATGCGTAATCGAATTTGCCATGCATTGTAAATTGCGGCAACCAAATTAACTATAAATTGTTGACATTCGAATGCAGCACAAGTCTGTCAAATTACGTGAGAACTTGTTTGTTTGTTTGATTCTCCATAATTTGATTTGTACAAATTGCAGAAAATTTTCCATTTTGAAAAATATTGGTATTTTGTTGCGTGAAATCTATTTTCGTTGCATATTATAGACATGCGTTTGGCCAGACGCCAGATTTGAGAGAACCACCACGCACTATGTCATATTTGTTTTGTACGGAAACAGGGATTTCGGGGTACGATTTTGATGGGGCATTATGGGTATGCTTAGACAGCTGCCGCTTCGTGACAGCCCAGAAGCCATTCGGCTAGCCATCGGAGCTGCACTCTTGCCCAAAACTGAATCACAGCCGTATTTATTGTTCTTTGTCCATTTCGATTTGTTAATTATTTACGAATTGCTGTTTTTTAATGCATTGTTTATGCTTTCAATTTGGTGTGCTAAGAATTAAATGAAGGTAATCAAGAAAATCTGTTGAAAATGAGTAAATGTTTATGTTAACAAATTGTGCGGCTGTTGCTTGACGCACAAGGGAAAAGGTTAATAACATTTTATATTAATTATTACAAAGTTGAGTTTTAAAAGTTCAATTTTACGTCGTATCTCAGCTGTTAGCATGATGTCATCGTTGTGTTAATTTCAGTTAATACACACTCTAAATTACTGATAATTCAATTAATGCAAACATTAGCTACATGTGTCGGCAACTTTCTGACCTGGGTATCCACTTACTGGAAAATGTATCTTATCGCTTGTCTTTAGACGGTATCTTGTTTGTGGGCGTCGCCTTTCAATGCCGCCGTCTTCGGCGACTCTTGGCAATTTTCGCTTGTCTTACGTTTAATTACAACAACATCGAAACTGTATACACAATTTTCTTATGTTTTCCTTTCGACATTCTCTTTTTTTTTTCATTTTCATTGCAGAGGAGCAAGAACGTGTGCAGAAGAAGACATTCACTAATTGGATTAATTCATACCTATTGAAGGTGAGTTATTTGTCTTTTCAATGTCTTCGCATCAGTTTAATCGATGCGAAGCTCAATTTATTTTTGTTATCTACATTCTCTGGCATTGAAATTTGCATGTCGATTTGCATATTAGCTAAAAACAAAACGTGCGAAATCGGGAATTGCGCGCGGCCATGAAAATTATTTGTTGAGACGGGGAGATGGGGTGTCTCTGCCCCGTTTATATTTTTAAGCGTTAAACATTTCGCATTAATAAATTATATAATTTTTTTAAAATTGGCCTGCTGCCTTGTGAGATGGCCAAGACACTTTTGCGTGCACCCAACTGGCAATTGGCAATTGTCAATGCCAAGTTTAGTTAGATTTGCAGCTGACAAGCGACCGTCTTCTAGCCCACTTTCACCTGGCCATATCCTTTCTAATTTAAACACCTTACAGCGCCAATTTTGCGTTTATCCATTCACTTTATTAATTGCCAGACATAACGAGCCTAGTTACAGCTGTCAGCTGAGGCAACGTCAGCTCGGTGTCAGGACTGGATCATGGCCAGACAAGTGTACAAATCAAATTGAAATGTATATATGGTAATTTAGCTGACCAGACGAGGCATATGACATAATACTTCGATAGGGTCTTAAATATATACACTGCCTGCAAAAAATAGTATAAGAAACAATGATCTACTTGGAAGTATCCTAGACTAGAAGATACAGGGTACCCAGAGCCAAGCTAGCTAAGCAACATTAAGTCAAGTCTAAAAAACGACATAGATCGATATTATAGTAAGAGAAGAGATATATAAAGAAATAATAAACGTTTCTGTAGTGTAATATTTAATTTTTGTAAATCTGAAGACAAACCGAATCACCTGTTCCTCCAAATAAAGTGTATAATTATATATAAACTTTATTTGAACAGATGTATATATTCTTTATATGCTCTGTCTGTTTTATTACCTAATGCCATGATGAGATACAAATTCCAAACTATGAAATTTTATTAAATTGTCTTTAAAACTAAGGGACCAATTTGCAGAGAACCGAACAGTTAGACGTATGGTAAATTTTTCATATATGCTACAATAGAATATTAAGCTTCTAAAATTTAAGGAAAAGCTTTTGTAGTTATTGAGATCAACGCCTTAACACAGACCCGAACTTGGTATATTTTATGCAGACGGACCTTTTGTGTATTTCATTAATTTCTACATTTTATGGTACACTTTGCTCTTAAATTGAGAGTTTTTTAAATCCAAAGACTCACTAACTTAGCGATATCAACACAGATCACACATGCGGACAGACCGACCCACCCTTTCATCCTGATCAAACTAATATGTATACTTTATGTGGTCGTAGCTACTTTCCCCAGTCTGTTTAATATATTTGCACAGAAATACCGAATATAAAATTTGTGCCACACCTACAAATCGCGTACAAAATCTACAGTGTATAATTATTTAATTTATTCGCTGAAAAATTCTTAAAGGATTTAAAATATTATTACCACGCCCACTTCGAACAGTCGAAATTAGGAGCACTTTTTCCACCTGCTCATTGCAATTATAACACCTGAAACCGAAGCATTTCGCAGTCAGTAGATGCCGACTGGTTGATTCTAAAAATCTTAATTAGAGAGCAACATTGATTTATTTCGACTTTAGTAGATCCATAATAAATTTCAAGTAAAAGGCGTGCTCATGAAAGTGGGTACTCACTGTACACACCCACAAAATTCAGTCAAAGCGAGTCATGCTCGTGTCGGGCATTGAGTTGTCAGCCGGAGGGCACATGGCGAGAGAAACATGCCGAAAAATTCGGCAAGTGACAATGTGGCAGGCGTGTGATATTGCTATTGTTATTGTCATTGTTATTGTTGGCTTGAGCGCTTAAATTAGTTAATAAATTTTAATCAAATTCTGTGAACAATGACCACAGCCTGTATTCGGGTCGCCAACTGAATGAGCGAGTGTGTGACGTAACTGGTTCACCTTGAACTGAAATACTTAGTTAAACAAAAATTTTTCTTGTTTTTGGTCCACCTTTGCCACTGTCAAATGTATCCAGCCACAAATTGTATTAAAGAAGGCGTACTAATATCTGTTACATACACACGCTGTTAGGTGTTGGCACTCAAGGCGCAAATTGACGGATGCTCAATAAACAAATATAAATTTAAAAAAATAATAAATTACATTTAGTTAGCACGTCGCACTGGCAACATTCTTCTCATGTGTATCGACAAGCTCATATATTTCCTGCGATGGAAATGTGCTAATGAAGTGTTGTGCAATTGCGAAAAATTATTGAACAAATTGCTATTGTCATTTTGCATACTAAATGACTCATTTGCATATTGCATAACGGGCTACAGTTCTGCAGTTGGCGAAAAATATGACTTCAATCAATGATCTCATGACCTGCCCACGCTTTTTATTAAAGGTTCCCCATTTCCTCGGCACGTCTGCAATAAATTTCAGCGCTGTCAACTTGCGAGAAGCCAAAAAAAGCTAAACGTTTTTTTAAAGCTAAATTTGAGGTACATCAAGTATCTTTTCCCATGCTCTTCATAAATCATGAAATATTGCATTCGCAATTTATAATTCTTGTTCCCACAATAACAAATTGTTGTAAATTTATGATTGCACCAATATTTTTTGCACCTACTCATTACCATATTAATGCTAATGTTATGCTGAAAATATTTTTATGAATTACCCAAATGCAACTAAGCGACAGTCACATATTGTCCTCAAATTCCAAAAACTTTTTTTTATATAGATATTATACTAGAGGATATTTAACCTTGAAAGTATCTAGACTGTAGACTATATTATGTATCTCTGCCTCTCGAACTCTCATAATCTGACAATACGGTTTTTAGCTTTTTCCTAAATTCAAATATCTGTGGAGAAAAAAGGCGCTTTGCTCAACACTGGCCGTATGTATCTGCAACTCCTTTTATTGCCAGTCACTTTGTCGAATGAACGCTTTACGACTTTGGTTCTTTCTGTTTGGCTGGCTTATCGAGTTGCATTGCCCGCAATGGCATTCAAAGCCTGTGGAACTGGTTTTATGGCCGGCCGGCAAAAATTTTGTACATATGCTCGGGCCAAAGATATACAAGAAATGCCGGCTCACGTCTGCAGATTGAAGTTGTATTAAAAGATAACACATTAGACGCCATAACGAAAATGTCGAGTGCTCTAAGGAAAAGTGCATTAAATCAACGTTCGGTCTAAAAGTAAGTCAGTGGGCGTTGCATATTGTTTGCGTGGGCTGCGGATTGCCGGTTGGGGCTTGTGCGGGTTAATGGCAGCTGACGCTGCCGCTGCCACTCCGGTCCGGGCCAAGACTGTCCGGGCCACACATGCAATGGAACTGTTGCTGTCATTAATGCAGCATTGTTGCCTGACTATGCTCCAAGCACATTTTTTATAGGCCAACGCATGTCTGGCTATGAACTTGGCTTGCACGTTTCTATTTTTTCTTTTGTTTAACATTTTGCATGCTTTGAGCCAGAGTCGATCCATGTTGCCAGCGGCTTGTGGAATTTCTCGCATTGGCAAATTCCATAGACGTCTCGGGTGCGTGCCCAGCAGTTGACTTAAAGGTTATTCTTAGAACCAACGCACAGTAGACAATTGCAAAGAGTTGGTTTGTCTACGAATACCATATGACGATGGCACGATCTATGTTTGCTTACCGCTCAAATAATGCAAAGTTCTCGACTCTATGCGCTAGATGATATCTATTTATATTCTACAGAGGCTTAGGAAGGTAAAACCTAGCCGTGTTCATGCTGAATAAGTAAATGCGTAGCTCAATTAACCGCAGAAAAAAGATATGTGTTTTTCTATCTGGTTTAACTCATCATTTTGCGTTTTAAGTATATTTTTTAAAATTCTCTTAGTGTTCCACTCTGTTTTCACTCGTGAATATGTAAAACTTTCAAAAGCTATCCAATAAAAAACATTTCTTTCTGCAGAGATCTTTGAAAAAGATATTTTTACTGATTGAATGAATAAACAACAATTGATTTCTTTAACAACTTTTCATCTACTTTCCATATACAAGTATGGAACTTTCTTAAATACAATCATTGTTTAGGAAACTGATTTTTCAATGTAGCTACATAGAGAACAGAAACAAATTATACTGCAAAGGAACTTAAAGGAGGAACAATTTCATAGACATAGTGTTAAGATAAGGAATCAAACATATAAAGAAAAATTGTTAGCGCCAGTGTGGAAAATAAACAAGAAACAAACATGACAAGACAAAAAGCTGTTATAAAAGTTTGACACAATTGCCAGACAACACCATGAGTTGTGCAGAGTTGTGGAAATTGAGGCGTTTGCCGAGAAACGAGCGGAAATACAGAAATTGAATTCGCATTGTAAGTAGCATAGTTTCTTGAAGAAGTTGCATTAAAACAAAACAAAACCAACAACTTTTGCGACTCGAAACAGACAAAAACTTTGCCCGACATTTGCATGTCCGCAACAGTTGAGGCCAAGTATTCACAAACTATTCGCCTTGATTTTCGCTCAACCAAACGGGCAGGGCTCAATTAAATTGTACACTCAAATTATAGTGCCTGGCTGGGCTTGAATTGCTTTTGTTTTCGTCGGTCGGTGCCATTTCCGCCGTAATGTCATTAACTTAAATTGCAATCTTTGCGGTGAATCCGGCTTAAATGCCGGCGCGTGCCACTCGACAATTTGTCTAGCAAGGCAGCTAAACAAATTAACGCAAAGCCTAACCATATCAATTATTTAAATGAATTAAATGCATTTTACGTTAATTATTTATCTGCTTTTCTGTCATCTTCTGGCGACAAATGCGAAATCGTTTCACGACGAATTCGTCAGTGTGCGATTTGATTAATTAGACGCATTGACGAAATCGTTTCAGTATTCACGCTTCATTAATTACATTGATTGAGTTATGCATTGCATTTTTGACAGCACAACATGTGCAGTAAACATACATACACTACATATGTATATATATAAGTATAAATGCACATATATATGTTGGCATATTCATTATGCACATACTTAATGTGCTCATAAAAAGCCCATTAAATGCTGCAACAAAAGGCACTTCAAAGTCGGTGTCGACGTCTGGTCATTTGGCTTTAGTGCTCATTAAATCATGCACATGTGTGTAAACTCATAAATATATATATATGTATGTATATACCAATCATATATATATACATTACATTTTCAACCATTTTTACCATAACCCAATCTTATTCATAAATTTCCATGCATTTTTATTTTACAATAATTCTTGTATGTAAAACAGTTAGATACTTATTCATAATGTGCGGAAATGGGTATATTGGTTTGACATAAGTGTTATGCAACAAGCAGTGGGAAGCTTCTTCGATCCTAGAAAGAAAATATTGGTCAGAAAATATTGGTTTAATTTGCTCATATCCCTAAGTCTGTTGGTATGTCCGTCTCTACGTCCGTATAAGCTCGGAATCTTCAAGATTTAGGGAACTAAAATGTAGAACTTAGGACTCCTATTTTTCATTTATATGTCATTCTTATAGACAGTTAATAAATAATGTCTTTTCTATAGTATGTTAAGAATAAGCAGAAACGTACTAGTATAATGTAGCAATTGGGTCTCCAATCTCACTTAAACATTTAAATAATAAAATTTGAAATAAAAATTCTGATTGTTTCTTTTCAGCGTGTTCCACCGCTTCGTATTGATGATTTAATCAATGATTTACGTGATGGTACGAAACTCATTGCACTGCTCGAAGTGCTGTCCGGCGAACGATTGCCCGTGGAGAAGGGACGCGTCTTGAGACGTCCACATTTCCTCAGCAATGCGAATACGGCCCTACAATTTTTAGCCAGCAAACGCATCAAATTGGTCAATATTAATCCCGCAGATCTGGTGGATGGGAGACCACCAGTTGTGTTGGGTCTGATATGGACGATCATATTGTACTTCCAGGTGAGTTAGAATCCTAAACAAACTATCAGCTATATTTAACAAACACACACAGTGCACAGTTTCTCACCGAAAATGGGAGCACTAGAACAAAATAAATTGGTTGCTAGCGGTACACTTTTTGTCACCCTGATTTTAGACCACCAACTTATGAATCACCAAATAGCTATTCACAATGCCAATTATAAATGTAATTAACCCTATATATCTTCTTTTTTGTACTTTATTTAAAAAAAACAAAAATTAAAATCTGAATCTAACTAAAAAAAAAAATAAATAATAAAAACAAGCTTCGTAAAAAGAGGCGGAAAAACTTAGTTGTAGTTATAAATTATGCGCCACAGGTAGGTTGAGATCGTTGTAAAGAGTTGTTGGTGTTGTCCTACATAATTTCATATTTTTCTTTTTGGTAGTTCAATTCTTAAGTTGGTAGTCCCAATTATTAAAGCACCCAAAACTTATGATTTGACCATTGAGTGTCTTTGATTGAATTTTGTAGTATGTATTTCTAATCTTGAACCTTTCAACTTTCACAGATCGAGGAGAATAGCCGCAACCTAGAATATTTGGGTCATGGTATTGGCGGTTCGGTTAGCTCCCTCGACAGTGTTGGCAATCACAAGGCTGGCAGTGATCTTAGGGCTGAGAAATGGAAGCAAGGCGCCAAGAAAACGCTACTCAACTGGGTAACAAATGCCTTGCCAAAGTGAGTACAAGCAGCAAATCTAATTTTATATTATGATTCATAATTAATGTATATTTATTTTTTGCAGAGACATTGGTGTAGAGGTTAAGGATTTCGGCGCCAGCTGGAGAGATGGTGTCGCCTTCCTCGCACTTATCGATGCAATTAAAGCGAATCTGGTCAATTTAGCTGAGCTAAAGAAGACCAGCAATCGTCAGCGTTTGGAAACTGCTTTCGATGTGGCCGAAAGCAAATTGGGCATTGCCAAACTATTGGACGCTGAGGATGTGGACGTACCCAAGCCGGATGAGAAGAGCATAATGACATATGTGGCGCAATTCTTGCACAAGTATCCTGAACCAAAGGTATGCATATTTAAATATATAAAACTTTTTGTGTTGATTGATTGACTGACCGACAGACGCAGACCAAACCGTATAGAAAGCTGAAAGCTGAATAGAAAAAATTCCATTTGTGGATTTTAGATTTATTTAGATTTTCAAAATGCATTTTAACCTATTTAAATGTATATTTTATTAGGGTGCATCCCGCGACGAGTCGCATGTGCAACAAGAAGTGGACGAATTGCGTCGTTTCCTTTTGGAAAAGACCACCGAATACGAACCGATGGTGATGATGAGTTCGTTTCCACGTGATTTTGGTGAATATCTGCTGGCACGTTCTGAAGTCGATGCACATTTGCCTGCTTACAACCGCCTCAAGCAACTGATTGAGAGTCAGAGCGGTTTTCTGCAGGTCTCACGCCAGGCGTGGGATGAGATCAATGAGCTGTGGCAGCGTCTACAATACCAGATGATGTACTGGCTCTGGCTATTGGACGCCGAGCTGCCTGGCGATTTCGGCACTGTGGGCAAATGGCTCGCCGAGGCCGAGAAATTGCTCATGGACAACGATATACCCAATGCGATGAATGAGGAGACAGCCGCTGTAATCAGTAGAAAGCTGGAGGAGCATAAGCTGTTCTTTGCCGATCTGCCGCGCATTGTGGCCATGTTTGACAATGCCAAGCGCTCGCCCCAGGCACATCAGGTGCCCTTGGAACAGCTGCGCAACATGGAACGACGTCTGCAAGAGGTTGGACCCAAGGCCGCTGAGCGTAGAATCCGTTTAAAATTCCTTGAGCACAAATGCTGCCTGATTGCCTTCCTCAATCTGGTGGAGAACAAAATGCGTGGCTGGACCGGCAAGTACGGTCACGAGGAGAAGGTCGCCCAACAGCTGGAGCAGTATAAGAACTTTGTATCGCGCAACAAGATATTCCAAGAGTTCCAAAAGGCATTCGTTGACATGCAACAAGTGGTCGAGGAGTATAAGCGTGAGGGCAATGTTGCGCGCAAGGACATCAACGAAATTGATCGCTTTATGTATGACACCGAGGAGCGCTGGAAGCGTGTCTCGATGGAGCTGAAATGCTGCCAAAACTCACTCGAGGAGGTGGTGAATTGCTGGCGCAACTGGAATCAATTGGCGCCCAGCTGCGAGGAATGGCTGCTGTTGGCCGAGCAGAAACTGAACCAATGCGAAGACGATCGCTTAGAGTTCTTCCAGGACATCACCGTGTGGAAGGATAGATTCGATGGCTTGGCCAATGCCGCTAACTATCTGATTGCATCCTGTGAGGAGCCCATTGCTCAGCAGCTGCGTCAGCGTCATGGCGCCCTAGCCGAACGCTTCGAGCGTCTTTTCGCCAATACAAAGCAATACATGCATGCTGGCGATATTATACGCTCGCGCCAGGAGTACAAGTCTGGCATCGAGAAGCTGTCCAGGTGGCTGCGTGGCGCGGAGAGCGTACTAGATCAGCGCCAAGTGCTGGGCAACAGCGAGCAGATACGTCGCTATGGCGAGCAACTGCAGCAGCTTGCCAGCGAAATCGATGACAACGAGGAGCTGTTCAAGACCATCAGTCGCACCTTCCAGTCGCTCATACAGGATCTGTCACGCGATGAGGTCGACAAAATGATGAAGCTGCTTAAGCAGGAGAAGGAGTCGCTGGTGCGCATACGCGCCCAAATGCCCGCCAAGCTGCATCTGTTCCATCAGCTGCAAATTCAACAGGAGTCACTCGAGGCGGGCCAAAAGGAAATTCATCAATGGCTGTCCGAAGCCGAGCAACTGCTAGGCACCCACAATCTGGCTGGCGGACGTGAATCAATCAATGAGCAACTGCACAAGCATAAGACCTACTTTTCGCGCACCGTCTATTATCGCTCCATGCTGGAGAGCAAGAACAAGGTGTTCCAGAATTTGGTCAAAGCTGTGGCGGCCGATGATAAAATCGATACGGCTCCAGCGGCACAGCAGATGCAGCAGCTGAACGAACGCTTCAATTATGTCATACAGAATGCAGGCAAATGGGAGCAGCGTTTGGGCGATGCTGCTGGCGGTTGGAGTAATTTTAAGGATAACGAACGCGTCGTTAACGAGTGGCTCACACGAGCCGAGTCCATGCTCGTTGAGAAGCATATTGAGTCAAAGACAACAATTGAGACACAAAAGTACTTCTTTGAGCAGGTCAACGATCGTTGGATGAACGATCTGGTGCAATCGGCACAGCAGCTGCTTAATACGCTGCCCAGCCAGGAGCAACCGGCTGTGGTGCAAAGTGTGGAGCAGCTGCAGTCTCGCTGGAAGAATGTGCTTGGCCAAGCGCCATTGCATCTGCTCAAGCTGGAGTTCCGTCTGGACGAGAATGCCTTCTATCAATCGTTGAAGGATGTTGAGAAGGAGCTGCAGCTGGAACAGCAGGCTCTTAATCGCAATGAAGATGTGGACTCCATTTTGCAACGTAACCAGCAATTCCTGCTGCAACAGGACGCGGTGCCACGCTTAGAGAAATGCTTGCAGAACATGCAGCGTCTGGCCCAGGCGCACAAACAACAGCAGCCGGGTGATATTAGCCTGGATCAGGCCTATGATAATGCCAACGCACAGTGGCAGATAATGTCCAGCAGATTGTCTGATATGCGACAGACGTTGCAGCAAATACCTGCCCAATGGGAGGGCTATCATCTGAAATTCAATGAGATGATCAATTGGATGAACAGCGTAGATCAGAGCCTTAAGAACATTGTTAATGAGGTCAACAGCATGGAGGAGTTTGAAAAGGAGAAGGTTGTTTTCCAGGTGAGTTGAATGCTAATCGCCCCCAAAAATAGCTTGATATAAAAACTCCTTGCTAATATTTGTTACGCCTGCATGCAGCTAAGGGAACTAGTGGTAACTAAATTGCTTTTGCTAATATAACAAATACACATATTCCTAAAAAAAAATCCTATTAATAACAATATTGTTTTGTTCGCAGAAAATCTGCCAGGATGCAGATAACAAACGCGAGGACATGAAGTGGCTGGTCAAAACGCTGGATTCTCTGCTCAGCTATGCCACCGAGGATGAGGCTAATCTGGAGCAAAAGAAACTTGAAGATCTAATTGCACGCTACAAGAACCTAATACCCACTATTGAGATAACTATGGTCAAAACGGAGGTGTTCTCCAAGTGTTACACATATCGTCGCGAGGTGCACGAGGTTGTTTGCCTGTTGACCAAGGTCAAGGATCAGACGGCCAATATCCCTGCGCCCGAAAGTTTGGAGCGCGTAAATCGCCTAATTGAAGAGCAACAGTATGCCATCAATCAGCTCGATCATCAGCGGCCACATATTATGTCCATGCTACAACGTGGACGCGATCTTAGCAAGGATGTGCATGCACCAGCTTTCGTTAATACTGAAGTCAAGAATCTGGAGACTGGCTGGAATCAGGCTTATACCGAAACCTCCGATAAACTGCAAGCACTCAAGGGCACACAGGCAGTGTGGAGCGAGTTTGTCGATCAGAAGAACGACATCTTCTCCATGCTGCAAACAGCTGAGACAGAGCTGCGCGCCCTCACACCACTCCAGACAGATCCCAAAAATGTTAGTCAAGACCTGAAGTCCAAGCGCGATCTAAATGTGCAGCTGCAGCAGGCATCCCACCAATTGCTGCCCAAGCTGCATGCATTAAAAGCGGAGCTGGCACCACTGGCTGCCGCCGATAAGCGACCCATACTCGAGAAGGAAGTGACTGAGGTAGAGAAGATGTTCTTTAATACCATGGAGCATGTCAAAGATCGCGTGGGCTACCTGGAGGACTACAGTGCCAAGTGGAACAACTACAAGACGCGTCTAGCTGAGCTGCAGGAATGGGCCAACAAAGTGGCACCCAAGAATATTGAAGCGCTACAATCTGAGGATTTGACACCCGAGGAACGTGTTGTCAAGGTGCAGTCCTTTAAGCGTGTGCTGGGCGAGCGCATGAAGCAGCTGGATCTGTTGGCCGCTGATGCATCTGAGCTGGCCCCCAAGGAGGGCAACGTTGCCGAAGCGAAGCGTCTCAAGGGTGAAATCTCCAAATTGCAGGAGGTGCTCAGTGCCATTAACCGCAATGTGGACCATCAGTCGCAGGCCGTGCAGGAGGATCTGGTCAACTGGCAGCAATTCCAGGCCGGATTACAGCAAATCAAGCCCGCCGTGGAGCAAAGCGAAGTCAAGGTAAATAATATAGTTCCTAAACCAATTACACTTGAAGAAGCCGTTGCCATGCAACAAAATGCCAAACAATTTGAAACACAATGCCTGGAGCAATTGGACAAACTCCATGGCATATCAAACATCAGTCATAAAATGTTATGCAAAACCAATGCCCCCGATGAGTTAGATGCCATGCACTCTCGCTGGACAGCGGTCCATGAAAATGCCAAACAGGCGAGCGGTAAGCTCGAAAAGCTTGTTGCCAATTGGAAATCCTTCGATGGTGATGCTGCCAAGCTGGAGGATTGGATTGATCACGGTGCACAGCAGATGGGTAAGCGTCCGGCTGTGCTGAATACACCGCACATTGACAAGCTCGAAAAAGAGCTGGTCAAGCTAAAGTCCTTCAACAATGAGATATCTCAGCAGCAGGCCAAATTGGTTGCCCTTGGCCAAAATGCCGATCAAATCAGCTTGCATTTGGCGCCAGAGGGCGCTGTGGCTGTCAAGGATCGCGTGAACAGCATGAAGGCTAAATTACAGAAGCTTTCAGAGGCCACACGTGGCAACATCAACGAGGTTTCCGATGCCATTATATCGCGTCAGGACTTCAATGCCAAATTGGTCAACTTCTCCAACTGGATGGAACAGTTGCGCAATCAGGTCACTCAGGTTGAGGAAATCAATCCGGAACGTGTGGAGACTAGTTTGCATGTCATACACGCCTTGCTGCAGGAGCATGCCGATAAGAAGCCCAGTTTTAATGCCATCTACGATGAGGTCAAGCAGCTGGCCCTGGGCGCCACACCCGAAGAGTCAAATGCACTGAATGATGCGTACACTGCTCTTGTGGTTAACTATCAGAATTTGGAATCAAATATGCTGCAGAAGAAGGCCGCATTGGAAAAATGGACCGAGCTTTTGGGCTGGAAGCATGATACTGAATCGCACTTGAACTATTTAAAGCATCAATTGGAAAAGCCCGAGGGACCAGCTGTCGAGGAGCTAAAGAAGGCCATCGATGAAATTGATCATCTGGGCCAGGGTCTGAGCTACTGGAAGGGTCAAGCCAAGGAAATCGATGAGAATCCGGCTATACAATTGCGCGATGCACTCTCTCGCCGTCCGCTGATAGCCACACAGATTGTAAACGATGTGGAAAATAAGTTGGAAAATCTGAAACTTCGCTCGCAAAATCAGCAGCAACAACTGCAACAGATGACTGTCCGTAAGGACAAGTTCCATGCACTGGAGCATAACTTTGGTCAGGCGCTGCAGGAGAATCGCGCAAAGCTTGAGGAGATCCTTAAACAGCATCCCAATCTAAACAATATAGATCAAATCATTGCTGATCTTGTGGCGTTAAATGATGCGCTCAAGTACCAGGCGGATCTTAAGAATCGCATACACGATGAAGGCTCTCTTCTGATGCGTGAGGATATTGCAAGCATGCCGGCCATACAGGAGAGTCTACTGGTGCTGGATAAGAATTACGATTCGCTGCAAAATGAAATATCCGATCGTATACAAAAATATAATCTTATCAGTCAGGCATTGAGGGAGTACGCCGAATCCAAGGACAAGTTCTCGAAGGAGCTTAAGAAAGCCGAAGATTTGTTTAATGCCATACCCCAACAGCCGGGCGATGAGACCGCGTTGCACCAGGCCTCTGAGAAGACGCGCAAGACTATGGAACAGTTGCGCAAGTCCAAGATGAATCTCGATGAGCTCGAACGTCGCGGCAACAATGTTGCCAAATTGTTTACAGCCATTGGTGAGCCGGTGCCTCAAGAGGTTCCCCAAGAAGTTGCCGTTGCCAAGCAACACTGGCAGGATCTGCATGATAAGACGGCCAAAAATGCGCATATCTACGAGACAGAAGCGGTTATTTGGTCGCAAATCGAAGATGCCAAAAAGGATCTGCTGCCCTGGCTGTCTGAAACCAATCAGGGTCTCTGCGATGCTGCGGATAATTCAATCGAAATCGAATTCGGACCCATGCGTCTCAGCAAATACCGCAACGAACTGCCTTCTTACCAAGCGCTCAGGTCTACAATTCTCGAGAAAACCAACGATCTGGTCAAGATAAACAATGGTGCCGAGATACCCGCCTTGAGCACACTCAATCAGCTGCTCGGCGAACAATTTGCCGAGGTGAGCAACAATGCGGAGCGTCTAAGCGCTGTCACCACGTCCTTTGCTGACCAGGAGCAGGAGCTGCGCAAACGCACCAAGATTGCCGGCGAGCAGGTGAGTAAGCTGCGCGAACAGCTGATCAAATGCGATGACATGTCCGGCGATAACAACAAGATCATGGAGCGCTTGCTGCAGTGTCGTGCACTGCGCGCCCAATTGGAGCAGAGTGGCAACGAAATCGAGAATATCAAACAGAATGTGGACGAACTGCGTAATTTATATCCCACATTCAATGAGTCTATCATACCCAAGGAGCTGAACAATGTTCAGAAACGCTACGAGGGCGTCGATCTATATGCCAAGAAGATCGAGAGCTCACTGCTGCAGTTCCTCAAAAAATTCCATGCGGATAAGGTGGGCATGCTGAAGCGCATAATTGTCACACAGCGCGAGAAGGTGGCCTGGTGTCAGCCGGAGTCCACAAGCGACAAGTATAACCTGGATGTGAAAAAATCCTCGCTACAAGAGGTCAGCAAGAGCATTGATGACTGCAAAGCGCGTCATGCGGAAACGCTGAAATCCTTGGAAATGCTTAAGGCCGTGGAAACGCCACAGAATCTGGTCGAGCTTAACAGCGATGCCGAGCTTATGGGCAAGGAAATGCAGGCGTTACAGGACAGCTTTGATCGCATCAAGGGCATACTGGATGAGAATGTTGATCTTTGGTCGCAGTACGAACAATCAAATGAGCAAATATCCAACTGGCTGCGCGATGTGGAAGGTCGCGTTAAAGCGGAGACAAGCAGTCAGGTTAATTTGCCCGAGGTGCCACAGAAACTACAAGAGTTGGCTATACTGCAACAGGATGTGCTGGCACATGAGCCCATCATCAGCGGCCTGGAGCAGACCTCACAGCAATTGATTGAAAAGAATCCCGAGGCGCGTATTGGACAATTTGTAACGCATTTGGTGCAGCGTTACCAGACGGTTGCCAAGAGCCTTGCCGGCCACATTGATAAAATACGCAGCGCTCAGTCGTCAAATGCGAACTTTGCCAAGGCATCTAAAGACTTTAATGAATGGTTTGGTGATGCAAAGATTGAGTTCCAGGAACTGGCCCGTATGGGGTCCCCTGGGTCTTCGTCGGCCACCGCACAGCAGTTGCAGACCATTAAAAACTATCTGAAGACCTTTGACAATGGTCAACTCTTGCTGAACAATGCTGTTGATATTGGTGAGGGGCTTTATCCAGTGGTTTCTCCTGAGAATCGCGAACGTATACGCGCCGATCTACGTCAAATGCGCGAGAAGTATGATTATCTGCGCGATGAGGCCAATGCTCTGATGCAACAGGTTGAGGGCGTGCTAATACAAAAGACATCCATTGAGGAGAGCTACACTCAAGTGTCGCACTACCTCAACGAATCTAAGGCCAAGGTCACTGCTGGCGATGAACTCTATCCCACGTTGGCGGCCAAGAAAGCAGCTCTACAAAATTATAAAACGCAACTGCAGGAGATTACATTGCATAAGAATGCTCTAAAGCAACTGCACGACAAGGCGGTCACCCTTTGCGATGATGAGTCCGAGCGTAAAACGGATGAATCCATACAGGAGTACAATACGCTATCCAAAAAGATTTCCGATCGCATCAATACCGTAGGCAATCAGGTGGTCAAACACGAGGCTTATGATCAAGTGTTGGAGAAGGCACAAGATTGGTTAAACACCATCAAATCGGAGGCAATTGATATTTTGAACGAAACAACCTTCGAGAAGGAGGGCGCCGAGGAGAAACTGATTGTTGTGGAGAATTTGTTGCAACATAAGCCCGAGGGTGATTCCATTTTTGATACGTGCCACAAGCTTTTGGAAACGGTTCTAACACAAACCCATCCTAGCGGTCATCCGGCGCTGCTCAAGGGCTTTGAGGAGCCGAAAAATGCATGGGAGGAGTTCATGTCGCTCTGCCAGGACTCTCAGGTGAAACTGAAGCAGCTCTGCTCCAAGTGGGATGAGTTTGACTCAGTCATCCATGAGCTTGACAATTGGATGAAGAACGTCGAGGCTGTGGTAAAGAACCAGAACTTAAAGAGCACCGCCGAAACAAAGGCTGCTCATCTGAAGCAGCTCCAAGATAATGCCAAGGATATTGAGCGTCGCGGCGTAGCCATAAATGAGCTGATGGATCAGGGTCGTGAAATCGAAGGTGAAACCGATTTGAATCTGAAACTCTCGCGTTTGAATACACGCTATCAGACACTGAAGAATATTTGCAAGGAGTCCATCGCTAAGTATGTCCAATATGCCAAGGATCACGACAGCTTTGACACGGACTATGAAAAGTTTAAGCAAAATTTGCAATCCTGCGCCAATGAGCTGGCAAAGACCAATGAAATTGTCGGCGATCAGAGCGTATTGCAGGATCAGCAAAACAAATTGCGCGAAATGTCTGACAAGCGTATTGTGGACTCCACTATCTTTGAGAGTCTGATTGATCGCGGCGAAAAACTCTACGGTCACACAAGTCCTGAAGGTCGTGAGATTATACGCCAACAGCTGCGCTCCCTGCGTACCATGTGGGACAACTACACGGACGACCTAAACTCGGCTACGCATAAGATTGATCAGTGCCTACTGCAATTCAATGAGTTTAGCATTGCTCAAGATCAGCTAACCAAGTGGCTGAAGGATGTGGACAAGGCCATGCAGAGTCATACCGAACCAAAAACCACGCTCCAGGAGAAGCGGGCACAGCTGCAGAATCACAAACTGCTGCATCAGGAGATAACTACGCACAATGTGCTCGTGGATAATGTGTGCGACAAGGCGCAAATACTAGTTGATCAAATAAAGGACAACTCCTTGAATGTTTATCTTCAGTCAATCAAGCAACTCTTCCAGAATATTGTGAAGAAGTCCGATGAAATACTGCACAACCTGGAGAATTGCGTGCAAAAGCATAGCGACCTAAACAATGCGCTCAGTGGTGCCAAGGCCTGGATATCGAATGAGAAAGCCAAGCTGCTGGAATGCGATGATTCGTACGGTGAAAAGGCGGATATAAAGCGTAAAATTGAAACCCTGGGTCAATTGGCTCAGAATAAACCAACGGCCATGAATTTAATTAGCGAAATCCGTGCACAATTCGATAATGTAAAGCCCGCCACCTCGGAGAAGGGCATTGAAGTGCTTGAAAAAGAAATCGATGAACTGGAGACCACAATGAAAAGTCACTTCGACGACATCGAGGGCATTGAGGGCAAGCAAAAGGATGTCCTGGCGCAGTGGGATAAATTTGAACACAATCTGGAAGAACTCACCAAGTGGTGTCGCAATGCCGAGGCCGTGTTTCGCGAGCAACAGCTGAAATCGACGTTGCATGAAAAGGTCGAGCAAATGGACAAATATAAAATACAGCGGGAACTCATACTGCAAAAGGAAAAGGAAATCGATGCCTTTGGAGATACGGCACACGCTTTGCTCAACAACTGCGGTGCCGATCGTCTAAAGACGTTGACAACGCAGATCACAAATCGTTATCAACTGCTGCAAGTGTTGAGCAAAGAAGTGGTCAACCGCTGGTCCAATCTGGTGGACGATCATCAGTTCTACCAAGACAAGTACAACGAGGTGGACCTGTGGCTGCAGCCCATTGAGACACAATTGGAGAAGGCGCTCAAGGATGAGCCCACGCAGAGCTCAAACATTCTACAGGTTTTGCTTTCCGAGAGGGAGCAGGCCGAGAGCTTATTTGGTGCATTAAATGCAGCTGGTGAAAAGGCCTTGCCGGAGACATCCACTCAGGGTAGAGAAAAGATACGCAAGGATCTGCGTGATATACGCGATCGTTGGGATAAGCTGGACGAGGGCATACGAAATTTGGAAAAACGCCAAGAAGCACAAACCGTACAGCTTTCCAGCTACCAGGATATACTAGGTCAAACGGTCAACTGGCTGGATCAGGTGGAGAAGTTACTGCACAATGAGAATCCAGCCAGCTGGACAAGCGCGCAGGAAATTCGTTCCAAGCTGTACAAATACAAGGCCACCAACCAGGATATCAACTCGCACAAGCGCATTGTGGAGGCTGTCAATGAGAAGGCAGCAGCTCTCCTGTCTAGCGCTGCGCCTGCCAATGCTGATGAGATTGCCAAATCTGTCGCTGAAGTGAACAAGCGTTATGAGCAAGTTGGACAGGATTGTGGCAAACTGGTCGCTGATCTAGAGGCCGCTTTTGAGGTGTATCAGCAGTTCAGTGAGCTGCAGAAAGCACAGCAGGATTACCAGAAGAACCTGTGGGATCGTCTGACCGGCTACTCTGACTACTCGGGCAATAAGGCAGCATTGCAAGCGCGTCTACAGAAGATTAATGAAATCCAGGATGCTTTGCCTGAAGGTGTTTCCAAGCTTAAAGCTCTTGAGGAGCACATTGAGCAGCATGCCAGCAGCATACCAGCTCGCTCAAAGGAAGCCATGACACGAGATTTGGCCAATTTGTATGCAGATTTCGAAAAGTTCGGTGGTTCGCTGACTGATGTTAAGAGCGGCCTGGAGAACCGTCTACAGCAATGGAATGACTATGAAGTCGACTTGGATCGCCTGATTAACTGGCTGGGCGAGGCTGAGAATGCGCTCAAGAACTACAATCTGAAAAACTCCTTTGAGGAAAAGGAAGAGCAGCTGAATCGCTTCCAGTCATTGACACAAAGCTTGCGTCAAAATGAAGCCGACTTTGAGAAAATGAAGGATGACACCTCGGAACTAGTGCAAAGCTCAGGAGAGACCAGAATCGCAGTCAATGTGCAACAAGTCTCCTCACGTTTCCAGTCAATACAAGCCACGGCCAAGGAAATACTCAAGAAATGCGAACAAGCAGTTCAGGATCACGGCCACTTCAACGAAAAGTACAAGCAGTGCGCCGATTGGTTGGCTAACGCTCAGGCACGCTATGATGATTGCAGCGATTTGTCCTCGGTAGCATCACGCGATGATCTTCTCAAGAAGCAGCTGGTCATACAGGAGCTGCTGGCACAGCAGCCCACGGCTACGCAGCTGCTGAACAGCACCGTGGAATTGGGCGAAAAGTGCTATAGCTCAACGGCCAAAGAAGGACGTGAGGCCATACGCAGTCAATTAGATGACCTGACCTTTGATCAACTATTTGATAATGTTGCCAGCACTGCGCGTAAGATACAGGATAAGATTGCCAAGTGGTCCGGCTTTGATGAGACTGCTGACAAGCTTAAGAGCTGGCTGGATGATGTGGAGCATGAGTTGCCAGCTGAAATTGAGCTAAAGACCACGCTGGACGAAAAGCGCCATAAATTGCAGGTCTATCGTGACGTGCTCAACGATATCAACAATCATCAAGCAGAGGTTGGAAATCTGCAAGAGATTACAGCCAATTTGCCTGAAAAGACTGAGCATGTGGATCATATTCTTAAGGATATAACCGATCGTTTTGGAAAACTGCAAAAACGAGCTCAGGGCTACGTTGAACGCTACGAGGGCATCGTGAGTGCACATCAGCAATACTCCAAGGCCGTTATGGATGCTCAGGAGTTCATTGATGCCACATTGAACACTGTGCACTACTGGGGCGATCTTGATTTGGAGCAAACTTCGCTGCATACTAATCTAGATCGTCTGAAGAACTTGAAGGCCAGCCTCGCGGATGAGTTTCCGCGCGTAGATCAAGTGCGTGCGCTGGGCGAGAAGGTCATACCCGGCACCATTGATGTTGGTCAGGTGAACATTAAATCTCAGATAGATACAACGCAACAGGAATGGGAGGGTCTGCTAGCTGCCATTGGCTCAACCATCGAAGCCATTGAGGCACGCCTGCAGCAATGGTCCGAATATGAGCAGCTGCGCGATCAGTGCTTGGCCTGGATCCGTGACACCGATAATGATTTGCATGCCATTGATCTCAAAGAGGATCTGCCAAAGAAGCGCGCGCAATTGGATACGCTGAAGGCACTGCAAGGCGATGTCCGTGCTAAGGAATTGGAAGTCGATAATGTTACTGAAAAAGCACAAACATTGCTAAAGGGACCCACCTCGACTCGATCATCTGGCCCTGAATTGGTCACTAAATATCAGCAAATCTTCCACAAAGTCAAGGATTTGAACAATCGCTGGCAGCAATACGTTACCTCACACGAAGATTTTGATAACTCCATCTCCGAGTGTGCATCGTGGATTAATAGCATTAAGGAAAAGCTGGACTACTGTTCAGACATGTCCTCGATGAGTCAGAAAGAACTGGACAAGAAGTTGGCCACTATTCAGGATGTGATTCTACTTAAAGACGAGGGTTCTGCGCGAGTGCTTAAAATTTTAGAACAGGCTCAACATGTGCTCGCTAATACCGCACCCGCTGGCCACGAGGCCATTAACAAGGAGCTCTCAGAACTGCAGGATCTCTGGTCCGGCATTGCTCTGCGCATTATGGACGTAAAGGCTAACCTGGATGATTCCATTACTCAATGGTCTGGCTTCTTGGATCAGGTGCAAAACGTGCGCAAATTTAACGAATGGCTGGATGGTCTGCTCAAAGAATTGGGCGAGCATCAGACGACCATGACGGAGAAACGCGCACAGCTAGATCGTGTCAAGTCCACTGAGGAGAAGGTACGCGTGGAGAAGATTGATGTTGATTCACTGAAGGTACAGGCTAAGGAAATGATAGCTAGTGGCCAACAGAGCCAGGCAGCGTTCCAGGCACAAAAAGTGTTGGATACCTTCGATGAATTGTTTGCCAAGACACAGAAATTGCTGTCGGATCGCCAGGATCAGTACAGAGATCATCGCCTGTTCAAGGAAGCTTATGACGATCTCGTTAGCTGGATAAGTCGTGCACGCGAGAAATTCCCCGCACTGAAACAGAGCAGCCTAAGCGACAAGCTGGCTATTGAGAATGCCGTGCAGGCCACCGAGGCCCTCCTCAATAAGCAGGCTCAGGGTGAACTACTTGTTGAGCATTTGGTACACACTGGTGAGGTGGTTCTGGCAAGTACTTCGACGCAGGGCCAAGAGATCATACGCAATGATATACGCGCACTACGTGATAGCTTCGAAAGTTTGTTCCGCGAGATCAATCAGCAGAAAGAGAACTTGGAAGTTACCATGGTGCAATGGCGCGCATATAAAGAGGAGTATGAACGCCTCATGGAATGGCTGCAACAGATCGATATACTTGTGAAGAACCATAAGCTGAACCTCTGTCCCAATTTGCCCGACAAGGAGAAACAGGTGGCCGATATGCGCGAGGTCATGTCGCGACTGGAAAAGGGCAAGGATGATATTGATAAATTTAATGCCTCCGCGGCAGGTCTACTCAAATCACATCTGGACAGCTATGTCAACAATCAGCTCAGACACTTGGGCTCCATGTACCAGGTACAGGTTAATTTGGCGAAGGATGTGCTAAAGAAGGTCGAAACTAATCGCGATCAGCATCGCGAATACGATGCCAATATGAAGGCGGCTAGGGAATGGATATCGAATGCTAAGCAAACCATTCAGTCCGCTGGCGAGGGTGCAGGCTCCAAGGAGGCCCTGCAACGTCGCCTGGAGCAAATACAGGATCTAATACGCAATCGTGAACTGGGCCAAAATCTTGTCCACACAGCCATCAACAATGGCGAGAAGATTATACGCAATACGCGCTCCGATGGACGCGATGCCATCAACAATGAAATGAAGGAGCTGCAGACCGATTGGGATCGACTGGTTAAGAAAATGTCCACAGCCAAGGTGCAGTTGGAGACAAATCTGTTGCAATGGGCCGATTACAGCTCCAGTTACACTCAGTTGCAGCAATGGATTACCGACAGGGAGGCCAAGCTGCAGCAGGCGTGCGAGCAAAAGATTGTCAAATCCCAGAGGGGACAGCCGGGTCTCAGTAGCGGTCTGAGCGAGCGCAAGGCTAATCTGCGCCAGACCAACAACATTGTCCAGGATATTGTGTCGTTTGAGCCCATGATACAATCAGTTACCTCGAAGGCATCCGACTTGCAACAGGGTGCACCTGCCACAGAAATCTCCGACAAATACGAGAACCTTACCAAGCAGGCCAAGGATCTTTATGCCAAACAAAAGAACACTATAGACAGCTACCAGGCGCTGATCGATGCAGGTAATGACTTTGCCACTTGGCTGCGCAACGCCAAGGAAAGGCTGAGCAAGTGCTCCGAGCCAACGGGTGATAAGCAAGCGCTGGCGGAGAAGACTCACCAGCTCAAGATTCTGCAAGGTGAAGTTCCCGAGGGCTCAACGAAGCTGCAAAATGCTTTGGCCCAGGGTGAGATTGCCTGTCGCACCGCAGAGCCCGAGGATTGTGCGATCATTGAAGAGGAAGTTGCACTCTTACAGGAGGAGTTTGATGCTTATGTGGAGGCGCTCAACAAGGCCAAGGATTATCTGGAGGTGGGCATTGTCAAGTGGTCTGACTACCAGGATCAGTACACCGAAGCGCTCGAGTGGTTGACCAAGACCGAAGCACTCGTGCAGTCCTACAACAAGCTCCAGGATAGTCTTACGCAAAAGAAGGTGGTGCTTGAGGAATTCCAGGGACATCTGCAAACTCTATTCGATTGGCAGAAGACACTGGATCACCTGAACATGAAGGCTCAGGTGCTGCTGGAGACATGCTCCGATACGCGCATCAGCAATGCCATCATGCAGTTGACCACCAAATACAACGCGCTATTGACGCTGGCCAAGGAAGTCATGCGACGCCTGGAGATGCACTACCAGGAGCATCAGCAGCATCATACGCTCTACGAAGAGTGCCAGTCGTGGATCGAAAAGACACGCGAGAAGCTAGCCGAATGCGAACAAATACCCGGCACGTTGAACGAAGTGCAAATTAAACTGAATACTGTTAAGAATTTGCGTCAAGGCTTTGAAACTGGACAGAACAAGCTGCGCTATCTTCTGGAACTTAAGGAGAAGGTGATTATGAATACCGAACAGAATGGAGCAGCCAAAATTCAAGAGGACACCGAGGGCCTGAAACAGGACTTTGACAAGCTGCTTGTGGATCTTAATGATGTGCGTCAGAAATTGGCCAATCGTCTTGCTCAGCTGGAGGAGATTTTCAAGCTGTACAAGATCCTGCTGGAATGGCTGGAGGATATTGAGCCCAGTGTTAAGGCCAGCGAGGAGTATTTGAATGACTTGAGCGAAAAGCGTGCTGCACTGGAGAAATTCCGTGTCACACAACGCGACATCAATGGACACAACGATATTGTGGAAAAGATTAATGTACGCTTGCGTGAGGACAATAGCCTGGATAAAAATGATTTTGCGCCCGGTCTAAGCAAATTCGATGATCTGCAAGGACAAGTAAACAAGATCATTGAGTCGCTGGAGAATCAGGTGAACAATCACGAGAAATACAAGCAGGCCTATAATGAGCTGCAAGATTGGCTGCGTCGCACACGCATCGAGGTGGAGCAGTGCGCTGATTGCCATGGCGAAAAGGATCAAGTGGAGGATCGTCTCAATCGTCTGGGCGACATACAGTCCACCTCCATGGAGGGCAAATCGCTGCTGGAAGCTTGCGAAGAGCTCAGCCAGGCGGTCATTGCCACCAGCGGCAGCGAGGGCCAAGACAATGTGGCCCAAGAGATCAAGCACCTGAATGGTGAATGGGAAACGCTGCAGGCTCTGTCCCGAGATGCGCGCAGCGGTCTGGAAAGCTGTCTCGCAGCCTGGCAGACATTCCTGCAAAAGTTCAACAAGATCAATTTGTGGATTGTAACAATGAGCAAGCGCGTTGCCAAATCACAGGAAGCTGATAATAAAACCACCGAAGATTTGGTCAATGCCAAGGTAAGCAACAAATATGTCGTCAAATCTCAAGCAACTGTCGCACGCAACGCTAACAAAAATAAAATAAAATATACTAAAAATTGCTCGAGAGAGTGCACCCCGTAGTAAAATTGATGTATATACACTTTATATATATTTATATATATATATATATATATAAACTGATTCACATACTAAACAACTAATCAATATTGCTAACTTTTCAGCTAATCACTTAAACACACTCACTATTGCAGTTAATCATTTATACACAGACTCTGTCTAACGCCGAAAACGCTTTATGTGCCTTTTAATACAATTTTTTTGGTTAGAGCATTTAATCTAATATTGATCTTCCCCTTAGAAACTGCTCGATGAGGTTCTGGCCGAGCGAGAAAATGTCGAGGATCTCAATGACAACTGTGAGCTGCTCATGGAGCAAAGTGCCTGCACTCGCATACGCGATCAAACCATTGAGACTCAGGCCAATTACACAAAACTGCTGACTTCTGCTCAGGGCCTGGTTGCCAAGATCGAAAAGAATCTGTCGGATCACACCGAGTTCCTCAATTACAAGAAGGAAATGGATGCCTGGATCGAGAAGGCTCAGCAAGTACTCAACGATTGCAGCATTGAAGGTGATGCTTCTGTTATTGCACAAAAATTGGAGACTGTCAATGTAAGTAATAGCTGTTAAATAAAATTCACACAATAATTAAAGATTTGGGAGCCCCGTAAATGGGAAATTTTCATTCTAAATTCATGTTTATCGATCTGGGTAATAATAACTCAAGGCGTATTATACTGATTTCGGGAATATTATCTTCTTGATTTTAAAAAGAAATTTGCGTGTTTCGCCTTTTTATAGAAATTCGACTTACAAAGTAAAAAAATAGGTGGAAACATGGCCATGGGGGCTTATGCTAGTGATTTACTCTATGTAACAAAATAATTTTTTTTCCAGTCATTGGCCTCCCACTTGCCCGAGGGCCAGCATTTGCTGGCCATGGTGCAGGATGCCTACTCGAAGGCCTCCAATATTACGCCCGAAGATAAGCAGGAGAAGTTGCGTGAGTTGATGACCAAGGTACGCGAGGACTGGGATGCATTGGGTCTGGCTGTCAAGCAGAAGCTAACTGACTTGAAGCAGGCACAAAATCGTTGGAACGATTTCGCAGCCAACAAGGATAAGCTCGATAAATGGCTGATCGAAACAGAGAAGACGCTCAAGATAGCGCCCGAGACCAAGGGTGAGCTGAGCGAGATGAAAACCCTGTTGGAGCGCTACAAGACGCTCGCCAATGAGCTCAAGCAGAAGGGCAACGATCTGGAGCAGCTTATGTCGGAGGCACGCGATCTGGGCACAGAGGTGGATGCCGTCAACCGTTTGCAGTCGCGTTGTGATAAGCTGAAGAACGACTGCACCGGCTATATCAGAGATCTGGAGCAGGAGATGCTCGACTATAATGCCTATCATCAGAGCCTGCAGGATGTGGAAAAATGGTTGCTGCAAATCTCATTCCAGCTGATGGCCCACAATTCGCTATTCATTTCAAATCGTGAACAAACGCAAGAGCAAATTAAACAGCACGAGTCGCTGCTAGGCGAGATTCAAAAGTATCAGACCAATCTGGATGACCTGAATGCCAAGGGTCAGGCACAAATTAAACGCTATGAGCCGACAACGCCTGGCATACGGCCAACCGTCGAGTCACAGCTAAAGAACATACAGGACAGCTACAATTCGCTGCTGCAGACATCTGTACAAATCAAGAATCGCCTGCTCGAGTCGCTGGCCAAGTTCCAGGAGTACGAGGACACGCTGGACAACATCATGCGCAATCTGGAGGCCTATGAGCCAATCATACAAACTGAACTGGACGCACCAGCCACGAGCTTGGAGCTGGCGCAGAATCAGCTCAAGTGTGCCCAAGATATGCAAAATAAACTGAACAATGAAAAGTCCAGGCTGGCAGCAGCCGTCCAGGCATGTGAAGCAGCCACAGCATCGATAAGCCGACCCAGCTCTCCCCTGGAGACAGCTATGCATGCCATACCCGAACGTGAACTGATCGTGCGCGCCAAGCTGGAAGATCTGCTGGATCAGGTGGGTTATTTAATAGAATGAATATTCTTCACATAGTTTTTGTACTGCATTTGTAGTTGTTGTTTATCCAGCAAAAATATTAACTAAAGTAGAAATAGGCGAAGTGATTGTAGAACATGTTTAAAAGCTAAGGCTGCATTTAGGATAAAAAATCGGATTGCAGTTGCAAATGTTGCTGTTTATTATGTAATTCCTTAAAATTCAATTCTTGTTTCTGATATATGATTCATGATTTTCCAGCTATTGATTAGAGATTCGATTACCAGATGATAAAAATCATCATTCATTAAAAATAAAATACCTAAACTTGTTAAAAAAAAAAAAACGTGAAATAATGTCTGTTAGTAATATATCTATTGATATAATTATGTAAGCCACTTTTAGTTAGAATTTCCATCTAAATGCGCCCAATGGCTCTCATCTATTCGCCTATTTCTACATTTGCAAGACTCCAAGGGTAACCAGTTTAATTTTTAATTTGCTAACCAATGCATCTTTTGTAATTTGATTTAATTTACTTTTATTTCTAATACCCTCCAACTACACCAACTTTATCAACTTTACCAACTGAACCACAAACTACCCCAACCAAACACCGCTCTAACTTTTATTGATTTGCCGCACCGTAATTATTGTTGTTGTTATTGTAATAAAACCAAAACAAAAATATGCACTACCACGCCCACTTTGCTTGCCACTAAAAAGCAACCGCCGCCAAATACTCAGAGCTCAACCGAAGACGACAATGAGAACGATCTCGACGTTGAGCTCAGCGATGTGAATGAGGCGCTGTTGGATCCAATTGCTCACGAGCGTATTAGCAACTATCGTCGCATAGTACGCCTGAATAGTGCACACGTGAGCAAGCTGAATGCACTCGTCGCTAAGGTAAGCGGGTCTGGAAACTCCACTTGAAATGGTGGCGGCTTGGCTTTAAACTCAAATTTTAATCTAATATCAATTGCGAACCCAAACTACTCAGCAAAAACCCTTCACTAATCGAGCGGCTATTTTACAGGTGCAATCCCACTTGGGTGGTCTGACTGCATCCGTTGGCGAACTGGAGCAACAGCAGAAGCAGCGCGCCGAGCTGCAGGATTGGGTCAAGCGGCAACAGAGCTCTGTCTCCGATTGGCTAATGCGACCATGCAAGCTGCGACCAGAGGCCGCACAGCAGGAACTGGTTGCCATGAATGATCTGTTGAATTCCATTGGTGACAAGCGTTCGCAGCTAATGCTCGAAATGACAGGATCACGTAAGTATCGGGAAAACCTGATAAAAGCGAATAGCTCTCCACTTCCCAAATACATTTTTAGCCTATTGCTGAATATATAATTAATTGATTGGATTGCAAGCAAAAGCAAAAAATTAAAAACTATACGATTCTTTTTCGACAGTGGGAGATGAGGATACGGATCTGGATGACAACATTGACAAGCTGGAATCGGAGCTCATGGACGCGATTGCCAAGAAGCAGGCGGGCCAAAATGTCATCGATGGCTATCGCCAGGGCATGCAGGATGTCCAGAACTGGTTTGATACGTTGATCAAGCGCATGGATGTGCTGGATCGCGGCTCTGGCCTCAATTGTGCCCAGAAAATGGCAGCCATTAATGAGATAAAGAACGAATATGAGCTACAGGGCCATCCTAAGATACAGGAGCTCAAGGGCAAGGCCGCGCAGGTGGCTGAGGTCATCAGCAATCTGGATGGGCAACAGGTGGAGGAGCAAATGAAGTCGTTGGATCGTCGCTTTGCCGATCTGGGCAAGCGCATCGATCGCAAGGCGCAGCTGTTGGATGTGACCAACAAGGGCGTGGACGGTGCCAAGGCTGAGATTGACCAACTGCAGCAATGGGTGAAGCAGCAAATCGAAGAGTTGCAAGCGCCAGCCGCACTTGGCTATTCGCCCAAGGATGCCGAGGCGCGCCAGCAAAAGATCAAGAGCCTGATGAAGGATGCGGAGGCAAAGCAATCGCTGGCCGATGTGCTGGACAAGCGCATAGCCAACATGCAGCCCGAACTGGAATCGGCAGAATATGCCCAACTGGAGTCGGCGTTGCGTAACCTAAATAGCGAGAATCGCAATTTGTCTGGAGTGCTAAAGGCCGAACTGGATCGCGCCCTGGAGGCGAGCAAGGCACGCAAAGCGCTGGAGAATGATCTGGACAAGGCGCGTCAATGGCTGAAGGCCAAAATCTCTGAGGTGCGCAAATTGCCCGTGTATCATCCCCTCACCTCCGCTGAGATTGAGAAGAAAATCGCAGAGAATAAGAAATACGATGATGATGCCAAGCAATTCAATGACAGCGTCCTCAGTGATGTACAGCGCCAAGCGGCGAACATCATGAAGGATTGTGGCGATGCGGACAAGGCAGCGTTGCAACAGATTCTGGATGAAATTGCCGCCGACTATCAGACGCTCAAGGATGAGAGCGGCAAGCGTGGCAAGTCCTTGGATGATCTGCTACAGGGTCGCAAGGCATTTGAGGACTCAATGAAAAAAATGGGCGACTGGCTGAACGAAATGGAAACCGCAACCGAAAGTGAACTGCGCACCACCAGCCTGCCAGTGCTCGAGGAGCAGCTGGCCCACTACAAGAAGCTGCTGCAGAATGCCGACAATATGGGTGGACTGATCAACGATGTGTCCGAGCAAGGCAAGAGCATATTGCCCACGCTGAGCAATGCGGACAAGCTGAAGCTCAACGACGACATCAAGAACATGAAGGATCGCTATGGACGCATCAAGCAGACCATCGATGATCGCGTCAATGCGCTGGGTGATCACATCAAGAAGTACAAGGATGCCAAGAACAGACTCGCCGAATGCAGTCAATTCCTGGGCAACATACAGCAGCGTATGCGCGAACTGAACCGACCCATTGGCTCTCGAATCGAGGATGTGCAGGATCTGCTGGGCGCCTACGAGGGCATACTGAAGGAGCTGAAGGATAGCAAACACAAAATGGGCGACATGCAAATGGATGATCTGCCCGAATTGCAGAGCATTCTGACACAGCAGGACGATATGATTAAATTGATTGAGGATCAGTTGGCGCATCTGCGCCAGCTGCTGATGCTGCGCGAGCAATTTATTGCGCTGATCAATGAGATAATTGCCTTCATTATGAAGTACACCGATGTCATCATCGACATAGAGAACTCGCCAGACAGCCTCGAGGATAAGATCAATAAATATGATGATGTTATTGTCAAGATACAGGAATGCGAGGGCCTTTTGGCCTCGGCCAACGATAAGGGTCAGAAGATTGCCTCTGAGGGCAATGCTGCGGATAAGAACAGCATCACCGAGCAGCTGCAATCCTTGAAGAATCAGCTGCAGAATCTACGCAAGGCCGTGGAATCGCAGCGCCAGAAGCATCAGCTACAGCTCGAATCCCACAAGAAAATGGCCGCCGATCTGAGCGAAATACTCGACTGGCTGCACAACAATGAAGGCATTGCCAAGTCCCGGCCCCTGCTCGATCGCGATCCCGAGTCCGTGGAACGCGAACTCCAGAAGCATCACACCCTAAGCAAGGACATCGATGCCCAACTGCAAAAGTTCAATCGAATTAACGAGAGCGTCAAAACGGATGTGGGCATGCCCAGCTCCCTGCTGGAAATGCTCTCCGAGGGTCGTTCACTTGTCGCCTCGCTGCCCCATGAGCTGGAAGAGCGCGAAAAGTATTTGAAGAACAATCGCGACTCGCGTCTGGAGTATATGCAGCTGGTGGCCAAGTTCAACGATTGGGTGCACGAGGCTGAGCTGCGTTTGCAGAACAGCCAGCATGGCATTGACTACGAGCATCTGATGCACGATCTGGACGAGCACAAGATCTTCTTTGGCAACGAAGCGCCCATACGCAATCTGGTGCACAAGCAAATCCAGGAGGCATCCGACAAGATTTGGTCCTCGCTCAACAGCTACGAACAGTCTGAGCTGTCCGCCGAGCTGACACAGTTCCAGAACAAGCTGGCCAACATTTTGGCCAATGCCAAGACCCAGCAAAGCGAACTGGAAAAGGAAGCGGAACGCTGGCGCGAATATCAACAGTCCATCGATCGCGTCAAGGCCACCATTGAGCGCACCAAGTTCAACGATGAGCCCGTCCAGAATCTGGCTGGCCTGCACTTTAATATTCAGAAGTTGTCGCATGCCATTGGCAATGTACAGGTGAGCTAATAAAATAGTCGTAAAATATTTGCATCTGCTATAGCCCCATATACAAAGCGCTGTCCAAATGTTTGCAAAATAAACGAAATGTATACTTTAAAAATTCGTTAGAGCAAGAACATAATCTAATTATCTTTCAATGCTAGTTAATAATAACTGATATATTAATGAATCTTCAGGAGTATCTTTAAGATGTCGATTCATTTATTTTCTGCTTTCTGACAGACTAAAAAGAAATCAGTTTTAATTCTTATGTAATTTTGTCGATTTTTTTATATTTTAAATTTTTTAAAGTTTTTTCAGAACAGAATTTTATATTAACTTCAAGCTTACAAAGTACTTTTTGTTTAGCTTAATAAATCAGCAAAAAAGAAGGTGGGGCTAAAGAAGAAATTCCGCGTTTTTTATACCATCCAAATTTCCATTCGATCGTTCATATGGGAGCTATATAAAATATAAGATAAAAGCAAACAAGGAAGTTAGGTCAGGATATCATTATTATTATCAGTTTATTGTAGTATTTGTATAGAAAGGTTTTTTTTATATTTTCAGAGCTTAACTTATTTAAAAAAATATCAAATTTCTTTTAAATTTTAACAAAAAGTAAATACAGTGAAAACTTTTGCATTTTAGCTTTTACGGTAGGAGCTGAGCGTTTATCACAAATCAGTCAGTTAGGAAAAACAATTTTATAATATTACATCAGCTCTATGTAATCGGGTAATATTTACCAAATGAGTCAGAATTGTGTAAAACCCTGGTAGTTAATCGGATTTAAAGTCTCTTTTAAGCCCTTTTATTGTATGAATTTGCAGCCTTCGTATACATATTTACGTATAAATGTCCATGGCCTGCTAAGACCTGTTTCAATCAATGTGACACAACGCATATCTTTCATAAAACTGTAAAACAGGAATATGTATCTGCAGCATTTGTTTTCGAATGTATCTGCAGATGACTTTCACGCCGAGTGCAGTCTGTTGCTCTGCGTACGATTTGCCGGCCGGCAAAAGCAATATAAACTCTAACTGCATTGTCTGCTCTTAAACTGAAGCTTTCATGTGCGCTCTTTTGTGACGCCCTCTCTCTCTTACTCTTTCTCTTAGATTTGAGCACACTTTGAATAGTTGTTTACTTTCGTTATGTCTGCGGCTTTCACCTTGAAAACTTATTAATGAGTTAATCTTTTAACCTGCACTTGTTAAGCTTATCAACGACTATTCAGACTGTCAAACATAGCTGTTGCGCCAACATAGCTCAAACACATATACATACATATATATATATATATATATATGTACATATGCTTTAAGGCCAGCTGTTCCAGTTGAGCTCATGACATCATCGGCAAATCCGCAGAGAATAAACAAGTTAGTCGCTAGGGCTGCGCACTTACTATAAACAAAGTGTATATAAGGCAATTAAAAACCTTCATTAAGATAGTTTAGTAGTTCTAAAAATAAAGAAAATACTTAGTTTTCTTTTTTATTATTTAAAGTTGAAAGGTTTAATTACAATATGCAATCATGCGCTATGCCCTTTGCCCAGCCCTTTTGGCAACCACGTTGTGCGGCATCAACAAACACATGTTTAGCAACTTTTTTTTTGTTGTTGGCCAAGCGCTGAGCGAGCTTTAAGAGCGCAGTTCGTTTTCGGCTCTCTGTGGACAGCTGTTTTGTTGTTGCTGTTTGCCTATTGGCATGCCGGCTTGTAGCCAGTTGAGATAGTAATGGTGGCGTATGCGTGATATTGTGTGTGTGTGTGTGTGTGTGTGTATTGGTGAGCTGTGTGACGCAGTCAAGAGCAAATTATTGCTTGACACTGCCCACGCCTAAGGCCGGCGAAGCCATCACACCGACCTGCCCCCTCTTTCGGCACATTGTGCACATGAAAACGTGTTCACTCGACATGTTTTTTTGCGATTGGCCGCACAGTAGCAACCCTCTCTCTCTTTGTCTCATTTTTAGTCCCGCTCTTTGGCAGGCTGTCGCTCTGCCACAGTCGGGCTCTCTTAGTTGGTTCTAACTCGTGCTTGGGCATATGCCATGCTTTTTTGTGAAATTCACTTCTAGTTGAGACGTTTAACTGAGCGGTTGCCCGTGTTTTATGCGGCTTATAAAGTGAAGAAACAGCGACAAAAGCAAAATCAAAAGCAAAAGCAAACGCAATTTAACGGCAAAAGCAGAATATAAAAAATTGTGTTATACTTGTTTTTGTGCGCAAAGCTTTGTTAAATTTGAATAAGTTGTTTCTTTCGAACGTTCTAATAAAAATGCCATGTGCTTGAAAAGCGCAAATTGAAAGAGAGCGAGAGACAGAGAGAAGAGGAAGCAGACAAAACAGACAGCAAACGTATTTAAAGCTAACGTCATCAACAAACAAGAAATAGAAGAGCAGAAAAATCCGTTTAAGAAATACAATATACATATATGTATATAGTTTTATATAAAAGAAAAACAAAAGATACTTTCAAGTGCTACAGTAGATACGTACGAACGCGTGTGTCGAGGTGAGAAATTCGAAGATACTCGAAATCCATATGCCACATGCACACACGCACACGCATACGCATATGTCAAAGTTGAGCGACAAAATGTCAAAAGAAAAACAAAACTTTATGTAAAACCGCAGTCGGCGTTACAGTAATAACTCAATATATTCGAAAAGAAAAAAAGACAATAAACAAAAAGCAAACAAATATACACTTACACAGCTTTATACATGCATACATATATTTATATATATTTTCTTCTATATATATAAATGTATATATGTATATATATTTACATATACTTTCCTTATATACCTATATCATTTCTAATACATAAGTTTATATTGTGCAAATCCAACGAGGCAACCTGTGTATATAAATCTGCTGCCGCAAATCAAAATTGAAATATTTTAACATTTCCTGTTAAAACGCTGTTGTTATTGTTATATTTGTTGTTGGTCTTGTTGTTGTTGCAGAGCCAAAACAGTGACCTGTCGCTAGTGAATCAGCAGGCGCAATCGCTCATACGCCAAGCGGACGCACGGAATCGCCAACTGATTGAGCAGGATAACGCTGCCCTAAACCGTGACTGGCAGGACCTGGTGCATAGCCTGGAGCAGAGGCGCGACAAGTTGCAACAGTTGGCCGAGCATTGGGATAGCTTTGAGAACGGCTTGCACGGCTGGGAGAAAGCATTAGGTCGCTTGGAGGATAAGTTCCGAAATGTCGATCCAACTGTAAGGTCGCGACGTCATTTGGAAGATACAAAGAATGCCATTCAGGTGAGTTAACAGCCACAGTTAACAGTTTAACAGTGCACTGTCAAGTGCACTGTCATTACTGTAAATATGTTGCTGAGCCTGTTTTTGGGCACATGAGCTCATTGGGCCAGGCCTAGCTTAATTGATTTATTATTATTTTTATTATGCGCACATGTGTGTGCATAGGTGTGTATACATGCAACTAATACCTAGTAGATTCATTCATTCATTTAGTTGCCTTCCCTAATGTCTGACTTCATATATGCACACGCACACTGTTGCCCGCATATATGTATATATGTGTGTAATATACATACATATGTTTATATACATTTGTACATATCTAAACACTATGCCGCCGCCAAGTTCATGGTCACACGCCAAGTTGTCAGAGAGCTTGCGCTCTCTTACTGGCTCTCCCGCTCTTTAACAGCTGTCCAAGCTGTTATTGATTGACTATGTAAAGCCAGAAACAAAAGTCAACATTTAAACTTTCAATTTCGTTTGGACATTTTTTCCTATTTCTTATTTTAATGATCTGTTCGCAGTTAATCACAGCTTAACATTAGTTATATGCTAATTATTGTTGCCCTGTTATACAACTGTGGGGAATTGTTTACGCAAATAGCACTTAGAAGCATCTTTACGAGTTTTGTTTTTGTTATCAACAATATGACTGATTTGTTGTTTTTGTTTTTTTTTTTTTGTCGCTTTGCATGACTTCATAGTGTGCGATAAGTTCTGTTGATTGCGTTAAATGCAAAGAGAAAAACTTATCAATATTCAAGCTAAATATAGCTCAAGTTATTTAAAGCGAAACATTTAACCAATGCTAAACATGGCATAATTATTAAATAAATACATTACACTAATTATGAATTAATTAGTTCATACTTGAAAAGACAGTTCAATAGATTTTTTATTAATATTCAGATATTAAATTGTATTCCAGATTGAACTGGAAATTGATACACAATATTAGAATATTCATAATTAACTAAATTTCAGCTTACAATTTAAATTTATAATGTTATATAATTGAATTCTAGATAGAATTAATATAGAATAAATAATTTATACAAAAATCAATTGCAATTGAAGTATTATCAGGCTATAGAGTCTGTGCCTTGGCTTCCAATTTATTCCATTAACAATGTCGTCTTATACAAGCGCCATATACAGATACGACTGTGCTCAAAAAATATCATCAAAAAATTGAAAAAAAAAAAAAAAAATTCCCCATTATGTAGTTAATGAAATACACATATATCTCTTCGACTATTTCTTATTTTATTTACATTTCGATTCATGCTGTGCCTGTCGCAAATATTTTATGTTGTCCATGCTCTTTTTTTCTATACATAAACCTCACATGAAATTTAGCTTTTAAGTCAAGTCAACGTTTCTTATTTTTATGGTGTTAACCTTCGTTCGTTTTGAGCGGCCCCAAAAAAAAACTGGAATTGAATTAAAACGTAGAGTAAATTTTATTTGTTTTGTTTGCGTTCGATTGAGAAAAAATAACAATTTTTGAGAGTATTTCGATGCTTCTTTGTTGGCTCTGCTAATTAGAGTGTATACTTTATTTTTGTGCAGGAACTGCGTGAAGAATCAAATGAACTTAAATCATCACATAAAGAAATCGAGGCGCTCTCAAAATCCATCCTCACATTCCTTGGGGAAGTACACAAACCCTCGGCGGAGGCCATACAGGCCAAAGTGGATAAGTTAGTCGAACAGCAATCAAAGTGAGTACCCAAAACAGTCAACATCATCTATAGACATATACATAAAGATATATTACCCTGTACACCTTACAAAATGACAATCAAACGAGTGGAAAATGGGTGGAAGTTTATTTTCTTAACTTGTGCGTTTGGCCTGTAAATTCAACTAACTATGGTTAACATTAATCGTAAAACAGGCGTGAAAATATCATTCGCAAAGGTGAATGGAATACGTTTCTATCAAACTTTTACTTTTCATGCGTTCTGCGCAAAATCCACGTGCTTGCGTGGAAAGTGGGCATTGAGGTTTTACAGACGAAAGTTCAACTTTCTTGCGTTGAGCTCGGAAAGTTTTTTTAGAAGCTTAACAAAAAAACTGACAGCCTAATTTGATGAAAGTACCATCTAATACATATATACTCAATGTATATACTAAAAAACTAAAACAAGTGCCGCTCTTTCATTCTTAATGTATTTAGACATTAGGTGAAACTGTGCGTGACGTTTGGTCCATTTATCGGAATGTTAACGCCGGAAATCGATTTCGCTTCGTTTGCTGCATAAATAAACGTTCTATAATTGATTTGCGTTTAATGTTAATTAACTAGTTTTTATTTTATTTTTTTTTTTTTATTGCCAATCGACAGGCAATACTATCTCGCAGCATTTAAACGGGTTCTAGTTTAAGTAACACAAGAGCATATTTATTTTGAAGAGCAGCAGACTTTTTCGGCTTATATCACAGCCTGTTTCTGCGCTTGTGACATCAGTGAGCGTTGCGTTTGGCATCGGTTGAGCAGCTTAGCCCTCGAAATTTCATGCTCAGCCCTCTCTGTCCCTCCCGCTGTCTGTCTCTCTCTCTGTGTCTCTGTCTGCCAACTGACGTCATTGCAACGGTTACGCTCGGCTTGCGGCTCGACTTGGGGCTTACATAAGTCTTGTTTTCTGAGGCATCATTAAAATGGAAGTTCTGAGAAAAGTAAAGTTCAACACATTGCACTAGAGTGCTGGCCATAAGTATTTTTACCCATACAAATGTATCAACAAACGGGCCATATCAACAGTCGGTGGGCATGCCGCCCTCTGATAACAGCTAACTGTGCCAAAGCTTTACACCTTATCAGCTGGTTCGCCTCTCGAAGACATTTACGATAATAGACAAAAGTTGGCGCTATCAATGTTTTACTATTCAGCGTCGCAGCGTTGCATGAATTATAGGTTAGGTTGTGGGTCCGCTACATCTTTTACAATTCTTATATAGTGTAAGAATTTGAGACTTTTCCATCAGCTATTTTAAAGTTTCTACCAATGTGGGACTTAGTTGTTATACAGTGTCGCTATTCGAGATTTCTCTATGATTTAACTATCCAACACTCTGGTTTTCTGTAAGTTGCTCCAAAGTATCTAAAGCTGTGTTTTCAGTTCTTCAAAGTTTCTAGAACTCTGATCCAGTTCTTATAGAGTTTGGCTATTCAAGAGCTCCCTAGGTTCAAAAGTTTCCACAACACGGAGAATTCCTTAAAATTTAAGTAAGCCGTCTTCTTTTAGGGCTAAAAACCAGCCCATGTGGTCTAGGGCCGGCATTCTGATTTGATTAAAATAAAATAATAAAAGGCAATCAATTTCTCAATCAATACCAGGGTGCATGTCTGTGAAAACCATGTACACAAACCTAAAGGAATTTGTCTAAACCGAACCGTAAACCGAACCAGCGACAAATTTTATTGTGCTTGCAGCCCTGATATATTTATATAGACCCCTTGTTGATAAGAGGCTAAAAAAACTTGATTGTTTTTTGCGGAAATTCTTTTGAACGGCGCTTGTCACAAGGAAAAGAAAACAAAATAGAAATAAAAAACAAAACGTTGCCAATTTGTCAATTGCCTTTTTTTCAGTATCTATACATATGCATACACACACATGCAGACATTTGCATAGCGAATTTCGCCTCCCATCGACAACATGCCGACGGCAACATTTGTGCCCTGCCAGCAACATCTGGTCTTAACAGCGCTTTAACAGCAGCGTTCTCTGCTAATTGTGGCTGAAATTCACCACGACTCACATTAACAGATGTGTGTGGTCGTCGATCACGTAAACATTTTGCTTGGCAAGAAAAAAAAGTATGAGAAAAAATATAATAAAGAAAAGAAAAGATGTACAAAAAACAAGAAAAACCTAAAAAGAAAACATGCCGCGGCCTTTCTTAATGCAGCACTGACACAAATTTTCACCCAAGACATGTGTTTATAAGTATTTTCAGCGTCAATTTTGTATTTGTATTTTATTTTTATACACATTTGTTTCATCCGGCTATTTGGCTGACAGGCGCGGTCTGCACTTTTCATGAAAAACGAGAGCAGCAGCTGTTGATTTCTTTTTGTTTTTCCTAATGTCTTTAGCCAAATCTCTTGCGTTGTTTCCGAAAAGTCGTGCGATAATATTTTTATGATGTTATCTGATCGAATACATTAATCTCTGGTACTAACTAGGCCTCTAGACTGGCAATTCAAGCGCCGTCAAATTGAAATTGGTTTAGATCAAAACCCAATTGTATTACAGTTAGTAATAAGTGTTTCGAATGTCATCCATTAGCATGCTTTAGGCAGTTTCATTTTTTTTTATCACGGGATGAAACGTTAAAAATTGAGTAAGTTACAATTCTGACAACAACAAAAAAAAAAAACAGTTGATTTCATATATTAAGGGCTACAACACTTGCACATAAAGTTAATGTGTCTGACAGATGTTATGCATTTAATTAACATTTGCATTAACGTTAAAATTACCGTTAATGGTGGGTAAATGGAGCGGTGTTAGTAAACGTAAAACAGCTGTTAGTCAAGTGTACTAAATCGTAATTATTATTATACCCTAACACAGGAAGTTTTAGTCATAAAAAGGTTTTTTAAACGAACAGAAGGAGATATTTACCAAACTTTATAGCTAAAACATAATTATAAATTATGCGATTAGAGTCTGGAATTCGAATTTAATGCAGTTTAACGAATTAAATACTGTTAATAAACATAATTTACATATAACAGATGAATTTAATGTATTTCGATCTTATTATGGAAAGGTATCATATATATTTACTTACATTATGTTAAGCTTGGATTATTGCATCTGAAATGGTTTTCAAGTCAGTTTCAATGTATTTTTGGCTTTATCTTTAGCAGCAAAATACAGTTTAGGGGCAAGTGTTTGTGACTGTTGCAAACATAAATTAACTTTTTATACAATCGAGAAAAAAGTTCGCACAGTTAACAGTTGAGATACTCTCCCAAGTCTCGCTTATAAAATATCTCTGTTTTGTTCTGTTCCCCCAATTTACATGCTGCGATTTAAATAATTTCTCACTTCGTCATTTTTGTGCCTCAAATAAATTGACAATGCCATCATCGAACCAAAAATGATCTAATACCCCAATGTTTGGTCATCGACAATTATATATTCCCAACTATGTACACATATTATATTTATATTCCTTAACTGCGACGCAAAATTTTGATGCATTTATACTTGAGATTTACTTTCGGCTGGCGAGCATGCAAAAATCTAATCAAAAACCCAAATAATACGCAAAAGTTGCGTAATCCTTTTGCATTAAAAAAGTATTTTTGTGTCTTTCCAGGCGATTATAATATTTATATTCTAGATAAACAATTTGAAGAATTATTAAAAATATAAGAGAGCACATTTAATTATATGCTTTCATTTAAATATTCGCTTTCAATAGCCTATTGCAATTGTTTGTAGCCAATATTAAGAGTCTTTAGGGTATACAAAGGAGGTGGAAAAAAAAATGGTATAAAAAAGCAACAGGCTAATGAAAACAAGTAAACAAGACGGAAATCGTATTGCTGACTTCATCGGCATTGTTCGAGTAGGAATACGTGCAAAAGATGTAAGCAAATATTAAAAAACTAATAAGCAGAGCAATTCGGCTAAATTGTTGCAGTGCAAACACTCAAAAATTGTTTATAAATCCGAAATTCTTCACGGGCTTAAAAAAAAATAATAATATATAATAGAATCAAAATACAACTAGAAATACACGCATACCATTAAAACGAAGCTAAGCATTTGCATTGACAATTTGTCACTTTGCACAAAAAAAAAAGAGAGAAGAGAAAACAATCAAGCGACAAAAACAACAATAGAGCAAAAACGTTGCCCAAATGAGGTAATCGCGTAATTATAAATTTATTTTGTATTTTTTGTTTGCCTTGGCTGGCGCTCACACTGTTAACATTGCACTGTTAACAGACATGCTGTTGGCTGTTCCAAATGCCATTGCGTTTCGCTGCGAACGCCTCTCGTCTCTCTCTTGCGTGCGCTCTTTCTCCCTCTCTCTCTCTCTCTCTCGCTCGCAGTCATTTATAGCCGGCGTTTTTACGAAACCCTCTTATCTTAACCGGCAAAAATAATTTGTTTTTGCCTTATCATTATATGTGTATGCACATGCACATATATCAACATATATATCCATATATTAGGCGAGTGCAGTTATGAATTTCAGTTTATTAATTCGGGGATTTTCGCATTTAGGCTATGCGGCATATTTGGCAGCTGAAATCAGCTGCGAATTTTGCCTGGCTAATGTGTAAGGCAAACTTTTGCTTAACTTTTCGCCTCATGTTCAATGCCAAGCGCATATACAAACTTATTCAATTATACAAAATTTTAGTGTTTCTCTCGCCTGTCTCTCGCTCCGTCTCACTCGCAGGCGACGAGTGCGTAGCTGTGTGTGTGCGACTGTGGTGAGTTGCGGTAACAGCAGTTTTCGTTCTTTTATTTCCGTCTCGCATTCCGCTGTTAACGATGATCGCTCGCACGTACGCCGACTGAGACGGCGGCAGAGCTGAAACGTTTTTGGCAATTTTTCTGCGCTGAGAATATTTTAGTTTTTATTTAGAGTTAGTTGCAAGCGGACGTGTTTTTTTTTAACTGGATGGCTGGAAACTAAATACGAAGAAGCGACCGCCCGAGCATAAAATATATATATATATAGACGCATATTTTTAAATCAAATAAAATACAATTTAATTAAGAAGCAGTAGAAATAGAAGCAGCAAAAACACAAAGAAGCGACAGCCCAAAGAGAAAAACAGTAAAGTATTTAACTCAAATAACTGTGCAGCTGTTTAAAGCAGCGTTAAAAATGGAATAATATACGTCATGTTCTTCTTTCTATGTTCTTTCATGCGCTGCACTTGAAAAACGCCGCTTTGTGGATTACCAGGCGTATACGCAATTAAAAGAGTAAACTTTTTTAGCTGCTGAATTTCGTAAGAAATTCAAGTTTTAGGCAAAAGAAAAAAACACAAACAAGCACAAGAAGTTAACAATTGTTAAGCACACGTCTGCCTCCGCAGTCAGGAGGTGCGACTGTTGTCGCTAACAACTGTCCAAAAACAATAAAAGACAGCAGCACACAAAGTAGAGAAGCTAGAGAAATAGAGCCAGAGAAAGAGAAAGAGGCGAATGCTAATTGCTAACACGCACTCTCCAAAAAGACGTCGTCAAAAGCAAAAGGTGAATGTTTATTAAAGACACTTTTATTTAAGCGTTGGCCCGCCGTTTGCCATGATTAAGTCATCGAGGACGGCTAAAGAGTATGCAAAAAACAGCCTCAATCTCGGGCCGGCTACGTACCGGGGTTGGGTCCGGGCCTCGGGTCCGGTCTTTGGCGAGGTCGTCAGGTGTTGTTGTTGTTTTTGGTTGCTATTCGTTAATTTTTTTTTTTCTTTCTGTCGCTGTTTTTATTGAGAGTATTTGCTTTGGCGGCGCGTGTCTCTGATTTGATGACGTCGTCTGCGTATCAAAAATAGCTAACATCATGCGAAAATCGCTCAAAATTCTTATCGAAAAACATTTAATTACAATAATTGATCAAACTGTGTGCGCCAAGCTTCTTATTTGATTTCTTTATTATTTTTGTCTAAGCATACGTATTTATAACAACACGCGTCGCTGTTGCTTTCGCTTTTCACTTTTGGCGCTCGCATTTCTAGCATAGTTTGCCATTTAAATTTAAAATATCTGCTAAATTTAATGCGTTAATTTGTACAGTAGTAAAATGGCAAACGGCTCTCAAAATAGCAGCAGGAAAAAACAAACAAAAAAAATTCTACAAAAATTGTTTTTTATTTTCTAACGATTTCTATTTGGTTTTTGAATTTATTAGAATATTTTATATACCCTGCAATCGTTAGAAAAGGGGCATGAAATGATGTCAAATAAGCTAAATGGAATTTGTTCTTTATTGATGACATTTTATTTTTTAAGATTCTTGGTAGTCTTATGTTTACACAGATCAATGGCTTCAAATTGTGAGAAACGTTTTTTCTGCTACATATTCCTTATCGAGATCAAGAGACATCTCAACTTAACTTCATCCTTTGGTTCAATAATAAATGCCATGAACTCGTACAAGCCAGACGCTGCTCTAGTTTGTTTATTTTGGTATTTCGATTTTTGATTTTCTTTTCGTTTTAACAATAAAAGTCCATTTCAAACTTTACGAGAGTTTATCAAAAGAGCTTTATGCTTTTTCAACTTGAATATTGAATGATTCTTTTTCCATTCCCCATCCCCGTCCTTTTACGCTTTTGTGATTGCCCCGATCTCTTGCTAGAATTTAAAGAACTTGAGACCGGTCCTCACAGTTGCCATATGGCAGGTCAGTTTTAATTTCGATATTTTGTTCTTGGTCTTGCTTTTGCCACAAGCTCTACGGAGTATTAAGCAGTTGAGCAGTATGGGCTCTAATATATTTTGCTCTTGTTTTACAATTAATGTGCTAAAAACTCTTTCGAATATTTGAATACAGCCTCAATTGGCCAACAGCCAATTGTATTGACTTGGCCTCCTCAAGGCGCGTTGCTCTTCCGTTTTAATTTCTGTTGTTGCTGCTGTAAAGGGCATCAGGCGACGGCGTCCTTCAACGCGCGGCCATTCAATTTGCGCACTCACGACCTAAACTGCTTTCCTATTTTTAATTGCTGCCTTCAACAACTTTTGTCTAGAGAGAGAGAGAAAACACTTGTTGAAATTATTTAAGCGCCCACATGGCGCTCCATACGAGCCGTGTGCCAGATGAGGGTTACGATCTGGAATGAGGCAGAAAAGATACGTTAAGTAGAAGGCAAATAGAGATTGTTCACTGACTCATTTGCAATGCAGCATGTCCGATGACGTCAGCTGCAGTTCGTCTGCTTTGACCAAGTTTCGGTTGGACTTGGCGAATAAATAAACATAAATACAAGTTTTAAATATAAATGTCTGCATCAAAAATAAACGCAGCCATTAAGCAGGCCAGCGGCGTGTACAACATAAATAATACTAACAGCAATAATAATAACAGATTTGAAAGATATACGAATTTAAAAAAAAAACGAAATAAGAAAATCTTTTCGAAAATCTGAAAAGCAGAGCACGCCTCTCCCAAGGCATTGTCGAATCATTTGCCATTGTATCAAATAGAATTTCGAATTCGTACACGTTTTCGAATTCGTAATATTTTCATGCCTTGTAGTCAAAATTTTTTGGCATTGCTATTCATTTAGTAAACTCTCTTGTAGCCAAACGGCAGCATTCATTTTCACGGAAATCTTCGTAGCGCCTCGAGGCCAACAACTGCCAGCCCAGTGGATATATAAAATTTTGAATAGCCCCAGCAAAAATATTGAAAAACTTCAGCCATTTTCTGATTATTTGAAAAGAACTTTTCTATAATATATGTTCACGTACATATATATACATAGAAGATAAATATATATATATATATATATATATATATTTAATATATATTGTGTGCAGCACGCGTAGCTGAATTCTATTCTAGAGCAAAAGACGAACCGCGTGGTTTTCACACACACACAAACTGTTTACATATTATATCTATATTATAGGCAGCTACTTTGTAGATACGTCATTGACTAATACGCCCCGGGCAAACTTTTTGTTCTCTTTTTTCTATTTGAATCCTTGCAGATTGAACGATACGCTACGCGATAAGGACCAACAGGTTAGCAAGGATCTCGAGGAGATCGAGCAAGTGTTCCGCCGCATCTCACAGCTGCAGGACAAATTGAACGCACTACACGAACAACTGCAGTCGGTACACGTCTACGACGAGCATATTGCCCAAACGGAACAGGTCCTCATCACACTCAATAGCCAGGTGCAGCAGGCCGGCGAGGAGAGTCGTGCGCTGGTTGCGCAAACCCAAGCGCTCTATCAGACCAAACAGAATCAGCTGCCCAGCGATATTGCCCAGGAGTTTACCGCACTTGAACTGTTAGCGGAACGCGTACAGGTGGCCATGGAGACCAAAGAGAAGGATTTCAAGCGCGCCAAGACCGTGCGCACCGACTATTTGGCCGGTGTGGATGAGATCCAACGCTGGCTGCTGCAGGCCGAGGTCCAGGTGCAGGAGCGCACACTGGAGCCGACACAAATGAAGGAGCTGCTGCAGCGCATCAATCAGGAAATTGGCGCCATCTATGAACGATTCACGCTGGTCAAGACCAACGGTCAGCTGATCATTGAGAACTGTCGCAACAGCGAGGAGAAGACGCTGGTGCAATCGACCATTGATCAGCTGGCCGCGCAGCTAGCCCAAGTTCGTGGCTGGTTGGATGAGAAGAAGCAGGCTGTTGGCGACAGCCTCGATGCCTGGACACGATTCATGAATCTGTATCAGATTGTCATGTCCTGGGTGGCGGATAAGCGCACGTTCATTGATCAAACCATCGAGCTGCGCACCCTGCCCGAGGCGCGAACCAAACTGAACGACTATGCGGCGGCTGTGAAGAGTATTAAACCGATTGTGAAGCATTTGAGCGAAATGGATAAGGAACTGGAACACATTGGTCAGGTGACGACCGTGGGCGATCTCAAGGATAAGCTGCAGCAGGCCGAGGATGCGAAGATAGCCGTGGAAGCAGTGCTGCTGGAGAGGGTAAACCCGCCGCCAACCCGACAACCCAAATTATGCATCTAAACACGCTTTTCTTTTTTTTTTTTTTTCATTTTTGTTTGTACCACGCAGAACTCACTGCTGCAGGAGGCCTGCGAGGAGTGGGATCAATGCGAGCGCAAGATCAAGGACATACGCGCCTGGCATGAGAAAACCAAACAAACATTGGACTCCTCGCCGCAGCAAAAGAAGCCGCTGCGCGATCAATTGGGCTACTGTGAAAAGACTCTGGCCGACATAAATGTGCAAAAAACCAAACTGAGATTGTCTATTGAAAAACTGGAGGTAAGTGACCCATTTGCATAGCTAATCCGGAATGCGTTTCCATGCTCAACACATCTTTTAGGTACATTTCCGCAACGGCATGGGCGGTGATCCGCGCCTGAGCGAGAATGTTGATGATTTGGTGCGCGTGCTCGATGGTCTGGGCGAACTGGTCAAAGCCAAATCTCAGAGTCTCGAGCAGACGCTAGCCCAAATCGATGTCTATCAACAGCAAATGCAAACGCTGCGCCAGCGTATTATACAGGAGGAGCAGCAGCTGCGTCTGGTCATGGCGCCCACGTACTTGCCGCACGATCGTGAGCGCGCATTAGCCGAGCAACAGGTACGTACTGTCCAAAGCAAAACTGAATCTGATTTCTTGTGTAGAGCACAGCCTTCAGTTAGAGCAGTTAGTAATTGCTAGCTAGCAGCAAGTGCCAGTTGAGCAGGAATATGATAAATCAGTTTAGGAATGTCTCGATATATCCATTTAACATATATATATGCATATCTTTCAATAGTAGCTCGTAAATAACAGCAACTGTTAAGCTAAGCTGAAGTACGATTATGTCCCGATTTTCGATCTCTAGTATATCCCCCTTCATCATATTCATGCTACTTATATAATGAACGATTCAATTTTTTTATTATATTGTGCTATGCAACAGTTGACAGAACAACCAGTTTGTTGGCCCAAAAAGTTATTAACCCTCAAGTAACCATAGACCACATTGAATCCAAATTCAATATTCAATTAAAAAAAAATATATACTTTAAAAATAATACAATTTATTTAAAATGAACGCTAAAGAATTGTGCGGGTAGGTCCGGAATAAAAATATATAAACCAAAGTTGCACGGTGGCTGCGTATTTAGTTCTATATTAATTTATTTTCATTCTTTTTCATTTTGTTTTCAATTTTCAATTAATTCTTTTCATTTCCTTATGTTTTTCAAGTGCGCATTTTATACTTTTCGTATACTTAATTTTTATTTAATTTCTTTCTTTTTTTTTCCTATTCGGCATATAAGTTTCTTTTTCGTTACGTTCTTGCTCAATAGTCAAATTATTCTTACGTTTTTATTATTTTCGAATTCGATTTATGCCATTCATTTCACGCACACACATACATCCATATCCACACACAAACACACACATCTACACTCTTCATATTTGTGCTCTCTTTTTTGTGTTCTTATAATTTGCGAACAAAAAATCATGTCATACCAACCGTGCAGCTCATCCCACATCGAAAAACACATTCGCCTTGTTTGTAGTACATCTCATCCATATAGAATGCTTTCATACCATATCATGCATAATATATATGCCTTTGATGCCCATTATTGTTATGTCTGCCATGTCAAAAACTCAAACATTTTGTTGTGTCTGTAAAACAAAAGTCCAATTCCGATTTCGGTTCATTGTCACGTGCTAGAGAATACAAATAAGTTCTTGTTGCGGGGGTAGCCCACAAAAAAAAAGAAAATCAGAAGCGTATTTCCGAAATTCTAACATTTTTTCTCCAGCCCATTATTCAGTCGGCTATTTTTAGTAATGCCGGATTAACGCAAATAAATATCTCACAGTTTATATATCTATCTATATATATATGTATGCGAAAAAGCAGGCCTATATTTGCATAGTTTATATTAATTTTAAACAAATTTTGTTTTAAGTTTACATTGCGAATTGCAGTGTCGGCGGTAAGTGGCAAATTCTAAAGTCAATTTAAACAAATTGTTTTTCAAAGAATTTTTTGGGTTTTTCCTTTATTGACAGTAGCTACATTTTGGGGCAACTCTTGCTATGAGAACTTATTTTCATTCACCTTTCACAAGTACAATTAAAGCATATTTTCAATATGGCGGCACATTTATAAAAAAAAAAAAAGAAAAGTTTACATTCATAACATCTTAAATCAAATCACATCACATCACATTTTCTGGCACAAAAAAAGAAAAAGAAAAAACACATTATGCTTAACGCTTAGACATTTGTCATTTATGATTTTCTTTTTGAAATTTTACTTTAATTAGTTAGCTTAATGGCCGGGCAGACATTTTCACATTAAACCGCTCGAAGTCACAGCTCTCTCTCTCTCTCGTTACTCTCTTACTGTCTACCGTAATAGCGCTCTCTCAGTTATCTTTTAGTTACACAGTATGGTTACGGTTTTAATTTGACTTATATATTTTATTTTTTTTTGACAATTGTATTTCTTTTTATCTTTTCTCTTCGTACATTCTTATTGAAAAACAAATCTGGTGTCGTTGCGCTAAAAAAACAAAAAACAATTAAAATTTTAAACACTACATAAACATAAAATTAATTGTTCTTACTAATTATTAAACTACATGCTTATATCTCTAACCGGGTTCTTGGGCTTTGCTCGCTTGCCTCTTGTGCCTTTTGCTAAACTAAACATGTGACTAACCCTCAACAAACCCTTTCTCGATGCTGCTGCTGCTATATATCCTCAATGTAACACTCACACATACACGCACACATACACATAACTACATACACACACATGGGTATTGCGTACTTCTACAAATACATAAATAAAATATATATAATATATATATATACTTGGTATCTGGTTGCTTTATCTTATGGCGTATTTATGCTCGCTGCCTACAAATATCAAAATTATGATTATATGCTGACCTTCTACTTCTTCGCCAAACATTTCTTTCTCTCTCTCTCTCTCTCTACAAAAATGCACCATACGCATAAACAATATCACCCCTCAATAATTTTATATATATACATATATATCGATATAGGCATGTCGTGAACGTGTCAAAAATTTGCATTCGAAAATAACCGCACGCAATGAGCGCATCAAATTGTTAATACATCGCGGCACGCCGGACGATGCTAAGCTAGAGATTTAGAGATGCCGCAAGCTATGGCAAAAACAGTACTTATAAGTCATAATTATATATGTGTATATATACCGATGTATACATATATATAAATATATATATACCATATATACTAGGACTAGATCGCCAAAGAAATGAAATTGAAAACCAAAGCAAAAGCTAAGCAGCCACCGCGGCGTTTCTCGGCGTTTACGGCTGCCACTGCAACAGTCTCCCAATGTGGCAGGGGCAGCAGCTAAATATGCCAGAGCCGCCGTAACTATTATATTATATAATATATATATATAACGTACATGACCCAAATGCTTAAGAAAATTTACAAAAAAAAAAAAAGAAAGATTTAATATTAAACTATATATTTTTAAAATGAAACCCCAAAAAAAAGAGTATTTTTTGACTAGGGAAAGCCAGTTTTACACAGTTTATTAGGTAGCTGTTAGGCCCATGTTCTTTCAAACAAATGAAAGCTAACCGTTTTTTGGCAAATCTTCCCCCAATCTCTTTCTCTCTCCCAACACACAAAAACACACACCCACACACTCTATATCTCTATCGCCCGTTACTGAACGCATAGGCAATGCGACAATCAATCGATGGCATGCAGCAAAACTACGACGCAACCGCCGCCCAATCCTATGCTCTGGATCCACATTCAGTGGTAACCACTTCATCGACTGTCTCGTTGCTTATGAAGCCAACGGCAGTAGGTCTAACCTATGCTGAAGTGTTATCAGGACATGCGAGTCCGGTAAGCGGTAATGAAACGGCGACGAACCCCAGACACGAAAAGCAAGAAAAACCCGACACGACCACGACCCTGACAACGACAACGACAAGGCAACAACAACAACAGCAACAACAAGATAAACAACAACAACCACAACCACCACAAACGAACTCAAACCAGCAGCAAACGCAAATTACAACTACGATAACAACAACATCTACATTGACAACCAGCGTACGCACGCACGAGGATGAGCAAACGCAAGAGGAGCCACTGACCACCGTGCTTTATCAGCGGAATCAACGTGTTTCACCACCCAGCAGCACCAATGCCACCTCAGACTATGAGGATGCATCATTGACGCCGGCTGTCGGTGCCACCCAATTGAAAATTGAAACAACCAGCAGCACCACAACAGTGGATCAACCAGTTGCTAGCATTGTCAGCAATCCTAACAGTCAGTTTATTGAAATGGAGCGTAATCAGCAGCATTTGAATACGGGTAAGAAATTGCAGCCACCGCGTCCCGAACGCCGTGGACGTTCGCCCAGACGCAGACGCGAACCACAAACCACAATACAGGTGGGTACAACGACACAACTGGAACAGCAAGCCCAACCACAACAACAGCAACAATATCAACATCAACACCAACACCAACACCAACATCTTTATCTGCCACACGAGGATCGCGCGCGTTCACGTAGCCCCATGTGGGTGCCGGGTTCTACATCTTATGCGGAGGTTCTGCGTGGCATGGAATTGGAGCGTTTGCAGGCCGAAGAGCTGGCGCGGCAAGCGTCTCAGCCGCATACGGAAATAACCATACAGGATGTGGTAGATGCTAGTGCTGCAGCGGCCAATATTTATGTGCCACAATCCGAACCGGAGCAGCATCAACCGCAGCTCGAGCAGTTCATTGGTGAGCCGAACACGGAGCTGAGCTATGCTCAACTTGATCAGAAGCAGCCGCAGCTTCCCAACTATGAGGTGCCCATGAGTGCGGAGGAGATCACCGCCACCTACTTGCAGCCAGATCCGCAGCTATATCAGACAATGTATGAGAATGTGGCCGATAGCGGACAATGGGGCTATGTTGCGGAGCCAAGCGGCGAGCCACAGCCCCAAAATTATTATGATCAGATCATGCAGATGCAGTATCCCATACAATATCAGCCTGTGGCGGTGCCACCGACAACAACACAGTACCAGCTGCTGGCTTATCAGCCAGTTGCACAAGCGGAGACTTACCCCACGGTATACACAACGGAATCCTCACAGATCTATTATGCCCAACAGCCGCAAGAGTACACGCAGGAATATGCCCAAGAGCAGCAGCAGCAACAGCGGCAAACGGAAATAAATCAATACGTGCCTGTCTATCAACCGGAAATTGTAGATCAGGCTTATCTGCTGGAGCCATACCGCACGGATGTAACTCCGACAACCACATCAACAACAGGCAATAGCGTACTCGATCGTGTGGTAACTACTCTCGCATCGATGGTGCAACAAAGTGCGGAGCCTTTGACCACGTGCACCCAACAAATACAGGCAACTATTGTAACGCCACATAATACTCAGGAACAGGTGCCACCACCACAGGTGGTGTTCATTGAGGAACATGTACAAATGCTGCGACCAGTGGAACCGCAAGAGTTTGAAATGAATGAGCCACGTCCCGACATTACCTTTGGTCAGTTTGATGTCGATGCGATTGAAACGATACCTGTTGAGGTATCTCAACCACAGCCTCAAATACAACAGCAACAACAGCCACATCAGACCGTAACCACAACAAGATATGTGGAGGAAACGATTATCTCGCAACCGATTCAGCCAACTGTGATAGCACAAACGAGTAAGGATATTGTCGCAGCTCCAGATAGTTTCGTCGTCCGTCCCCAAGTGCAACAGCCCAATCAAAATGTGTATCAGCAACAACAAGATAACAGTACTGGCAGCACCTATGCCGAAGTGCTCTTTGGCCAACAGCATAGATCACATCCAGTTTTCCAGCCATCCAGTCAACAGCAACAGATACCAGTACGTGTAGCGACACCCATGTCGCAAATTCGCAATGCTGAACATGCACCAACAACCGCCACCACAAAGCATACAACAAGCACTACGGTGATTAAAAATCAGCATGGTAGGTGGACGGAAAAGTCCGATGAAAACTCTGAGGGAAAGATGCCGAAGCCAAAACGACAGCGTCATGAACCACAACCTGAGCCATTGCCCATTAAGGTAAGCAGTAGGAAAGATCACAAAACAGGTAGAAAACACAAATCTCCAGAAACAAATGGTGGAGCGCACAGTCATGTGGAGAGTGTGCCTGTATCAAAGGTAATTTTCGTCGAGGAGATGCACAAGCCGGAACCCAAAGCTAGAAAATCTAAAAAGAGCAAGCATCCATCTGAACATTCTTCGGAGACAACGATTTCAAACAAACAGATTGTTGAGCCGGTGAGGGTATCTTCTCCAATTAAGGAGGAAAGGCAAACTGCAAATGTTGTGGAAACGACAACAACCACAAAGAAAACAGCCAACCCGGTGGTTGAATCCGTCAAGCAAAAGGAGAATCCCATCGCAGTTGAACCCAATGACCAAGCGTCTAATAAGAAGGATAAAAAGAAGTCGTCGACTGTAATCGAGACGACAACTATTACGACAAAATCGGTGGAGCCAATTGTGAAGGCCACTAAAGAGGCCACTATTGAGCAGCCAATTGTTGATATAGCTCCCATTGTTACTGCTCCATCAAGGAAGGACAAAAAGAAACCTAAAGCTCCTGTAGAAACTCCTAGTGTTTGGAAGAAAACAGTTGATTTTATTGGATCAGTGATCAATCCAGCCGAACATGTAGTAGAACCTACTGATGATTCCTCGCCAACTTTATCGGTTCCATCTAAAACTGATGGAAGGAAGACAACAATTATTGTAGAAACTACGACTACTGAAACTTCCAAAAACGCAGTTGAGCCTATCAAAGAAGTTATTAAACAACCAGACATTGATATTGAAGTGGCGCCCACTGCTGATCCAACTCCCGCTGTGTCTACTCCAACTAAAAAGGGTAAAAAGAAGATAACTAATGTTGAAAGCACGAGCACTACGATATCCGATAAAACAGTTGAGCCTGTTAAGGACGTCGTGAAACCGACAGAAGCATCATCGATCGTTGAACCCACTTCGGATCAAACTCCAATTGCACCCACTCCAGCTGAAAAATATGAAAAGGCAACAACTATTGTTGAAACTGAGAACACAACTTTTGAGACCTCCGAGAAAACAGTGGAGCCTATCGAAGTAGTTATTAAACCAACAGAAGCTGTACGTGCTGTGGAACCTACTCTTGATCCAACTCCTGCTGTTTTCGCTCCAGCTAAAAATGATAAAAAGCAATCTAAAAATATTGTGGAAACTACGATTGTCGCAAAGAACACAGTGGAACCTCTTGTTGAAGTCACTAAGCAGACGGAGGCTTTACCCATTGAAGAACCAGTTGTCGAAACTATTACTAAGATAGAGCCTGTTATCGAAATCGTGAAAGAAAGCGTTGTTGAAGAGATTGTAAAACCAGCATCTGAAACTGCTTCTAAAATCAAATCTCCAACAGAAAAAGATGGAAAGCGTTCAAAGGTTACGGAGAAGCAAACAATTACGGCGAAACCCGAAGTGAAGGCAGAAGAATCAAATGAATTCGATATTGTTCAACATGTTACCTTTACTGAACCTCTTGTTGCGGAGCCTGAGGAGACTGTTTATAGATCTGCTCAAGCATTCGAGCCAACTACAGTATCAAGGATCGAAACGAATGAATCAATACTAGAAAGCGAACCTGTAGTAACAACCTCTACCAACACGATTTCCACAGAAAGCGGCACCACTACAATTACTACCAGGACCATAACAAAGCATATTACCAAGCGCATAGTGAAGCGCATTGTCGATGGTAGAGAGGAAATTGTCGAGGAAGATGTAATCGATGATTTGCCCGAAGAAAATATATCCGTAGAGCAGTTCGACCTACCTTTAATTGAAACAACAAGTACAGTGCCCGGCAGCATAATCGTTCCTGGAATATCTTCAGCTCAGGATACAACTGTTGTTCAGGGCGGTTCCATTACGAAAACTACAATAACCAAGACGAAGCGTATCCTCAAGCGCATTACCGCCGATGGAGAGGAAGTTGTCGAAGAAGTATATGAGGATGAGCCCGAAGTGGAACGAGACATAACATTGCTTCCGACTACAGTGCTCACTTCTAGGAACTTTACCGAACTGAATCAACCGGTTGGATCTCAAGAAGCTATCCTCGATGCTGCACATCACGCTGTTGAGGAAATTGTAAGCCAAGCCGAGAAAGTAATTATTCCCGAGCCACAAAAGCCCCCGCGTAAGGACAAAAAGGAACCGGTTGTCGCGGTTGAACCCGAGGAGAAACCACAAAAGCCCATCCGAAAGGATAAGAAGAAGAAACAAAAGAAATCCGAAAGCGAGGAAATCATAGAAAAACCTGCAAGTCCCATTGTGCAAAACGTAGCCGAAATTATCGAGCCACAAGCACCACTAGAAACCACAGAGCCCCTGAATACAACAAGTGCAATTACAACCGATGAGAAACAAACTCAGTCATCCGATGGATCTGTTATCAGCGATGATGGCAGTCTTATCAAAACCACCGTCATACGTACAACTAAAATCGTGAAAAAGATTAACCAACAAGATAGTCAGGAAATGTCCACGTCAACGTATTCGGATGTACCTTCGCTGGATTCCTATGAACTTGCCGAAGAAATTGCAGAACAGCCCAAAGTAGAGAAGTCTGAAATGAATAGTCGTGAGGTTAGCGATGAAGGTGTAGTTAAGACAACTAAAACCACGACCATACGCACGACCAAGAATGCTAAGGCTGAAGCTGAAAAAGAACCTGTCACCGAACCCGTTAGTGATGTGGAGATTTTACCCGAAACAAAATCAACTGTAGAGGCTGTACAAGCTGATGACGATTCGGTACTAAAAACAACAATTGTGCGTACAACGAAAATAATCAAGAAAATTACGCAAGACTCGGACACTATCAGTGATAACAGTATTACATCAGAGCCAGCTTTGGAAACAGTTGAAACCATTATTCAGGATGCACCAATAGTAGCCGAATCGGTTACTACCGAATCAAATAGTGAGGGCATTACGAAAACTATAACCACGCGCACTACGAAGGCCGTAAATAAGACGACAGTTGAGAGTGCAAATGAGCCTGCAGCTCCCGAACCCGAACAATCTGCTGAGCTTCTACTCATAACGCCGAAGCCTACGGAAGCGGTGAATAGTAGCAGTATAAAGTTAACAACGCTTGATTTCATAGCCTCTGAAAAGCAAACTGCAGAGCCTGCACCCGAGAAAAAGTCGCGTAAATCAAAGAAGCACAATAAGCAGAAGGAAGCTCCAGTAGCGGCTGTGCCCAACCTAACTGAAGAGATTCAAGACCTTGCTCCAGTCCAAGATGAACCTCAACAAGATGTTAAAATAACTGAGGCAGTATCTGAGGTAGTATCTGAACTTCTCGATGACAATGTTGGAAATGATGTGGTTAAAACAACAATCACGAGAACGACCAAGATTGTTAAAAAGGTGGCCCAAAATGTTGATAAGCAGAGCATTGCTGAAATTCAAGACAATCAGAAGCCTGTTGAGCACACTCTGGTTGCTGCTGAACCAACTAATGAGGAAGCTGGTGGTGTAACTAAAACAACAACCGTGCGTACGACGAAAATTGTGAAGAAGATGATCGATGATGGCGAAACAACAACAGAGAGCAGCACGACAAGTGAGCCAATCACTGTGCGCGAGTCCTCTCCAACAATATCAGAAATACCCAGTGAAACTTCAACTACATCTAGTCAGGTTGATGGGGCTATAATCAAGACAACGACAATTCGTACTATGCGCATAACAAAGCGCATTACAAATGACGGACGCATAGTTCTGACCGAAAGTGACACACCTAGCGATGTTATTGTGACATCTAGTATTGAAATGCCCGATCAAAGATCAACAAGCCCCATTGTATCTTCACGTACAAGGACGGAGACAGCTTCACCAGTTGTCACGACAAGCACCGAAACTAAAGTTGCTAATGTTGGTGTCAATATTGAGTTGGGCATTAAGGACACCGCAGGCAAATCTGGTGTTAAGGTTCTAGATATTAAGACAACTGAACTACCGACTGTGAACACAGAAAATACTGCGTCGAACGGGGTAACTGAAACAGACCGCATTGCCACTACAACTACAACAACTACCAAAAATACAATCCTTACAACGACACAACGACGTAGCTTCGAAACGGAAGATGGCACAAATGTTCTTTTCGTTGGAGAAGGCATTGACGGAGCCTATCCACCAGGCACTGTTCAGAAAATTTCTTTAATTACTCATGAAGAGAAGCTAAAGACTCCTATTGTGAAAATGCACCTAGATTTTCCGGAGGTTAGTCTTCGCGTAACTGAGACTGTGACTGAAAACGTAGAGTCCTTGCATAGAACAGCCGAAACTAGTGCCACTTCCATTGTTGACTTTGCTGACTCCAAGCCAGAAATAGTTGAAGCGGTTGAGGTTAGCATTCCAGATTCTTTGAAACAGGAACAGGAAGAACAAGTTGCTATGGCAGATACGATAGAGCAGGTTGACAAGCCGAAGGCAGTAGAAAACAGCAGTGAACCCCCATCTGACTTAAGTCCAGAAGAGCAAAAACTGTTCGAAGACATTCAAAAGAAACTGTCAAAGAAAGATAAGAAAAAGCGACCCGCGATTCCCGAAGAGTTCATTAAGCAAGAAACAATTCAGGTTCTCGCTGAAGAAAGTAAAGGTAATGACACAATTACAATTACTAATGTAGATAAACAATCTTTAATCCAAACACCTACATCCAACGATAATCCAGCGCAATTAGTGCAGAATATTTGTCAAGATCTATCATTGATTTCGAAAGCAAGTACCATTGGGCACGCCAAGGCTGAAATACTTTACCATGAGAAAATGCAAGAAACGCCTGAAATTCCTCCTCAAAATACTCAAGTAGAAACGCAAATTGATATTCCATGTGAAGCTCAGTTATCCCCTGTCCCTACTAATATTGCTAATCAAATCGCTCCTGCCAAGCCAAGCGCATTAACTGCTGAAGCATTTGTGGTTAACACGGTAAGCACTTCAAATATCACTAATATACAAACTCTTACTCCAGCTGATAAGATTTATGAAATTCCCAAATACAATTTATCTCAATTTAATATTGCTGAGAGTCAATATCACATAATTAATTCTAAACCCGTGAATGTAGAAACTCCCTTATCTGCGTCATCCAATCAAGATCAACCGACTGTTGAGACTTTGCCGGTTGTTACTAAGGTTGATTCTGTTATTAGGGAAACTGAGGTGGGTACCTCTTCCGAAAATCTAAAACAATTACCCACTGAAAAAGTATATGAAATTCCCAAATATAATTTATCTCAATTTAACATTGCTGAGAGTCAATATCACATAATCAATTCGAAGCCTGCGAACGTAGAAACTCCCTTACCTGTACCTACGCCATCCAATGAAGAGAAACAGACTGTTGAGACTCAACCGGTTGTGAGTACGGATGAATCTGTGGGGGCTATCTCTCCCGAAAATCTGAAACCAATTTCAACTGAAAAAGTATATGAAATCCCCAAGTATGATATTCGTTTATATAATAATGCTGAGGGTTATTATCACATGTACAAAACGAAATCCGAAGAGACATCATTGCTTACACCAAGTGATAAGCCACTCTCAAATATTGAAGAACACATACCGATTAAAACTACGCGCACTGAAGAGATTTTACCAATTCAAAGTCCGCCAACAACAGCCATTACCACATCTTTGGATAATTCTAATGAGTCTGCACCTCAAAAAGAAAATATTGATGATATTTCTTCTGTCTACAACTTTGAAGTTCCAAAATATAACACCATAGGCCAAAGCTACGCCGAAAATCTATACAGACAAAACCTAAACAAACATGAAGAACTCCCAGAACAGACTGTTCCTGACACGTTTGAAGCAACAATAGTAGAATCAAGCGAAATTCCAATAGGACCGTCAACTGATAACAACGATGTTAACACAACTACCGTTCCCGAACGCGCTACTACAGGGACAGTCGTTGAGCCCGAAAAGGTTCTTGAATCTTCGGTGTCAGACGACACTAAGACAACTGTTACAGTCACAACAACAACTACTCTGAAGGAAACTGTCAGTGAATCTGTACTACCAGTAGAGCCGCAGGTTGTGGAACCGGAACAGAAACCCGAGGAGCCCAAGAGACCAGCATATGCTGGTCTGCCAGTAGATGAGTCAAGCACTGCTTGGATGGACGTCATGGACGAACCAATGACATTCTCTGACGAGGAAGAAGAACCAACCAAGGAAGCCCCAGTTGAGACGGCACCTGCTCCTGAACCCATTACAATAACAACAACAGAAACATTTATTGAACCGGAAACAGTTCTTGAATCTACGGTGTCAGACGACATCAAGACAACTGTTACAGTCACAACAACAACTACTGTGAAGGAAACTGTCAACGAATCTGTACTACCAGTAGAGCCAAAGGCTGTGGAGCCGGAACAGAAACTCGAGGAGCCCAAGAAACCAGCATATGCTGGGCTGCCCGTTGATGAGTCAAGCAATGCTTGGATGGACGTCATGGACGAGCCAATGGCATTCTCTGACGAGGAAGAAGAACCGACCAAGGAAGCCCCAGTTGAAAAGGCACCTGAACCTGTTACATCATCGACTACAGAGATAGTCGTTGAGCCCGAAAAGGTTCTTGAATCTTCGGCGTCAGAAGACAGCAAGACAACTGTTACAGTCACAACAACAACTACTATCAAGGAAACTGTCAACGAATCTGTACTACCAGAAGAGCCAAAGGCTATGGAACCGGAGAAGAAACCCGAAGAGCCAAAGAAACCAGCATATGCTGGTCTGCCCGTCGATGAGTCAAGCACTGCCTGGATGGACGTCATGGACGAGCCAATGACTTTCTCAGACGAGGAAGATGATTCAACCAATGAATCCCCAGTTGAGACGGCACCTGCTCCTGAACCCATTACAATAACAACAACAGAAACATTTATTGAACCGGAAACAGTTCTTGAGTCTACATTGTCAGAAGACAGCAAGACAACTGTTACAGTCACAACAACAACTACGGTGAAGGAAACTGTCAACGAATCTGTACTACCAGTAGAGCCAAAGGCTGTGGAGCCGGAACAGAAACCCGAGGAGCCCAAGAAACCAGCATATGCTGGGCTGCCCGTTGATGAGTCAAGCACTGCTTGGATGGACGTCATGGACGAGCCAATGACATTCTCTGACGAGGAAGAAGAACCGACCAAGGAAGCCCCAGTTGAAAAGGCACCTGAACCTGTTACATCATCGACTACAGAGATAGTCGTTGAGCCCGAAAAGGTTCTTGAATCTTCGGCGTCAGAAGACAGCAAGACAACTGTTACAGTCACAACAACAACTACTATCAAGGAAACTGTCAACGAATCTGTACTACCAGAAGAGCCAAAGGCTATGGAACCAGAGAAGAAACCCGAAGAGCCAAAGAAACCAGCATATGCTGGTCTGCCCGTCGATGAGTCAAGCACTGCCTGGATGGACGTCATGGACGAGCCAATGACTTTCTCAGACGAGGAAGATGATTCAACCAATGAATCCCCAGTTGAGACGGCACCTGCTCCTGAACCCTTTACAATAACAACAACAGAAACATTTATTGAACCGGAAACAGTTCTTGAGTCTACATTGTCAGAAGACAGCAAGACAACTGTTACAGTCACAACAACAACTACTGTGAAGGAAACTGTCAACGAATCTGTACTACCAGTAGAGCCAAAGGCTGTGGAATCGGAACAGAAACTTGAGGAGCCCAAGAAACCAGCATATGCTGGCCTGCCCGTTGATGAGTCAAGCACTGCCTGGATGGACGTCATGGACGAGCCAATGACATTCTCTGACGAGGAAGAAGAACCGACCAAGGAAGCCCCAGCTGAAAAGGCACCTGAACCTGTTACATCATCGACTACAGAGATAGTCGTTGAGCCCGAAAAGGTTCTTGAATCTTCGGCGTCAGAAGACAGCAAGACAACTGTTACAGTCACAACAACAACTACTGTGAAGGAAACTGTCAACGAATCTGTACTACCAGTAGAGCCAAAGGCTGTGGAATCGGAACAGAAACTTGAGGAGCCCAAGAAACCAGCATATGCTGGCCTGCCCGTTGATGAGTCAAGCACTGCCTGGATGGACGTCATGGACGAGCCAATGACATTCTCTGACGAAGAAGAAGTCCCAGTAGAAAACGCGCCCGTTCCTGAACCCGTTACAACATCAACTACAGAACTATTTGTTGAGCCCGAAAAGGTTCTAGAAATTTCGGTCCCGGAAAATACAAAGACAACTGTTACAGTCACAACAACAACTACTGTAAAGGAAACAGTTAGTGAAGCACAAGATAAACACAGTGAACCTGAAAGGAGTCCTGTCTATTCCAGCTTGACACTTGAGGGGCCAATTGATACATGGTCCAGTGTCTTGGAGGAATCCGCCCCAAGCTCAGGGAGTATTGTTTTCACATCAACCTTATCTGCCGATGCTCCGGAGTTTACGCCTTCTTATCTTAGGCATGCATATGCCGATCAAACACACACATTCCTTGCCAATGAGAGAGTTTATAACGAATTCATTCCGCGAAGTAGAGCAGAGCAATCGATCCCAGTTACAAAGAAGCCGAAGAAAGTTAAACCAGCTAAGCGTCCAAAGAAACTGGCTGAAGAGGCTCAAGAAGACCCAATTATTCCTCCAGTTCCGCCAACATTTGTCTTAGATTCAGATCAGACAGTTGAGCCAAGTGTATGGGAAAATAATCGAGACGGAAAGTCCTACGCAGATGTTCTGTTTAGCTCAGGCGATAGTAGCGAGACACAAGCTTCTGAAAAGCCTGTAATTGTGAAAGCACCAAAGCAAGACGTAGTTGAGTCCTTGCCAAAGAGTGATAAGCCAAAGGAGCATAAGAAGAAGCAAAATCAAGAAAAACAGAAGCCTGCGGAATATATCCAAGAAAGTTTGAGCACCGGCTCGTCAAAGCCTGCCACCACAAGCTCCAAGGAACCATCATCTGACGAGCAGGACGTTGTAAAAACATCTGAAATGAGCTGGTCTGCTTTAGTTCAAAGACCTGGTGAATGGGTCGATAACACACTAGTCCAAAAGAAAGCATTGCATCCAGATACTATACCAGATGACAAGAAACCCAAAAAGGAAGAGAAACCAGAACGTAAAGCTACCAAAACAAAGAAATCTAAAAAATCAAAGAAACCGATTCAAGATCAAACTTCGACCACTTCTGAGGATGAAAAGAATGAACCTGAATTAGCAGCGACTTTAACAAAGACAATAATAAAAGCGGAGACAATGACAAAACCAGAGGAAAATCTGGAACCCCAATCTCAGGAGCCCGAAACCAGCGGCTTTTCATGGGCTTCACTTGTAAAAAGACCAGGGGAGTGGGTTGATACAACTGTGACCCATATTAAGACTGCATTGACAACAACTTCAACGGAAAAAGTAGAGCCAGATCGTCATGAACAAGAAAAACCACGCAAGGGTCGGCAACAAAAGAAGGTAGAACGAATCGAGCCTAAAAAGCAACAAGCGCCAGAGAAAGAGGAAATCATATCTAAGTCAACTCTTAACAAAGAAGTTCCAATCGAAAGTGAACCAGAAAAGCAAAAAATTGTTGAAAAGCCGGCGGCAAGTACTACTGATACGTTTTCTTGGGCAGCTTTGCTTAAAAAGCCAGGTGATTTCGTAGATGACATTGCCTCCCGCAAAAAGCCAACTGCCATTGCGAAAGAGGAAGCAAAACCAGAACCTAAGTCACGGAAAGATCGTAAGGCTCCCAAGAAAGTATTCGGGACCGAAACAGATGAAAAGAAAACGACCGAGCCTAAGTCTAAAAAGGTGGAAAGTAATCTTGTCTCCTCAACATCTGATGACAGTGATGTCATTGAGACGTCATCATCTCCAACTCATGAAAGCGAGGTGACAACTTGGGCCAAGATCGCCAGTCAAATAGATAAAATGACTGATTTGCCACCCAAGGAAAAGCAGGAGGTTAAACAAAAGCTAGCAAAGCCTGTAAGACACCATGTGAAAGTAGATCGTACTGAAAAGAAAAAGGCATCAGCAAAGGAAACCACTCGTCGTCAAGATCAACACACTGGGTCTTGGGCTTCAGTTGTAAGCCAGAAAACTATTGATTTTATAGAAACGGAGAAGGTGATTCCAAAGGCAGTTTCTGTTAAAAAGGCAGAAATATCTGTAAAGCCTGAGTTGGTTTCTGAATTCCCATCAGCCGGCATCCTTGACAACCTCGAAGACAAAACACATAAATCGTGGGCTGATATGATTGACGACGGTGCTGATGATTTTGTTGTCGAACACAAATCTTGGAAAGAATTAATTGAAGAAGAAGTGGAAATTCCTCTCCTTGCTGAAAATGGAGATGAAGCGAACATTAATAAAATAATCGACACCATCCAAGAAATAAAATCTGATATCTCTCTAACCGAGGAGCCCACCCAAAAGCCTTCGGCTGTTTCTAAAAACCCTAGAGAAGCTGCAGCACTAAAAACACCAAGCGACATCGACATTCAGCGTTCTGAACCTGAAAAGGTTCTCGTCTCGTCTATTCCTGAGGACACATCAACAGCTGTAACAGTCACAACAACAACAACTACTGTGAAGGAGACTGTCTGCGAATCTATAGCACCAGTAGAGCCGCAGGTTGTGGAACCCGAGAAGTTCGACGAGCCCAAGAAACCAGCATATGCTGGCCTGCCCGTTGATAAGTCAAGCACTGTCTGGATTGACGTCATGGACGAGCCAATGACATTCTCTGACGAGGCAGAAAGACCAAACAAGGAAGTCCCAGTTGAAAAGGCACCTGAACCTGTTACAACATCGATTACAGAGACAGTTGTTAAGCCCGAAAAGGTTGAATCTGCGGTGTCAGAAGACACCAAGACAACTGTTACAGTCACAACAACAACTACTGTGAAAGAAACTGTAAGCGAATCTGTAGTACCAGTAGAGGCAAAATCTATAGAACCAGAGAAGAAACGCGAGGAGCCCAAGAAACCAGCATATGCTGGGCTGCCAGTAGATGAGTCAAGCACTGCCTGGATGGACGTCATGGACGAGCCAATGACATTCTCTGACGAGGAAGAAGAACCAACCAAGGAAGCCCCAGTTGAAAAGGCACCTATTCCTGAACCTGTTCCAACATCAACTACAGAGACAGTCGTTGAGCCTGAAAAGGTTGAATCTGCGGTGTCAGAAGATACCAAGACAACTGTTACAGTCACAACAACAACTACTGTCAAGGAAACTGTCACTGAATCTGTACCACCGGTGGAGCCAAAGGCTGTGGAACCCGAGAAGAAACCCGAGGAGCCAAAGAAACCAGCATATGCTGGGCTGCCAGTAGATGAGTCAAGCACTGCCTGGATGGACGTCATGGACGAGCCAATGACATTCTCTGACGAGGAAGAAGAACCAACCAAGGAAGCCCCAGTTGAAAAGGCACCTATTCCTGAACCTGTTACAACATCAACTACAGAGACAGTCGTTGAGCCTGAAAAGGTTGAATCTGCGGTGTCAGAAGACACCAAGACAACTGTTACAGTCACAACAACAACTACTGTCAAGGAAACTGTCACTGAATCTGTACCACCGGTGGAGCCAAAGGCTGTGGAACCCGAGAAGAAACCCGAGGAGCCAAAGAAACCAGCATATGCTGGGCTGCCAGTAGATGAGTCAAGCACTGCCTGGATGGACGTCATGGACGAGCCAATGACATTCTCTGACGAGGAAGAAGAACCAACCAAGGAAGCCCCAGTTGAAAAGGCACCTATTCCTGAACCTGTTCCAACATCAACTACAGAGACAGTCGTTGAGCCTGAAAAGGTTGAATCTGCGTTGTCAGAAGACACCAAGACAACTGTTACAGTCACAACAACAACTACTGTCAAGGAAACTGTCACTGAATCTGTACCACCGGTGGAGCCAAAGGCTGTGGAACCCGAGAAGAAACCCGAGGAGCCAAAGAAACCAGCATATGCTGGGCTGCCAGTAGATGAGTCAAGCACTGCCTGGATGGACGTCATGGACGAGCCAATGACTTTCTCTGATGAGGAAGAAGAACCAAACAAGGAAGCCCCAGTTGAGAAGGCCCCTGTTCCTGAGCCCATTGCAGTAACACCTACAGAAACATTCACTGAGCCCGAAAAGGTTCTTGAGTCTTCGGTGTCAAACGATACCAAGGCAACTGTCGCAGTCACAACAACTACTGTGAAGGAAACTGTCAGCGAATCTGTTCTACCACTTGAGCCTAAGGCTGTGGAACCCGAGAGGAAACCTGAGGAGCCCAAGAAACCAGCATATGCTGGCCTACCAGTAGATGAGTCAAGCACTGCGTGGATGGACGTCATGGACGAGCCAATGACATTCTCTGACGAGGAAGAAGAACCAACCAAGGAAGCCCCAGTTGAAAAGGCACCTATTCCTGAACTTGTTACAACATCAACTACAGAGACAGTCGTTGAGCCTGAAAAGGTTGAATCTGCGGTGTCAGAAGACACCAAGACAACTGTTACAGTCACAACAACAACTACTGTCAAGGAAACTGTCACTGAATCTGTACCACCGGTGGAGCCAAAGGCTGTGGAACCCGAGAAGAAACCCGAGGAGCCCAAGAAACCAGCATATGCTGGCCTGCCAGTAGATGAGTCAAGCACTGCTTGGATGGACGTCATGGACGAGCCAATGACTTTCTCTGACGAAGAAGAAGAACCAAGCAAGGAAGCCCCTGAACATTTTACAATATCAACTACAGAAACATTGATTGAGCCCGAAAAGGTTCTTGAATCTTCGGTGTCACACGACAGCAAGACAACTGTTACAGTCACAACAACAACTACTGTCAAAGAAACCGTCAGCGAATCTGTTCTACCAGTTGAGCCAAAGGCTGTTGAACCGGAGAAGAAACCCGAGGAGCTCAAGAAACCAGCATGCGCTGGACTGCCCGTAGAATCAGAGCCCGGTGCATCACAAGTTGAACCTGAAAAGTTTGTAGAATCGCCTGTTACAGAGAGGGTCGGTGAAATCCAGCGTCAAGAAATTTTGGGGGCCATTGGGGGGCCATCAGCCATCAGCGTTTGGGATCAAAATTCATCATATGCAAATGTACTCAAGCACACAATTAATTTCATAGATGGTGAAAAGAAAAACGTTGAAAAAATCACGGATAATAGTACCCCAACCACAGCACCTGTTCCAATTTCTGAAGTGGTTGAACAAGTTGCTAAAAAACCTAAAGCAAAGAAAGACAAAAATAAGAACAAGGCAGTTGTTGAAAACGTAACGAAACCCGAAAGTGAGGTGATTGTAAATGTTTCTCATTCAACCATAAAGCTAAAAACAGAAGAGCAAAAGGAGGAAACGAAGCCGCAAAAATGGTCAGAAATTATTGACGATGAGGTTAACATAATTCCTGATCATCCACAACCGGGAAGTCTTGCCTCTTGGTCCTCTATAGTTCGCCAAGGAGTCGAAGAGCCTTTCACCAAAATTACCAAAAAGGGCCCCGAACCTGTTAAGGCTATAGAGTTATCATCAACTGAAGGCTTAGCAGAATTGCCTCCAGCTGACAATGCAGAGGATGTTATTTCTCAAGAACACGTGTCGCCCACAGTAAACGATAAAAATAAAAAACAAAAGGCAAAGAAGACGAAGAAATCATCAGCAAAAACTGTTGTATTGGACCCTGTCACTCATGTAGATACTTCAGAGGCTCAAGCGACTCCTGAGGAAGATATTTCATCACAGACTCAATTGTGGTCATCAATTGTAACACAAACTGTAACTGAATGTGAAACTGTCTCCTCAACCTCAACTTTCAACCCTGAACAGAATACGCTCTCCGATCTTAATGACAAGCCCAGAAAACACAGTTCCAAAAAGGAAAAGAAACCTTCCAAGCCCGAAAATATTCCAAAATCGCCAGTTGAAAAAGTTCATAATCTGCCAGAGGTAGAAAAATTGGAGCACACTGATAATGTTGAAGTTTCACCACCCCAACTGCAGTCATGGTCCTCAATTGTTTCTCAGACTGTGGAAGTTTCTCCCGAAATAATCGAAAGTCCTACAGACTTAGTAACGGATGTTGTTCCCTCCACTGATCATATACAGGAGTTTATTCACAAAGAACAGAGTTTCTCAACCATTGTTAATGACAAAACCAAGAAACAAAAATCAAAGAAGGACAAGAAACGTCCGCAGATCGAACCTAAACCAGAACCAGCTGTGGAAAGGACTGATGTTGTTGAGGCAAAACAAGAAGTAATCAAGCCAAAGTCAGCCGATAGCCTAGAAGACAATCAATCGTCAGCTCCATCGTGGTCAACAAATATTTCGCCATTAATACCAGAATCTGATATTAGTGAAATAATAAACGTTGGTACAGCTCCATCCGCGCAAGAAATCAAGGACTTCATTCATATGGAGCAAAACTTCTCCACCTCTGTGAATGGCAATCGTAACAAACAAAAGCCCAAGGAGGAGGAGTCGCTTGCAAAGGAACATGTTGCTAAACCAGCTCCTGCCAAAGAACTGGAAAAACAGAGTCAACCAGAACCAGTCGAAACTATAGTACAGATTCCATCACGAACTCAGTCTTGGTCTTCAATTGTGTCCCAGACAACAGTTACAGAAACACATCATACAGGAACGAAGCCCGAACAGGTTCCTTCAGCTCCTGAAGTGAAAGACGTCGTCCAGAAAGTGGAGGATATTCCAGCTCCTGTTAAGGAGAAATCTAAGAAACAAAAGTCAAAGAAGGAGAAGAAGTTGCCGCAGGTCAAAGATCATCATGCATCAAATGAAGAAATATCAGTTGTTGTTGAGGAAACTAAAGATGTAGTCGAACCAAAATCAGCAGAGTGTGTTGAAGCTCCAACTCAGTCTTGGTCATCAATAGTTTCGCAAACGATCGAGGTTCCTGTAACAATTACTGAAACTGTGCGAACTGAAATAATTGCTGAACCAGCTCCTTCCACACATGACAAAATACAGGATTTCATTCACAAGGAACAGAACTTCTCAACTGTTGTGAACGACAAACCTAAAAAGCAAAAGTCGAAAAAGGAAAAGAAATCCCGTCAGACAGAAAAGGAGGTTGAACCAATTGTTGTAGAAACTGGCTTTGTCCCAGAATTGGAGAAACAGAAGGAGCCGGAAACAACTGAAGTTATTGTAGATACGCCATCCCAATCTCAGTCGTGGTCATCAATTGTTTCACAAACAATAACAACTACAACTCATCATACCGATATTAAACCTGAAACAATTTCCTCCATTCATGATGTGCAAGACTCGATTCCCAAAGAACAAAACATCTTTACTTCTGATAATGTCAAACCAAAGAAGCAAAAGTCAAAGGAGGAAAAGAAATTGCTGCGAGACGAAAATCAACCAGAACCAATTGTAGAGAAAGTAATAGTTGTTGAAGAGCCACAAAAAGTCGATGAGCCGAAATCCGCAGAAAATATTGCAGATACGGTTGAAGCTCCTCCAGCAATTACTGAAACTGATATAAGTGAAATAAACACGCATTTGGTTCCTTCAACGTTTGACATACAAGACTTCATTCGTACAGAGCAGAGCTTCTCCACCCCTGTGAATGACATTCCCAAGAAACAAAAGTCCAAAATGGAGAGGGCGCATAAGACGGAACATGTCGCTGATTCTGTTATTGTGGAATCAACTCTTGTCAAGGAACTGGAAAAGCAGAGTCAACCAGAACCAGTCGAAACCATAGCAGAGATTCCATCACAAACTCAGTCATGGTCTTCAATTGTATCCCAGACAACGGTTACAGAAACGCATCATACAGGATCGAAGCCCGAACATATTCCTTCAGCTCCTGAAGTGAAAGACGACGTCCTGAAAGTGGAGGATATTCCAGCTCCTGTTAAGGAGAAATCTAAGAAACAAAAGTCAAAGAAGGAGAAGAAGTTGCCGCAGGTCGAAGATCAGCATCCATCAATTGAAGTAAAATCAGTTTTTGTTGAGGAAACTAAAGATGTAGTCGAACCAAAATCAACAGAGCGTGTTGTAGATAACGAAGCTCAAGCTATATCTTGGTCATCAATAGTTACACAAACGGCCGAGGTGCCTATAACAATTACTGAAACTGTGCGAACTGAATTAATTGCTGCACCAGTTCCTTCCACTCATGATAACATACAGGATTTCATTCACAAAGAACAGAACTTCTCAACTGTTGTGAACGACAAACCTAAGAAACAAAAGTCGAAAAAGGAAAAGAAATCATCCCAGACAGAAAAGGAAGTTCAACCAATTGTTGTAGAAACTGTCCTTGTCCCAGAGTTGGAAAAACAGAAAGAACCGGAAGCAATCGAAGTTATAGAAGATACGCCATCTCAGTCGTGGTCATCAATTGTTTCACAAACAACAACAACTACAACTCATCCTTCTGAAAATAATCCAGCAGTTTCCTCTGCTCCTGACGTCCAAGATTCGATTCACAAGGACGAGAATATCCCAGCTCCAGTCAATGATAAGCCTAAGAAGCAAAAGTCAAAGAAGGAAAAGGAGTTCCCCCAAGTTGATCACCACCAAGAATATATTGTAGAAAAGACGGCGGTTGTTGCTGAGCCTAAAGAAATAATTTACACAAAATCGGTAGATAGTGTTGTGGACACAGATTCTTTAACTCAATCGTGGTCATCAATTGTTTCCAACGCGGCTGAGGAACCTCACACATTTACTGAAACAGCTCAAAGTGAAATAATATCTGAACCAGTTCCCTCTAGCCATGACACTATTAAGGATTTCATTCAAAAGGAACAGAAATTCTCAACCGTTGTAAACGACGAGCCTCAAAAACAAAAGTCTAAAAAGGAAAAGAAGCCGCCACAGCCCCAACATGAGGCTGTAGCAGCTGTTGTGGAAACTACGCTTGTCAAAGAACTGGAGAAACAGAAGGAACCGGAAATAATAGAAAGTACGGTAGATACGCCATCTCAACCTCAGTCCTGGTCATCTATTGTTTCACAAACAATTACAACTACAACTCATCAGACTGAAGTTTTGCCGGAAACAGTTGACTCCACTCCCGAAGTACAAGACTCCATTCATACAGAGGAGAACATTTCAGTCCCCAAGAACGATAAGCCCAAAAAGCAAAAGTCGAAAAAGGAAAAGAAGCCTTCCAAGGCTGTGTCCGTTTCAGAGATGGTTCCCCACATGCCTACAAAAACCGAAGCCCCTCAAATTGAAGAAAAAACGGAATCTTCTGTAGTATTAGAAAATGCTCCAAATACCTTGTCATGGTCGTCGATCGTTTCACAAGCGGTTGATATTCTCCCAACATCACAGGAGCTTATTTCTCACGAACAACAGAAATTACCAGCAGTGTTGGAAAGATCACAAAAGGTGGTAAGACCAAAACCAGAACACCTTTCCAAAGCGGTTGTCGATGAACTGACTAGTGTAATAAAAGAGCCTGCTATCGTTACTGATGAAACACCATCTCAAACTCAGTCGTGGTCATCAATGGTATCGGAATCAATCGATGTACCTTCGTCCCATATCATACAGGAATTTATCCACAACGAGCAAAAGTTGACACCAAATTCAGATCACAATACGAAGAAGCAAAAGCACAAAAAGGAAAAGAAGTCTATCAAAGTGGAGATTGATCCCAAACCAATTATGGAAGAAACTACTGTTGTTCATGAAGTAAGGCCCAAAGTAGAGCCAGAATCTGCATTGGTTCAGCATCACGATACGGTTGAAATCACAACATCTCCTGATTTTAATATTCAATTGCCAAAAACAAAGCCCTCTGTATGGTCCCTATCTGAGACCTATGCTGAAGTCCTAAAAAAAACTGGATACGAAAACAACACAAACATTCGCTACCAGGATTCTGAACCTAAACGTCAAAGTAGCATTGAGAAGACTGAAAATGAACATCAAAATATAGCCGTCGAACGGCCACAAAGTTCGTCCATTGTCTGCGTTGATGAGTTCCCCGATCCTGTTATTCCTGCGTCTGTTGGTAGATTCGAAGATGAACCAGTTGAATATTCTGACAAGCCATCAACATTGTCATGGAAGGAAATCATGGATGAAGAAGTGGATACGGATATACCGGCATGGTCTGCTGTTGTTCCAAAAGAAACTAATACCAATACAGAACCAATCGTTGAAAGGCATTCTCGCACAATCAGTCGACCGATTATACAAGTGACCGAAGTAAGTAAAACCGAAGAACAGGTCAAACCACAAGATGAGCAAGGTTTCCTGGAGATAACTTCAAAGAAACGAATTCGTTCTCGATCACGTTCACAACAGTCGCAAAGTTCCAATGTGGGAGAAAAGCCACAAAAGAAAAAATCTAAAAAACCAAAAGAAAACAAGCTATCGAAGCCTTCACAAATTTATGCTGATCCTGTTAGTGTAATAGAACCGTCCAAAAATATAGTTATTCCAACTTCTCCAATGGAGGAAGAGCATAGCCAAACTACTCCTGCTTCAATACCGATCACATCGGGTATGTCATGGGCTGCAATCGCTGCACATAATGTTCCAGAGCCAGCACAGCAAATTCGTCTCCTTCAAATTGAATCTACAGATAAAATTGTGGACAGCGTGGAGAAGCATCCAAGGAAAGATATCACAGTCAGTATACCACTAACATTAGAGACGGAACCAAAAACTAAGAAACCAAAACAGAAGCCGAAGAAGAAACCTGCAAGTGGTATTGTTGATTTTATAAATGCTGAAAAGGAAAGTACGCAAAAGTCGAAGGTACCAGAGCAGAGCAGACAAGACCGATCTCCTCAGGAGCCTCTGAAACCCGAACCAGTGATAGAAACTGTGGAATCCAGTAAAAAGGTAGACAACGTTTTAAAACCTGTTGCACCAGTTGATTTAGCGCAGCCCATTGCTGAGCAAGCACCTTTGGCTCCAATTACTAAAGAATCCACTACAACAGTGACCTTAATTGAGGAAAAGGCAACCTTATTACCACCGGATGTCGTGTCTGTTGAGCAAAACGAGCAAATTCCTGTTATTTCAGTTGATATAGTCCAGCCAAACTCCGAAAAAACGCTTTTGGCTCCATTCGAAATTAGTGAGGAATCCAAAAACACAGTTACTTTAGTTGAGAAAACAATTGAACTTATTTCGGAACAACGTAAAACTCCTTCCGAAGATTTGGAAACAGCTGTTGCTCCAATTGATACTGTTGAAATAATGGAGCAGACACCTTTAGCTCCATTCAAATCTGTTGAAGAGATCACTACCACAGAAGCAATATTTGAAGACAAACCTTTGCCAACAGCAATCGAAACTGTGTTGAAACATGTAGACACTGTGGAGCCGGCAGAAACTCCAGTAGTTTCCGTCGATAAAGTTGAACAAACTGTTGAACATGCACCCTTGGCTCCATTCAATCCTACAGAAGAACCAAATTCCAATGACGCATTTATATGCGAGACATCCTACTGGTCTGCCACATTAAAGCCTGGTCATAAAGCAGTAACAACTACTGATGAAGTCGTCGAACCCATTCCAGACGAAATTAAGGAGGATGCTCCAATTACAGTTGAAATACCCATAGATAATACCCTTGCGGAAGTCGCAGTACAATCGCCAACTGATCAGCCAACGACGTGGTCTGCTATTGTTCAAACTGAAACAAAGGTATTCCCGTCTCCAGCTATCAAGGAAGAGGCTGCTGATGTGCCTGCATGGTCCACTGTGGTTGTTAGCAAAACAACTGACTTCCAAGATCCTAAACAACAACAAGATCTTGAGAATCAGGAAACAACGACAACGACAATAACCAATAATACAACCTACGTTACAACAACAGTAACAACACACAAAGACGTGAATATCACTGAGGAACAACCAACTTCGTACGTATCAACCGTGGTGACAACTCATTCAAATGAACTGACAGTTGAGCCCGAATCTACGGAAACAAGCGTTACGGCAGTAGAGCCAGCTGCTCCCAGCAGTTTGGATATTCTAAGGAAAAACCTACACCTTGACTCAAATCTACAATATCCCAAATACAACATTGCGGAAACGCAGTATCAACTATTAAAGCAGAATAAACCCAAGGAAATTGATGCTGTGGAGATAACAGAGTTACCCAAGGAGGAAACATTTATAAATGATTATGTGATAATTGAACCCGAAGCAATGCCCGAAATTAACTCGGAAATTCTTGCTTACAATTTGTACCTTGATAGAGAAACGCTTTTGCGTCCCATTCCCAATGATACCATTAGTCAGTTGCATTTATTGAAAATAGTACAGCCCGTTGAACCCAAAGTAGAAAGCAGAGTTGAGGAGGTGCCGCCTGTGGAAAAGCCACAAACTAAGGCTGAGGAAATTGTTTCAGAGAAAACGCTGATTCAACCTACAGTTGATATAGCAACTGGAGTTGAGGAAATAGCAATAGTCAAACCCAAACCTGAAATAGAGAAAGTAATACTCGTTGATAGCTCGTTGGAATCGATTTCAACACCCTTAGCGCCCATATCCTTAGCCCGCAAACCAAGTGAGCTACTCTGGCACCTCAGTCAGGACAACTTCCCGAAGTATAAGCAAACGGCTGAAGACGCTTACGGACTATTTAAGACAATTACCAGCGACTCGACCAAGACGGATACGGATACAGAGAAAACTCAGGAAACTCAGGACGATAAGCATAAGACTGACATCATTACTGAAACTGTAGTGAAAACGACCACGATTACAGAATCAAGCAAATTGATAACTGATCACGTTGTAGATAAGACTGAACCAGAATCATCGTCAATTGTAAGCATTCCTAAAGTTGAAGTGCCGGCAGCAGCGCCTGTCAGCAGTCTCGATCAGTTGCGTCTAAATCTGTACCTGGATGACTGGCAAACGGGCAGCATCGATGCAGATTTATTCGAGAGCAGCATCGACAGACTGAAACGTGCTGATGTGCCGGACATTGATACAAAACTTGACAAAGACAAGAAACCCGACGATGATATCAAGAAACCAGACAAAAATGACGATAACAACGATGATGATGACGATGACGATGACGACGATGACGATGATGATGGAGATAAACTGACTGTGCCTGAAATTCGTAAGCCGCATGACGACGACGATAAACCTAACGACCGCGATCCTGGTAGTGGTAGCAGTGGCAATGCAACACCGACACCCGAACACGACGCAGCTCAATACGAACCCAATCAGAGCTGCTCCTCAGAGTATATGTCAACCGATTTGCCAGGCGGCGTAGGTCATTGGCGGGACCAAAGTACTTACTTGGCTTTAGAAGCTGAACCTCAGATTAAACTAGAATTGGCACCAACAACAGTAGAGTCTAAGGATGTTCTAACCGAAACTAAAACCATAGAGCTGGCACCCTCTGTGCCATCTAAACCAGACACGTCCCCAACTACTACTACACCCGAAACAAGTCCCACCCCACCCAATGCTACTACAAACGCAGCAAACGTTGCAAATGCACTAATCCAATTGGCGAGCGCCACAACTCACACGCTGAACGCGGCTGCCAATGCGGCGGCAACAGCAACAAAAACGACAACACTGGCAGCGACAAGCGCGATTCTGCCAGTTGCAGCAGCTGTAATTAATAAGCTTACGGCCCAGACAACAACGCCGACAACATCCGTGGAGACAACAGCAGCCGAGCCCGAGCAGCAGCCGGAACCGCAAGCGCTCACAGCAACTGCTGCTGTTGAGTCGCCTGCGGTTGCTGCCAGCACACCAGCAACAGTTGCCGAAATGACAACGACAACAACAACAACAACAGAAAGCAGCGAGCCAGCCGCTGGGTCTGCTCCGATAATTGACAACACAAATATCGTAAAGCGCACTGTAGTTACAACTACAACGGTAACGACAACAACAACCAGTGAAACGTCAGCAGCAACACCTGGCAGCAGCAACACAACGACTACGACAACAACAACAACTAGCAACGATTTGCAACAACAACGCCAGAAGGTGAAAATCACATTGAGCCTTCAGTTATTCATAATTTTAATATTTGCAGCTTTTTTGTGTGGTTTTGGTATTTGTTCATGGCTTTTATACGGCAATCGCTCAACTTGTTGTTGTTGTTGCGGCCCTGCCAGCAGCAGCACATGCTGCACATTGCTGCCACCAGCAACAGAAACGCACCCTGGTAATGGCCCGCAGTAAGGTCGACCATGGGTTGCCGCTCCTTGTTGGCCTTGGCGCATCGCGGGCGCCCCAACAAAAACATAACAAAAAATTAAAAAAAAAAAAAAAATACACACACATTTATAATATATTATACTAACGTAATTATCAATTGTTAATTCTTATATATCCTGCAATATCTTATGTTTTCTTATGATTTTCATTTTTTATTTTCTTAAGATTTTTTTGTTTATTATCTTTGTATTGTACGTGTTGTTCCGCTAATTGCATTCATCTATCTATATATATAAGATTAATCGTAATATTATGAGTTATATACACGCTCTTCTATCTACTTAGACTCTAGTTGTTTGATTGCGTTACCAAATGTTCCTTACTAATTGATCTTAACCTATTGTAAAATTGAGTAACTACTAATACTTAGTAGCATTATAAACGTACTAAAGTCAAACTTAACAAAATAAAATAAATATTAACCAACTTGCACGTTTTAATATATTGAAATCTATTTTAAATATAAGTATATATATTTGCACAGTTTTATTTTCGTATAGGCACACGCACACACTCAAACAGACACACTCACGCAGACGCACATATTCTTCGCACTTGCACATAGTGCTGCCTAAAAGTGCATGCACACCACAGTTTTCTAGCAGAAAATGCCCGTTTTTATGTACCACAAATCGTATACTTATGAGTTCATTGCCTTCCTGTCTGCCGCCCTGCAGCCCTCGCCAAATGTTAAGCAATTTTCCTGTTTGTTTTTGCTGCAGTTTCCCCCAGTGTGTGCTTAGTTTTTGCTATAAATAAATTACAGATCCATGCAATGCAGACAGTATTACTTGCTCAAAAATACCTCAGTGCACCAGTCACTCGGTCCTGGTCTTGCATTCCAATTTTTAGTATAGATCGTGAGTTCAATGCAAAATGTACTCAGTCAAATAGTTTGCTAAATCAAAACCAAATTCTTAAGCTTTCAATTAGTGCATTGAAGAACTGTTTAAAGGCCGGCCAAGAAAAAGTAATCATATATGTGAGTGCTAGTGCTGAATATTTGATATCTAGTCTAAATGAATTTGTCATAGGATTACGGACAAAATAACCATCAGTAAGAACATTTATATATGTTTTGTTTTACCCTGTACCCCAGTGAGTTCATAAATGGTTTCATTAAATACTGTAAGTACGTGGTAGCTTGAGATATTCCGCGGATCGTAAAAGTAAATATGTATATATTTGTTATTATCGGTCCGGTTTTAAGAACATGACTATTTTGGAACTGAGAACTTAAACAATTGATATGTCAAAATAATAAATGTTACCACGTGCCATTATAGGAGTGGGGTACAGGGTAATTGCCAGTCGAGCATGCTCGGCTGTAGCTTGATTTAAGCTTGCAATATGTAACATGTTTATAAAATAGCTTTAAGTTTCCTAGTTATTTCCTTGCTTACCATAATTTTCATATTCTTTTTCAAAATCAGAGTCTAAAGATTTTTTCACATTGTTTCAATCAAGTTACAGCCCTTTGCTAGGAACTATCGCATTTGGTGCTTTTGTCTATCCGCTGTCCTTTTCGCCATATACTCATAATATGCCGCCGTTCATATACCTTAAAATTTTTAATGCCATATACGCATGCGTTACGTTAAATGCAGTTATGTTTATGCTAAATATGTACTACTTAAATATACATATAGAGATATATATCAAAACAATTATTATGCATTGCCTACCCATATGTATGGCTGTGCGTGCGTTTGCATCCATTCAAAAACAACAAAATGTTTTACAAACTTTGCTCATCATGTAAATATGTTGTGTGCGTGTATAAAAGCCGCCAACAAATATTTACAATGTTAACTAGTTATTTGATGCAAAATGCAATTGTTATTCTTATTAACATGTTTATTAATATTCCCCAACACATTGCACACATATATTTAAAAAAAAAAAAAACAACAACAAATATATATAGGATATAATCACACAAGAACTGGAAGAACTGCTACAATCGCTATCAACCGTCGAGGATGGCATTGGAAATATGAGCCACAGCAGCTTGGAGGGCATGCTACAAGGATTGAAGGTAATTTAGAAGCTATTTAAACTGAATCTAAAGCACGTATTTACCTGGCATACTTTTGAATAATATTAGATAATAATCCATACTGACACTGTATATAGCCGTAGTTTTGTATTTTTGCAAATTAAGAAACGATTAATGGATGCTGGCGTGTGTCACACAAATTAAATAACACATTCGCATCATTCCATAAATAATCGTACATATTGTTATATCGTATATATTACCGATAGAAGTTTTTTGATTAGCGTACTCTTAGTTCTGATATACAATTACATCTCGTCTTAAATGATTTTACTATATAGTAGTCGAACCCTTTGACGTCTTACTATTTATTTACTTACATATAGTAGGTGTACATTCAATTCAATTCTTGTTTTTTGTCATTTTGGCAAACTTTTGTTAAATGCGTTTTTTCTGCTTGATGTGCAGCTAATCCAAAGCAATCTAGAAGTACATGAGAAGGAAGCGCTACATCTTAAGGATCAAGCAAAGGCATTGCCCACAGATCCTGGCACAGAGCGTTTGCTTAACGAGACCGCAGATCGCATCGATCTGCTGCTGAGGCGCACACAGCAAGGCATTACCATGATAGCCGTGAGTACAACCTATCAATATATATATATATATATATAGCACCTGCTAAGGTCAAACCATTCTTGTTTCAGAACGCCATGCATGGACAGAAGAAGCGCGAGCAGGAGATCGACGAATACCAGCAGCATTTGTTGGAACTGGAACGCTGGATCAATGAGGTTTCCGCCGAATTGGCATCGTTCGAGCCCACAACGGACAGCAGCACCGATGAGCAGGTGCTCAAGACTCAGGTGGAGCGCAGTCAGCAATTGCTGCGCACTCTGAAGGAACGGCAACAGTCCATGGATGATTTGGTCGACCAAACACGAGAGCTTCAGACTCATCCCGACGTCGCCCCATTGGCCGATACTCTGATGGAGCAACTGCAAAGCATTCTAATCATATTACGTGAACAGATCACCGTTGCGACCACGCGTATCTTTACCATTGAGAAACGCATCGTGGATCTGCGCAAGGCCAAGAGCGAAGATGCTCAGCGTCAGCGCGTGCTGGCGGATGCCCAAATACAGGCACCAATTGCTGCAACTGCAGCGCCTGAATCCATAGAGTCCAATGAGAACACTCTAGACTCCAGCTCAATGCCTGAGGAGGAGATCAAGCCCGCGGGCGTTTATGTGGAAACACAGACATCGCTGAGCTTGCAACAACCTCAGCCGCAGATCACCACGAGCAATGTGGAGGCGCAGACTAGCTTCCAGGAACCGCAACCCGTGTTGGCCATAGAAACCGCTGAGGTAGCATTGCAAACACTCAAGGAACGTCAACCTACGGAAAACATAATGGTCACTCAAACCGTACAGCATGGTCAGGAAACAATACAAATTGACACCCAGCTGAACGAAAATGTACCGGAACAGACCGAGGATGTGCAGATCGAGGCGCGTTACCATCAACAACCCAAGGGCGATGTGGATCGTGCCACTGAGCTGATACTTAAGAATGTGCCTCAGGCTTTCGAAACTACATTTGTCGAACCAGACGAAACCACAACCGAGGTGGTTGTAGGCGCCGATGGCACAAAGCATATTGTCTTGAAAAAGGTCACCCGGGTGCGTCAGCAAATTGTGCAGCAGCAACAGATTAGCTCAATTGAGACAGTCAGTGATGCCGATGGCAATATCGAAGTGCAGTCAACAGGTCAGATAAATTTGGAGAATGTGAAGACCACAGACACGATTGCTGATCCACAACAAAGCACTTACCGCACCGTTGTAACGCAGCAAACGCGTGGCACCCTGTTGGATGGCTCCCAGCCAGAGACTGTGACGGTCAGTGAGTTCGAGACAGAGCCTGTGATTGAGCAGTTTGAGCAGCTACTGAGCTCCGATGCGGATGGCAAATTGCAGCCATTCCGAGCGGCAGCTGGACAGTCTACGCTAGATAACCAGGGTACCAGAATACAAGCTGTAATGCAGCAGGTGACCCGTAAGATTATACGTAAGACCCGAAAGATTATCAAACGTGTGGTCATCATTGATGGCAAGGAGCATGTGACTGAGGAAGTGGTTGAGGAGCCCGAGGAGATTGAGGTGACTGAGGAGCAAACTATGCCACATATCGATGTCAATATTGTGCGCACGGTGAACGGAAAAGTGGTGAGCGAAGAGGAATTCCAGCGTATGATGCAAGAGCCAGGCGTGGTCATCGAAGAAGTTGCAACGGATCTGTCATCACAGACAGTAGAACCGCAGCAACAGGTATTTGATATTGAGTCTATCAACATCTCCAACACCACCACCACAACCACACAACAAGAACAACCACTCGATAAACAGACACCACCACCAACAACAACAACAACAACAACTGCAATTACAACAGAAACGACAAAAGCAGCACCAGTAGAATTGACAGCACCTCAAGTAGACATTGAAGAAATCGTAAACGTTGCCCCTATCAGTCCCGTTAATGTTGCAGCAGCGGCAGTAACTGTACCTTCAGCACCTGTACCTACCACCACAACAACAACAACAACAACAATCACAGCTACAACAATAGAGAGTCAGCCTGTGGTTGAAGATATCAAGGAAATTTGGCCACTGGAACATCATTTGCAAACCACAAACATCGATTTCTCGGAGCATGCCGAAGATCTGGCACCGCCAGCTGCAATCAACACAGAGACATCAATGCCCGTGGAAACCATTTGGCCAACAAGTCCTGAAACTGGCAACTCTGTCTCCCTGGAATCGTATGCATTTGAGCCAGCGTCTCCAACAGCTGTTAGCATAAAATCGGAGTCTGAGCAGACACCACAAAAGACTGAAACAACACCGGAGCAGCCGAAGACTGATGTAGAAAGCTTCCTAGCAGCTGAACAGGCACAAGCTCAAGCCGAGCCAAAAGCTGAAACAGAAGCACCTGCCGAGCAAGCACAACCACAAACGGTAGCAACTGAAGAACCTGTCACGGAAGTGCCACCCATCAACATCGCCGATAGACAGTCCGATATACCTCAAAAGGATATACGTGTGGCCACCCAGCTATTCATTTCTGAAGAGGCAGCCGCCTCAGCATCACCACGCAAGACTTACCAGATAACAGCACCCTCTGTGGAAGCAACTGGAGCTGGTGTACTCAAGGTGGCCATGGGAGCGGCCTCAGAGCTTGCCGAATCCATTGGCATGTCACCCGCTAATGTGACCATGAGTATTGTGGAGACTGTGGCAGCGCCCCTGGAGCACGACGAAGACGCGTCCACGAAGCGAAGTCGAAAGAAAAAGAAAAGAAGAGATGAGGAAAAACTGAAGAGTGAACAAGTACCAGAACCAGAACCGGAGTCAGTACAGGCATCGCATGTGCCGCCCTCACCCGAGAACTCGCCACGTAGTGATACCATCAATCCGAAATCGGCAGACAAAGTATGCTACGAATCGATTGTGGAGATTAGCGAAGAGAGCGACTTGTCGAGCATGGATATGGGTCAAACCGTCAAGGTGGTTGAAGATTCGATTATACCCTCACCCACAGAGCAATCACGTACTCCAATTACGGAACTTGTTATACCCACGGAGGTTGTCGAGCTGGCAGCACTTGAAGATGAAGAGCAGCAAACGAGTCCGCGTGCGCCCACGACAACAACTGCTGAGCAGGATATTAAATCTTCGCAGACATCACCACAGCACAAGCCCGAACTGGATGAAACAGCGGTACAAACTAGCCTAGATGTGCGTCCGGATAACCAGGAGACCGAATCGCAAACGATCATTGTGGAAATTACTGAAACCGAAGCCCAGACAACACCACGCGGCGACGACCAACCTGAGCCGGTCAAGACACTTAGCACAGAAATTCAAACCGACGAGAATGGTCAGCCCCGGCAAACCGTCGAAATTTCTAGCCAAACTATTATAACGACAACAACCGAAAAGGAGCTGCAAACCACACCCAAGGAATCGCCGCGCCTAGCTGAATCAAGTAGCGACCATGTGGTTCAGCCACTTGTTAAGGATTTGGTTAAAGATATGACCATCGACTTGCCTGTGCCCACAAAGGAACAGTCTACCGTCACAGAGGTAACCACCACCAAGGAGACTCACATGCAAACAGCAACGCCAGAGCCAACGGAATTGAGCAGGCCAGAAGCCGTAGATGTGAGCGATGTGCTGGTGCAGACCACGCCGCGCGAGGAGCCACAGCCTATTTCGCTGGAAGACAATTCATTGACCGCCACATCTACTTCAGAGCCCTACGAGCTGGAGGTGAAAACCACAGTGGCCATACCGGCCGATTCCGATGCATCTACAGTGGAGCCCACGCTATATGAGTACACGCAAACCATGCAGCTGCCCAAGCCAGAAAAGAAAATCAAAAAGGACAAAAAGGACAAAAAGAAACAGAAGGGCAAGTCTGTGCCGGAGCCAACACCAGAGGCAGATCCACAAATCAGTGTGACCGTAGAAATTGCACCCGAACTGCTGACTGAATCCGGAATAGTACTCTCTACCAATCAGACAATCGAAGAGGTGCCACATCTACCGCCAGTACCCGACTTTGAGCCGACTGAAGCTGATCCGCAAAGGCCACAGCGTGTGCAATTGCAAATCACAAAGACAACAGTCTACGATGAATATCCTGATTTGCCGGTGCATATACTCGAACAGAACAAGGTAAGCATTGCCTCGCAACAGCAAGGCAAGCCACGCAGTGGACCCACATCTTCGGTGACCATTGAGGAGGTTGCTTCGCCAACGGAGGAGCTGGTGGTCCCTATTACACCAGGTCCAGATAATCTGAACGAAGAGAATATTTGGTTAACGACAACGACCAGCTCGACTGTGGACAGCACACCGATGGAGTCCTCTGAAGCGCTCATCAAGAGCGAGATCTTGCAACTGTATCCCGGTAAACAACAACAATACGAACAGCAACCGAAGCTGACCTGGGCAGAGACCAAGGAGGCAATTGGGAGTCGCATAAGGCAACTGAAACAGGCGACGCCACAGCAGTCAACACCACTGAGTGATGTCCTTCACCTGGCCACACTATCCGAACAGATTAAGCAGGTACCCACCGAACAGCGCATGCTGGAGGTATCCGAAGGATTACAGAACTTGGATGTGGCAATAAGTAGTGGAGATAAGACGATTATACACACCACAGTCATAACAGTCATTGAAAAGGTGTCCACCTGGCTGGAAACAATTGAGTATCGCGTGTATCTCATACGGCAAAACTCCAATGAAGGTCCCTCAGAACAGAAGCTGGACAACTACAATCAGCTGAACGAGGAACTCCACACAATCAAAACGAATGTCAATCAGCTCGAGGCAGAGCTCGGCCAAACGGATAAGCCAACACAGTCGGAGCTGTTGCAATATGTGGACACGCTCAAAGAGCACATCGATGCTGTGGAGCAGGTGACCCAACATAGTCAGGCCCAGGATAGCAAGGATCTGGACAAGTGGCACAACTTTGAGCTGCTTTACAGAGAAGTTTCTACATCGTTGGAGTTCCTGCAACAACGGTACGACCAGGCACTCAGCGGGGAGCATCCGCTCTCCCAAAAGCTGGCACTTCTCGATGAGCTGGACCGGCAGCATACGGCGGGCCAGCAGCAGTTGGGTCAACTAATGCAGACGGCCCGTTACTTCCAGCGCGATTTCCCCAATAAGAAAATACCACAGGAGGTGTACAACGCCTTCGAGAATAGCAAGAATATTGGCAACAACATCGAGGCAGAGCGCGATCGCCTACTCCAGCTGCAGTCACTGGCCGAGGAGTACGAGCAGACGCTCAAGGAGTTCACGAATATCACTGTGCTGGCCGACAAAATGATGGAGAGCCCCATTGTGTCAAGTTCCCTGGAGCTGCTCAACAACGAGGTGCAAAAACAGCGGAAATTCTTTGTCAATTTGAGCCACTGTCGCGCCATGCTCGAATCACTCGAGGAGAACATCGATAGCGAGACGCGCGAGAAGCACTCGGAGCTGCACAAGCAGCTTTACCAGAAAGCCACCCAGCTGCTGGAGCGTGCTTCGGAGCGTTCCTCTAAGCTGGTGCAAGCCGCCTCACGCTGGACAGTGCTGGAGAAGGGCATGCGCGATGAGCTGCAGTGGTTGCAGGTGGCACAGCAACGCGTGCCAGATCTGTCGGCGGTGACCTCTGCCGATTACGATCAGTATGCGACGCTCTATCAATCCCTTAGCAATGACATCTCGCATCATTATGTGAAGATGACGCAGCTCTCGGGCATTGCTAACAAAATGCAGCTGCTGGTGCAGGCGCCCAATTTGGTTGAGGAATCGAATGATGCACTCATTGTGCTGCTCAAGCTGCGCGAGGAGGTGGCGCTCTACTTGCATCGCCTGCTGGTCTTCAAGGAGATCTGGGTGCAATACGAACAGCAGACAGAGAAAATGGAAGCGTTTGTACGCGAAGCGGAGCAGGAGCTACGCCAAATCCAAATACCCACACAACCCACAGAGGAGCCCATACCACATATGCGGCAATTCTGGGAGATTAAGGCGCGCTTCGAGCTGCATAATAACATACGCAACGATGCGGGTCACAGTCTAGAGAAATCCCTCCAAGTCATACCATTGGCCGACGAAATGCTCCAACGCCAGTTCCATGCCCAACTCGAGGATCGCTGGCAAGCGGTGGCCCAGGCCATTGAGCTGATACAGCACAACATTGTTGAGTGCCTGTCCTCGGAGGATATGCCCGCTGATGAGAAACTCAAGCTGGTGGAGCGTGAGCTTCAGGAAATCTATCTGACCATGACCAGCATGAAGGGCGTTATCAAAAACGAGGAGGAGCTCTGCTTGTACATTGAACGTGTCCAGGTGCTGCGCACACGCGTTGGCTTCATTGGCAACGAACTGGGCCGCATTGGACTCCAGGAGCCGGCAATTGAACCAGAAAAAGTGGGCGAACTCTTTGCACTCTCGCACAAAATAACCACACAAATTTCCGAGGAGCTGGAGTTTGCCTCCGTGCTGCGAGATCAGCTGCAGGCCATACACGAGGGCATCAGTAATCAGCGCAAGCATCAGGCCAAAATCTCTGTTATATTGGACGAATGCGAGTCCGCGGAGCGTCAAGGCGCGGATATCATAGAGAAAGCCGTCGCCGACTGTCAGGGTGCGGGCGAGGAGCTCGTTGCCAGCTGGCAGGAGATAATGCGCTTACGCCAAATGCTGCACACGTTGCCCATGCGACTGAAGATGTCCGTGTCGCCGGTGAAGCTGGAACGCGACATTTCCCAGCTGCAGGATGACCATGCCTTCCTCGAGAGCAAGTGCACCAATATTATGGCCATACTACGTAATCGTTTGGCCTTATGGCTACGCTACGAACGTCAGCTGGAACTGGTGCATGACTCTGTCCAGGAGACGGACTTTATGATGGAACTGATACGCGTGCACGGCCAGGTCGACTATGAGCGGCTGCGTAAGGCCACCGAGAGATTAGAGGTAAGTTTTCCACGCCCTTTTTTATTGACTATTTTGATTTACGACTATTTTGGCCACATTCAGGCAGTCAAAACAACTGACCTGGCTACCTGCATCTTGCATCTTTTTTGCGAGCTCTTATCAGCATTTGCTCCTATCTGCCCGAAATGGCTATAAAAACCGCGCGCGTTTTCTGCCTGCGTTCAGTTGGGCGCGCACACTCAATTATTTCAGAGCGGTTTTTCACGAATGCTAATTCAAAATAGTTCGAAACAAGACAAAGCTACCACAAAGCTCTTATACTAAAGCGCTCTTCGAAAAAGCTTTCGCGCATTGCATTTGCTTTGCTTTGCGTTTCGTTTCATTTCGTTTGCTTTGCGGCAGTTTGACTTTAACTTCGAAACGCGCGCGTGTCGCTTCGATTGTCGCTGCAAGCGTGTTTTTTTTTTTTTGTATTAATTGTTTTTGTTTGATTTCGCTCACTCAGGGACTTGCGGGCGATCTGCACAGTCGCGAGCAGCTCTTGGACGAGCTTAAGGGCGCCGCCAAACCGTTAATCGAGAGCTGCGATGTGCAAATTGTCGAACAAATTGAATCGTCCGTGCAGGATGCGGTAGTCGCCTGGAATGATACCACCGAGAATCTGCAACAGCTTTGCACACGCTACCAGCGGGCCGTCGAGCTCTGGGACAAATATCGAAACGCCTCGGCAGCGGTCAAGAGCTGCATCGACCAGCAAATGGACAGCGTCAAGTCCTTCGAGCAGCCCTTGGATGCCATGCAACATGCCAAGGTAAGTGCCCAAAGCTAATTCAAATTGGTGGTTGGGTGGTGCACCTGAGTCGCTGCCAACGTTACGATTTTGGCGGCAACGTTTAATTGCAACCGGACCAGACTGTAATTACATTGATTTTCAGCCGTTACGCTCGGCCCAATCAATTTTCGGGCGCGTCGCTGTAATCGCTGGCAATAGAACATGGCAATAGGAAATAGGGCTCTGCCTGTGTGAGCCAACTTTTGTGTGCACATATGTACATGCATGTACATATATTGTTGGGTTGTGTCATAAATTATATTGCTTGACACCCCAAGACAGAAAGACAAACTTACAGACGGCCCAAAAGTTGTAACACTCTCGCAGTTGGGTAGCTTAGCTTTCGAAGCAAATATGTAACTTATTGTAGCAGACATTTTCGACCACATAACGCACAAAATGGTCAAAATCTAATTATTTTTTTACCTTTTCAAAATATTTTACTAGCTTCATTTGCTTCCAATATATGATCAATATATCTTTCAGCCTTTACAATCAAGATCCTAACATCGGAGCACTATATCATTTGGTTCTATAGAATGTTTCACACGAGTTTATCTTGCAGTTTCCTCATATTTAATGCTAGGGCATTCGGTCTTCGGCACTTGTTAGCTAAATATGTTTTCTTGTGGCGACTTCAGTTTCGATACTCACTTTATTTGACTTAAATATTAACACATAGTTGTTTTGTTATTTATGTATGTTTATTGATCATTAGGGTCATTAGAGAGGCCCAAGCAGCGGCAGCATTGTAATTATTTTGTGTCCCTAGGTAGCCCAACTGTCACTTCACATGGCTAAGTTTATCAACCCAGAGCGTAAGCTCTGTGTTTATATAGCTGCTTTATCTGTTCAGTCGAAAAAAAGAGACACGAATAAATGAAAACACACGAAATTATAGGAAGACCACATACTATATACTATATGGCCACATATAATACATTTATGCCATACATATGTACATATGTGATTATAAGATTGCCGGAGCATGCCTTCAGCTTGTCCGAAGCTGTAGATAAATGTAAAAATATTTTTTAAGTCGCTGCTGTTGGATTTCAATGTCAACGTTTGTTTGTTTGTTTCTGATAAAGCGGAGCATAGCTGAATATTTCAGAGATGATATCATAGGGCATTCGGTAGGGCCGGACGCGTGCTCTTTAAATTGGTTAATGCGTGCAGCCAGAGTTATATATTTAAATAGCTCTAAATAGCTCTTTGATGGCCAGCGACGCGGCAGGGCCCAGCGGGTGACCTCTTTTCTAAATTGAAATTGAAAGTATACTCGGCACTCGGCACTCGATGCACGGTGCACGGTGCACGGTGCTCGGCATTTGCTCGACACATTAATTACAAATAGAAGTGCATTCAGTTCGGGAACGAGCCAAGACAATTGATAAGCAGCATACGTGCTCCTAACTAGGGCTAACCGACCCGGCTGGCTTAAGCTAAATGTACTTTGATCGAGCTAATTATAAATCGGTGGCATTTGCATTCAAACTCAAAAATAATCTATATACTAGACAAAAATCTATCCCTAGTCTATATCAAAACTGAAGCTAATTTATTCTGTCTGCCTTTGCCAGGTCTGTCAAGACAATCTGAGCACACAGAATGATCGTCTCCTGGAGCTGCGCGATATTGTGGCCAAGATAGCCGCCGATGTGGGTCTGGATGCCTCTTCGCTAATGCAGGGCGAACTGGATGCGTTGGGCCAGCGTTTGGCCGAATGCAAGGATGCAATAACGACGCTGGCGAATGTGGCCGAGACACAGGATAAGGAGCGCAAAGAGCTCGACAAGGAGGTGACACAGGCCAAGGTTTACTTCAACAATGTGCAGCAGGTGAGTGCAGGCCACAAACTGAATTCGGTCTAAGCGAAACATGTATCGATTAGAGACATGATGATGATTAGCATATGTTAGAGCTGGCGTGCGGAAATTCCCACAGTGCTCACAATGACAACAACCACCACAACAAACAAGAACCAGAAAATAAAACAGGCGGACACTTGTTGTTGTTGTTGTTGTAGTTGTTGTTAATACAATATGAAGGACATGCTATTTTAAGTGGGTTAAAAGTTGAAAAACTTTCGCTCCCATGTGTCTATATGTATTTCGGTTAGTTCCAGCGACGTCGAGCGTCACAATGGCCCGTACAATCGTGCAATGGTCTTTATCGATTGCCAATGGGCTTAAATATGGGTTCGAGTGCAGGCATATTTAATTTTGTATTGACCCCGCGCGCTCATAAATATTTAACAAAGCGGTCCCTTGGCCAGAATTAATAGAAATCATTTCGGACATGCATATCGAAAAAGCAGTGAGAGAACAACACAAAATCATGTTTATGTGGTAACATATTTTTGGGCATTTATTAATTAATAACTCGTCTTGTCTGCTTGGAGCCTTCCCGCCCCACTGTGCCAACCATTTGAAATGCACATGCCACAACCAGTCGCGTCTCTTGTGTCCGCCACCTTAGCCCACCTGCTACCCGCCCGTCCTACCGCGTAGCCCAGCCCATGTGTGGCCAGACAGTTGAACAGCGCGCGCGCGTGTTTTTTGTGTCTGTTTGCATGAGGTCATTGCCAGTTGGCGGAAAGAGTTGCAGCGTTTTTAATACCGTGTACCCAAGGGGCAAATACACGGCATATTGGCTGCAGGGCAGGTGTCTGTCCCAATCATGATTTAAGAGTAAAAGTTCCGAACTCACAGGAACAATGAGATTAGATAAAATTTAAAGGCACGCTTAATATATGAAAATATGAAAACTGCTTCTGCTCCCGTTGCCATGTTCGGACTACAGAGCATCTGTGAGTTGATAACTTTCACAGCTTTCGCTGTGAAGCCGTGCATTGCCAACTGTAACTGGAGACCACATTGTGGCTATTAGGGTCAGGCCAATTAGCCATGCACAAAACGTTGCACTGGCTGCCACCTGTTAAATACAAATATTATATACCAAATAATAATATTAAATCATATTCGCTTACTCATAGGATATTGCGCGCGGTGAGCCGAAAACGCCCAAGGAGAGCGAGGAGCAACTGGCCGCGCTGCGAGCCCATCTGCAGACGCTGGCCCGCACCGAGGAGCAGCTGCGTCAGCTGCGCGAACGTCAGCAGAACAACAATGAGCTGGCGCCGAGCGGCGCCGCCGCTGCCGCTGTTGCCGATGACGGCATACTGGAGGTGCTGGCGATGTGGCAGAAGATATTCCAGGATACGTTCCAGGAGTACCATCGCTTGTCCACGCGCCTGGCGCGCACCCAAAACAGCTCGGAGGCGTTGCGTTTGTGGCGTCAGTATTTGCAGCATGTGCAATCGTTCCTCGCCTGTGCCATACCCGAGGATTACAGCAGCCTGCGCGAGCAGCAGCAGCTGTGTGCCATACACCAGAACCTGCTCATCTCGCAGCAGAGCGTGCTCGCCGAGACGCCGCTCGAATCGGAGCTATCGGAGCAATACAAGGCGCTGACCAATCTGCACAACGAGACCCTCTCGCGCATTATGCAGCGCAATGAGGAGCTGGAGCGCCGTGTCAGCGGCTGGAATGCGTACCGGCAACAATTGGCCGCTCTGCTCGACTGGCTGCGTCAGCGCGAGGCGGAACGCAATGCGCTGCAGCTGCGCTACATTCACCTGAAGCGCGTGCCTCACCTGAAGGCGCGCCTGGACGCATTGCTGCTGCAGCTGACACGTGGCGAGCAGCAGAGCGCCGCTCTGAAGGCCCAACAGCAGGAGCTGCTCAAGTACTGCGACGATGCGCTGGCCACCGCCATGCGCATGGAGCAGGCGAGCATCAATCAGCGTATAAGCAATTTGCGTGCCGCCCTCGAGACCTGGCAGAACTTCCTCAAGCGCATCAAGCAGCTCGGCGAATCGTACGAGCAGCGTGTGCAGCAATTGCAGACAGAGTTTGCCAAGGCACAGGAGCTGCTCGACAGCAGCTCGGGTGATGCACTGCCTACGACGCCAGCAGAGATTGAGCAGCGTCTGGTTGCGCTGAGAGCGCAACGTGTCCAGCTGGGCGCGCAGACGCCCGCGCTGGAGGGCCTGACGGTCAGCCAGGAGGAGCTGAAGGAGTGCATCAGTCCGCACGACATGAAGGCCATACGCCAGCGCAGTTTTCTGCTCTGGCAGCAGCATGCCGATCTTGATTATCAGCTGGCCGTGCTTATCAATGCCATCGAGGAGCGTCTGTCGCTGCTCTCCAACTACCAGGTGCGCTACGAGCGCATCACGCAGTGGCTGCGCACTCTCGAGGAGCGTGTGGAGCGCGATGCCGATGTGTCGGCCATGGCCAACCCGGAACAGGCAGCCAAACAGCTGGAGCACCAAATCAATGGCGAACTCCAGCTACGAGACAAGGAGCGCGAATGGCTGCTCTCCACCAGCCGGGAACTGCTGGCTCTCTATGCGGATGCCACGCCGCAGGCGCAGGAGGTGCGCAACCAGGTGCAGCAGCAGAGCGATGCGCTCATCGACCGCTGGAATCGCCTCAAGTTCCTATGCAAGCAGCGCGCCACAAAGATTGGCGAACTGAAGCAAACGCTGTTGCGACTGGAGGAGCGCATAGCACTCATACGTGCCTGGCTCTTCGATGTGGAGTCGCAGCTGGACAAGCCGATCAGCTTCGAGAACTACACGCCCAACGTTATCAAGGCCAAGCTGAGCGAGCACGAGCAGATCCAGCGTTCCATCGAGCATCATAGCAGCAATGTGGGCGAGGTACTTAATCTGGTCGAAATGTTGCTCAGCGATGCGGACAGCTGGCGCACACAGGTGAACACCACCGGGCTGGCCTCATCGGCGCAAAACCTGGAGCAACGCTGGAAGAACGTGTGCAGCCAGTCGGCTGACCGTAAGGCTCGCATTCTGGCCACATGGAATGCGCTCCAGGAGCTGATCAAAATGACCACAGAGCAAAAATCTTGGATGGCCAAACAGGAAACGCAACTCTCTGGCTTTGAGCGCGACCAGAAATACGTGAACAAACAAAAGTTGGACGAGCGCCAGCAGGCCTTGCGCGCCAAGCTGGCCGAACTGGAAGCCGAATCTGTCCGTCTGCGTCAGCTGGAACAGACGTATGCCCGCCTAGCAATGAGCCCTGGCGTCGAGCCCGAGAACATACAGAAACTGACGATGCCCACCAAGGTGATGCTGAGCAAGTGGCGTCTGTTGACGCCGCGCTGCCACGCCCTGCTGGACGCCATTGACAAGGATGCCAAGCTGATGCGCGACTTCAACACGGCCCAACTGGAGCTCAACAAATCGCTGACAAGCATACAGAAGGCGCTTGAGCAAGTGCCCAGTGCCGAGGATCAGCAGGCGGCCACGGTGGAGGCGACGGTGGTGCTGCAACGCTTGGACGGACTGGAGCGCAAGCTTCAGCTGGCCGAGCAGCAGGTACAGCAGGCCGATGCACTGGGCAAGGAGGCCGAGTTGCGCAATAAACAGCAACCGCTGCAGCTGAAGCAGCTGCTCAAACTGATTGCCGAGTACACGAGCCTCTGGCAGACGGTGCAAAAGAATCTGGTGATTCTCAAGACCAGCTGGCTGGCCCGTGCCACCAGAGAGGGCGCGGCAGCAGTCAGCGAGGCGCACGCCAGTGTCCAGGTGGACACGTTGTCGCAACGCAAGCTGCGTCAGGCGCAGCTGCAGCGGGAAACGTCCATAACGGCCAAGGATGCATACATCATGGAGCTGAAGACGGCCATTGTCGAGTGTCAGAACAATCTGGAAGAGCTGCAGCGCACCATTGTGGATAAGACACGCAAGCCGGGTCCCCAAAAGATTGCCAAGCTATTGAGCAACGCCCAGTCATCCACGGAGCTGGTCAAGCATCTCAGCCATTTGCTGTTGACCGAATGTCATGCGGACAATCAATCGGCCCAGGTGGACACCGTGTCAGAGCTGGCGCTGCGCTTCGATACGCTGCAGTCGCAGTGGAAGGCGCGCCAACAGCACGATCAGAATGCAAGGTAGGCGCCCTTATCCCAATCCCTATCTAGCTCTCTAGTCTATTCCTTTAACTAATTATGATGCTACATACTTGCAAACTACGCGTGTAGATCGATTCCGGCTATATACGTGTATATCCTATTCGAGGTTCTTATCGGCTCGTGTGGGTATTAGCCTATACAGATCTGTTCAATTTAAAAAGTTCCATTTCCTTCCATATCTGGGTCCAGTTCTGGTCCAGTCAAATCTATGCCGAGCTCACTTCCAACTGGACACAGTGCTGCGGAAGATTAGATTTCATTTTTAATTCTTTGAATTTCTCATTTTCTGATTTGTTAATTACGAATTATTGTTCAATTAATTACATTAATTTATATAATTTTAATTCAAATCGGCCTTTTCTATTGTTTTCATGAATCCGTTAATTTTTAAGTGCAAAAAAAATACCTCTTTGCTCTTTGCAAATCAGAAATATCCATGACAATTTCGAACAAATAGTTTAAAAGAAATGTATATAGATTTAAAGTAAAGCATGGCTGCTACAGTGGTCTCTCGAAAATGAGAACGCGTCTAAATCTATAAATTCGCCAAAATTTAAAGTTTTTGAAAAATATTTCAATATATCTTTAATCAGACATTTAAGAACAATCGACATTTTATTCAAAAATAAGATGACAAATCGATTTCAATTATTGACTTGCTTTTACAAGTTCTCATTTAACGAGAGACCACTGTAGTATGTGCGATGATTGACATCGATTTGTCATTCAAGTTCAGTTTGCAAGTATTATAACCACTTTCTTGTGTTTTTGGGCGTATTTTAATGGTATTTGGCTAACAAATTGTTTTATTGCTTTATGTCTCGCTATTTGCCCCGCTTACACTCAAACACACACACACACACACACATGCTTCACTCGAACGTGCGCATTCATGATGGCTCTGCCCAGCAGGTGCCTGCTACCTGCTGCCTACAAATACACATGCATACAGTAAGTGTTAACAACAGGAGATTATCTCTATCTCTACCCTATATACCACTACCTGTGCACTGACCACAATAACACGGCCAGGCTAGCTCCTAATCTGCCACGTGTGACCTCTGTTTATTGTTCTGTGTGTGTTCATCCACCAGACAAAAGCTGGCAGTACCTCTTCTCAATAGGCTGCCAGTCTCCAGGGGTGGAGCACAGCGAGCAGCTTGGAGCTTGCCTGGACGTCAGCTCTGTTCAAAGTCGCGCCAAAGACTTTGCTCGGATCCAGCAAGCTTACATAACTACCTAATAAACGTTCCAGTTAATGTTTAAAATATTTCTAACCGTTTTCTTTATTTATCCCTTCTATAAAACAGTGAGGTCGGCCGCCTAACGTGTCCGCTCTGCACGCAACGCAATTGGCAGCAGATCGATAACGATCTGTGGCGTCTGGAGCAGTGGCTGCAGTTTGCCGAGAGTATACAGAAGGCCCAGACGGGGCCGCCCTCAAATATTGAACTGCTCGAGGATGTGACACAGGATCATCGTGAGTTCTTGTTGGATCTGGAGAGTCACAAGTCGATCATCTCATCGTTGAATGTGGTTGGCGATCATCTGGCCACACACACCATGGACACGGAGAAGGCGCGACAGTTGCGCGCACGTCTCGAGGCGGACAACGAGCGCTGGAATAATGTTTGCATCAATGCCACCAAATGGCAGGGTCTGCTCCAGACGGCGCTCATGGGCAACAGCGAGTTCCATCAGACAATCGACGAGCTGGTCGAGTGGCTGCAGCGCACCGAGCAGAACATCAAGGCCTCTGAGCCCGTGGATCTCACCGAGGAGCGCAGCGTGCTAGAGGCCAAGTTCCACAAGTTCAAGGATTTGCGCGCCGAACTGGAGCGCTGCGAGCCGCGCGTTGTCAGCCTGCAGGATGCCGCCGATCAGCTGCTGCGCGCTGTCGAGGGATCCGAGGAGCAGTCACAGCATACCTATGAAAGGTAAGTGCAGCTGGCTCCAGTGCCGAGGGCGGAACGAAATAAATGCGTGGATGCCGCTTCTGCTTTCTAGATAGCTGTGCTCATAGAGGGGGGCAATAAAATGCGAGAGTGGCAGGGCAAGGGGCAGCAGCAGGAGCAACGAGGTAGTTGGGCGGCGTTTATAGTTTCCAATTGGTTATGTAGTAAAATATATGTTTTTCTCAGTTGAAATTGAATTATTTTTTAAATATTTCTCTTGCATATAATATTTATATATTATGTGCAACAAACATTTTCCTTCTCTTTAAATTTTCTTAACTTAGTTTTAAGTTTTATTCTTCTACACATAAAACTATAATCTTTAGAAACATCTTTTAATAATTTGCTCCTGAGGCGAATATAATTTATTTATGCTACAATCAAAGAGAAATATTCTAATTTGTTAAAATCATATAATTTTCTGCCTTTTATAGAACTTAAAGATTATTTCCTCCAATTGTAGAAATTTTATTCTTCTTAAATTGAACTATAAAATCTTTCTACAATCTGATTAAAAATATTATACAAATTGAATGGGCTATATTTTGAAACGCAATTCATACAAATTGTAAAAAATATTTATATTCAATATTTGTATAAATCCACACTCAACAAATTCCACTCTTTCCGTAAAAATATCCTATTTCTTACTCATTTTGTTCAAATTTGGCATTTTCTTTGGCTTGCCGTCAGATTTCATTTCAAAAAACTTTTGTTTTTAAATCGAAACATTTATTTTCATTACTTGACCACAACAAAATTGTACTAAAAATGTTCCTCTGAACATCTTCTTTTCGGTTTACTACACCATCACGTATCTATCCCAATGTAGCTTCCAAAAAAAAAAAACGTAGTTTACATATTTTATTAGTTAGAGACTTAGTTTGCTTTCTTGTAAAACCTATTTTGCAACATTTTCTCGCTTTTGAATTTTGTGTTTTGCTGTGTTTATTTTGTTGCGTATTTGATTTGTGTATTACTTTATTTTTTTTGTTTGGTTCTCAAAATTTGATTCGTCCGCCCATTCTAACACTTCATCACAACTGACAACCCCAAGAGCCGCCGGCATATGTTTTAAATATTCTAGAACCCTTTCCAGGTTAACAGATCTGCGCCTCCGGCTGCAATCGCTGCGTCGTCTCTCCGGCATTTACATCGTCAAGCTGGGCGCCGTGCTCGGCTACGAGGGCGACAATCTGGGCGTGCCGCTGCAAATGTTGTCGAATGAGGTAAGTGCAAGGATCTTGAGTATTCAAAATGTATTGCAATTAAACGAGAATTTGTCCCGAAAATCCAAAAAAAATAAAAAGAAAAACAATTTGATTTTTAATTTAATTTGAGCGCACCAAAGTAAGTGAACTTATAATATGAAAAAAAGAAAATTGGCTGTAAAAATATTTATATCAATACTTATATTATAAATACAATTATTTATTTAGAGCGTGATGCGAATTTGAATTGATAAATGCAAAAAGAATTTTTATTTTATTTATTTTGAATTTAATTTAATTTCTTTTATTTCCTTTCTATTATACTTTATGGCATATCTAGCTTTTGGATAATACTACATTATCAACCTCTTCTATGCAGGCCGCCGCACCCAACACAGAAAATGCAAAGTAAATATTCATAGAAAATTTGTTTAATTTTTAATTCAACGTATCGTAGTCTAGTTTAGTTAACTTACATCTATTTTTTTGTTCTTTAATTACTAAGCAAATATTTGCACAAGTACAAACTCTAGTTGCACTTGATCTAACTATGTAGCATATTTTTTCTATAAACCCAATATGCATATAAATTTTTTTCTAATCCTCGAACTCTACTCCATAGCCGCACCAACACCGATGGCGATGCTGCCGATGGCGATGTCATCAATACCACGGTACTGGCCCGCGGTGCACGATTCCTCGGGCGCGTTGCACGTGCCTCCCTGCCCATACAGGCGCTCATGCTGCTGCTTTTAGGTGTGGCAACACTGGTGCCCCACGGTGAGGACTACACGTGCATGTTCTCCAACACATTCGCCCGCAGCCTGGAGCCAATGCTATCCTATCCGCACGGCCCGCCGCCAACGTAATTGTTGTCATTGGATTAGTGCAATAAATTCACAGTAAAAACCAATTAAAGCAAACAACCAAATGTAACCACAGAACAGAATCCGACACGAATATAATATGCCTTTCAAATTAAAAACAACAAATGAAAAGAGACAACCCAATGAATGAAAGAAACCCACAGTATACAAAATTGAAAAATTCTTGTACAAGATTTAAGATGTTACCTAGCGTCAAGTCGAGTGTGTTATGTCCTGTAAATTTTTGTAATTTTCCACAATTTGAATGAAAAAAAAAAAACCGTGTATTTTGTTTTTGATATCTACAGACAAACATACCGAAATAAATATGTACATAATATATAATGAATAACCAAATCCAACAACTCGACGAGCATATACCTATAAAGAAACACTTGATTAAAAACAACAAAAAAAAAACTGAAAAATCAAAATGATAATGAAAATGAAAATGAAAATGAAAACTAACGACATGTAACGAAAAACTTTTACAACAAAACATAAAAGTAACTTATATTAACGATATATACATTATACATATATATTTGCACAGCAAACATTTATATATATACATAACCTATGCCCCAAATTATAAAGCCCAACATTTTGTATATAAAAACTAAGTTGAAAGCAAAAAAACAAAAAACGAAAGCAAAAAACAAAAAAAAAAAATACGCACACACGAAAAAATAAGCTCTGAGTAGCGCACGTTTCTCCCGAGAGCAGCTGCAGCTTGAGGTCAGATCTGGCAAATCTCGTGGAACATTTTTGCCCGGCCTGGCCACAAGCTGACCCTGCCCCTTAGGCTAGCCAGCGGACAAATCTCAAGACAAACCATGACCCACATAGACCAACTGCCCAGAGTGCTGGCCAAAAGACTTCGTACGCTGAGCACAGCTGCATGTCCATCTCCCAAATTCTGGACTGTGCAGCTTGCCCAGCGAGTTGGCTTTTGGACGGCGCCCTGGACGCTAGACAGCCAACGCCGCCAGAGGGTTAGCTGCCCCAAGCCAAGCGCTCTCCCGCGGCTTGGGTGCAGCTGCATGCATATTGCGCACCAGCCACAGGTGACAACCCTCGCCCAAAGATCTGGCGGCACGGGCTATCTCACCTCAAAGCATTCCTGAACTCATTTCCAAAATTCGTACCATAGACAACAATCGAAACTCTAGCCAATGCCCTAACTAGGTTGGGGGCAACGTGCGCGAAAGGAGCTATGAATATATAAACGAAGCAAGTGTCCTATGCCGGTGCTAAACCAAACTATAAACAATTTTTCACAATACAAAAATTGTAATGTTGCGTATAAACAAAATGCATAAAAAAACCTTGAAAAAAAAACAAAAAAACAAAATGCAAAACTGCAAACGAACAAAATGTTGAATAATTTGCGTATACTATAGAAATGGAACAGGTTATCCATCCATCAGTTAAAAGAAAATCAAACTTTTGTTAATATTTTTTGATAAACATTATTCTATTTGCCTTATAATATATATTTTTTTTCTATTATTTAATGCTTTGCAGCAGTTATTGAAAAAAACAAAAAACAAAAAATATAAAAACATATATATTTATTTATTAAGTTTACACGATATATATTTGAATTAGGTTGATTTAAATGTTAAATTTTGTGTGTTTTTTGCTGCTTCTGTAAACTTAAAGATTTCCTTTCTTGTGAACAACTGTACCTTTATGCATATATATATTAAAGAAATATTATAAAATTAAGTTACAACTGTTGGTTATTTTTACAATAATTAATTTTATTTCATGAATTGTTCACATTGCCTTACAAATTGTTAGTGTTCTTTTAAACTTTAAAAGTCTCGTATCCATTGTTCTATGATGGCCGCCTCTTTCTTTCGTGCGTCCGTAACGGATGCCGGATCTGAGGGATGGCTTTGGCGTAGATCCAAATGATGGGCTCCCTCCGGCAATATGATGACATGCACTTGATTGTTTGGTGCACGAAGGACGCCACCGCCGCTCCAGGGATCCAGCAGACCGTTGCTGAAGATGATGTTGCTGGCAGCCTCCAGATTTCGGCCGCCATAGCGCAGCAAAATATCATGGGGCTTGGGCGTGAGATGGAACTTCGTGTAACACTTCTCGGAGAACTTCTTCAGGTCCCACGTGCTGGTGCGGTACATGGTGTCGCTGTTGTTGGCGCAGAATGGCATCACCATTTGATTGCAGGTCTGTATGTCCCAGCCGCGGCTGTCGTAGTTGGCGCCAGAATTGGAATCCTTGTAGTCCACGCACTTGGAGGCACCCGTGTAATTTGTATAGACACCCAGGGCACTGGCCAGGCTGGCCAGCAGATCGGTGTCGTTCGGCTGCAGATCCTTGAGGTAATAGCAAAACTGTCGTACCGGATACGCGGGCAGCGGGGCCAGAAAAGTTGAGTTATACGGATAGTTGACCATTGCCAAATTGCCATAGACCTCCTCGAGATAGTCCATAAACTTGTTCAGATCATCGCCGTTCTTGACGGGATCGCACAGATGAAACATATCGCCCAGCTGCTTCTTGCCGGCATCTGTGGCCGCCAGCGACTCAATGGCCTTCCACGATTTGCCAATGTTGGCACTGCAGTTGGCATTGTAGGCCGTCTCAAAGACCGAGGTGGTTATCTTCTCAAAGATATCGCAGGGCGTCAGGCCGGGAAATTGTAAAATCGGTGCCGATGCGGCCAGTGCGCCAATCACAATATGCGGATACTTCATCCGAAACCAGGCCGCCAGCATGCCGCCATACGAGCCACCAAATGCCACCACGGGCAGCTGCTGCCCGTTGCGCAGGAAGGTAATCAGCAGAGCATAGTCCTCCAGCGTCTGCTCCACGGTGAAATATGCCAAGTGCTCCGGCTTGCTGGTGTTGAAGGTGTCGCCTCCAAAGGGCATCGACTTGCCGTAGTAGCGATGCTCCGCAAACACGACCAATGCGCGCAGCTTGGCCGCCAGCTCCCAGATGAAGCCGCTGTTCTGCGCGAACCACTCGATGTCGCCCTCGTTGCCAGTGTAGAAAAAGATGGGCGACTGGGAATTGGCCTTGTCCACGTAGGAATCGTTGTACAGGTACCGTATGCTGAAGCTCTCGTTGCTCAGGAAACTGAAGTGGTCCAGCGGCACCGAAAATTCCTTAATGGCATATTGGAATTTCTGTTCAGCAATGGCACCAGGCTCAAAAGCCAACATCAATAAAGCTCCACAAAGCACGGCGAACATTTTGATATTTACACAATGACGCAGCGGAGATGTTTAATTAGTTTTAATTTGCGGTCCGTATTTCGAGCTGCCTTTGTTCGTCTCTATTTGTGCTTATCTCAAGCCGGCTTACATGACCTTCTTATCAAAAGCTTAAGCCAGTGTTGAAGAGTGCTCACTATGTTAATTTATGCCTGCCATTTTGAGTTTAACAGCGTGCGGCTGCAAGCTACATGTTAATTAACAGACGTAGCTGTAACAGAAATTTGAAAATGTCCAATTGAATACTTAACGGACTTGAAGTTTAAAGACATAATAAGAAAGCATGTAGCAAAGCATTGTGTGTGCTTAAATATTTAAATTGTCGCTTGTGATACCGAAATATTTCAATCGAATAATTAATTTATCGCACTGATAAAAAAACGGCTCTCCAATTAGGCGCTTCTGCATAATCAGCTTAAAGCAACTGAATCGAATATCAGTTTGTGAATAAAATTAAATAAATTTGAATAATAGATAGCTTACATGCATGATCCAAAACCACAACTATACGAAGAGCTCTTAATTTTTCCCCCTTTTACACATTTGTGTCTTGCCTTTCTAATAAACGTCACCTCAAATAGAATTCGAAACTCGAGACTTTGCCGCACGTAGCTATTGAAACATATTAAAAAGCAAAACTTCAAGCAGCATCTGACAAAGATGACCAAATGCGCCAGCCTTTTCGCAAAGCATCCGTATATATTGCGCTTCTACTAATACTCGAGGCTGTCACCGGTTTCCTGATCATAATCGTAACTGCCATTTATCAAACGATTTTGTCCAACTATCTAGAGGACATTGATCGCCGCTTGCTATTCAGCTACCTGTTCAACGTGTACATTCTGGGCGCCCAGCTGGTTGTCACGTTCCTTTGCAGTTTGTCCCTGTGGAATCGTTTGTGGAAGAGACGCTGCACGCCCAACGTTCGATTGATGGTGTCCGTTTGGCTCTTTTATTCCTGCGTAATTATTGCATCGGGCTTTGGCACCGTTTGGAATCTATACTATAACATCGATGTACTGGAAAACTCGGCGGAGAGCTCGCTGCTGCACGGCATTGACGAGTATTACACATCCCCGGAATGGAAGCTGCTGTGGGATGGACTGCAGCTACGGAAGCAGTGCTGTGGTGTCTACAACTACAAGGACTGGATGAATGCCGAGTGGATGCCCAAGCAGGCTCAGGCGGGCAACACGACGTATCGCACCAAGGCGGTCCTAGCTCCAATTGCCTGCACCAAGAAGATCTCCGATAACACCAATTGCGCGCCCAACTTTGCAATGAATCCAGAGGAGTACAATAGCCACAAACGGGCGCCCTTCCCATCGCTCACAGTTGATTCCATCAACACGAACGGATGCCTGCCCGTGTTTTCGGAATCGCTGTGGCGATACTTCTACATCCTGCTGCTGCTGGCCCTTATGGCCTTAAAGTTCCTGGTAAGTGAACCGTCGAGTATTAGGCTAGTTGTTAACCGAACAAAACTATTTCTTAGATATTTCTGTGCTGCTTCACCAAGTACATACTGCAGCGCCAGAATGTGGGCGATGGCTGTGATGTGGGCCTGACCGACGAGGAAGGACGTCCGCTGGTCATGGTGAAGTATCCGCGCAACGTGCGGTGCATAACAATTGGCGAGGATGATCTGGCATCCGATATGGCGCCTGAGGCCACATATTGCAATTGTGAGGAGGGAGTTGAGACGTGCGACTACTGCGAAGGTTAAAGAAACGTTATGTTATCCATATATATATATATATTTTTTAATCACTTGATTTGTCAGTTTTAATTTATACTTTATAATAATCTACCATGTTGTGTTACAAAAGTCAGAGTCATTGATAAATTTCTTAGCAAATGCTACATTTCAATTTATGATGCGATATCTGAAAAGCATTTCAAATATGCGCTGTGAGAACGTCTTTAAAAACGATCATTGAATCGTTTTGCAGCACTGTTTGTCAATTTTGTTTTGCAGCACTTTTGGAATCCTTGAATGAAAATAACGTTTATTCTGTCACATGTCTTCATTCCATCCAGAAGTTTTGTGAAAGGGCGATCAACATGTGAGTAGAAGTGCTCGAGATTTGAACTTTTTGCAAAATATCTTAATTACAGGCCTTTAATGCCGAATGTGCCACACATTGTTGGGGACGACGACGATTTAAGCGAAGCGGATGACCAAGCACAAATGTGAGTTGCTTAAATATTTGTTAACCTCATTTTTTGTTTTTGATTGAGAAATATTTCTGTCCTTCCCCTAGAGCCACACCGTGCACAGTGGGTGAGCCGAGTTCCCAGGAGAGAAAGACAGCCGACTCCCCCTCATCGGAACTCTCCGAGTCTTCCTATGATAATGACAGCGAAGCTGAGTAAGTTTTTACGCAGAATCGTTTTAAAAATAATTTAACACAACCTTAGCGAGGAGGATACGAATAATAGTACGGCAGAGGAGGAGGATTGGTCCAACAATATTACTTACATAGTTCGCACTCCGTAAGTTTCCCCATATAGTCGCAGCACGAATTAACCGAATCAAACAAACCCCAGGGACCGTGAGCCGGAACAGTTGGTAGTGGATGGCTCCCCAAAAGTAGATGACGTGGAACTGCCCGAGGACATAGCACAAACTGAAAATGTCGAGGCAGTTGATCACACCGAAGATATGGATACGGAAGATGCGGATACACAACCAGCCACAAGAACTGAGCGATTGGCACCCAGCGAACGTAGCTCTCCAATGGAAGAGAATTCCAGAACGAATGATGCAATATCTGTCAATTCCACGCCAGAAATGGAGTCGGAGTTAGCAACTAGGGACTACGAGCTGGAGGATACGTGTGCGGACAAGCCGCACACGAGCAGACCGGCTCGGCTTAAGGACTCGCCGACCGGCAAGCCAGCTGCCGTGGAGTACTTCTCGCCGCCTTCACGACGCCAATCGCTGCGCTCGGCAAATCGCACCAGCCAGAGCCAGAGCCAGAGCCAGAGCAAAGCTGTGCCGCAGCCGGCGGCCAAGACGGCGCGCAGTCGTCAGCGCAAATCGAAGCCCAGCACCGACTACTCGCCGGTGAAAAGAATTGGCGCACGAGTCGCCAAGCGTTCCAGGCAGTCGCTGACACTGACGCTGAACAAGTCGCCCGTCAAGAAGCCGGATGTGCCTCTGGCCCGGCCAGTGGAGGTGACCGAATACTTCACCAGCATCTCCGCTACGCTGGTCAGCCATCGGGTCAATCTGCTGCCGTTTCTGTATATGCGCAAGCGCATTGATCGCTTGGTGGGTGAGGCCATAGCCAAGACGAGGATTCAGCGGGAAAACAATCCAGTAAATGCCGTTTAGATAGATTATCAAACTTTGTTAACATGCTCAGCTAAATGCATCACCGAACAATTAATTGAAGATTTCAAGTGTACGGCTTATGGGTTAATGTGGACGGGGCTGCATTCGTCACGTTCTGAGAAGTCGGAGACAGCTGCGCTGCTGGTGCTGATCAGAAGGCGACTCGGCATTTCGCCAATCGATGGCAGTGTGGATGTCTCGCTGATGCTGGACAAGGAGCCGACCTCTTCGCAGCTGACGCCGGAGTCAGCGCTAGCCAGCGATTCGGGCGTGGCATTCGGATTTGTCTCCTCCTCCTCCTCCATCGGCTGAAAGGCACGCTTTGAGTCAAGGTCGTAGTTGGACTCGCTGGCTTCTCGTTTCCGTGGGCGCACAGCGCCTGCTCGGGGACTCCAGTTCAGCTCGTGATGCACCACAGCCTGCACTTGCAGCTGAACGGGATTACTTGTGGGGCTCTCGCAGTCGCGTTCAAAGCTGCCTGCGCCAATGAACACATCGATGGAGGGCGTCGGCGTCGTCGCCGGCTGCACGATCATGGTGGAGTTTACCATCATTTGAAAATCGATTTCGCTCTCCTGCGCAAACGTTTCGGTTTTAATTAACTTGTCTCGAACTGCTTGCTATGGGCTACATACCAGGAGCGCTCGCTCGAGATTGGAGCACTCGACGCCTGTGTACGATGAGGTTGACATTTCCATTACCTGTGCCAGTTGACGCATTTCCTCGATTTCCATGCCTTCCTCGTAGGCACCGGCTCCTATGAGCAGCTCTTTCAATTTATTATACTTGCTGCGCAGCTCCATTCCAATTATGTTATCTCAATGCATATCACATATGAAAAGCGCCGTTATTTGAACGGATAATATAACATTTGCATGCAGTGGGTAGTGGTGTGCGTGATTCGTGAAAGCGCAAACATCGATAGTTTTAAGTGTTGTAAAATATCGACAGTTAGCAATTTGTACACCCTTGAGGAGGGTTTATTCATTTTGACACGTTAAGTGTAATGCATATGAATATGAAATATATATTTCCGTTTCATTAAATATATATATATATATATATAAATATCTATATATATATATGCTTCTAGTCAATCAACATAGCCACAGCCGTCAGTCGATTTTGTGGTATAATAACCAAATATTTACCTACTAATTGTTAGGATTAATTACTAATAACCACTTGCAATGTTCTCAAGACTGACATTAATTAATTAGTCACATATTTTCAAGGAAAAACTTGAAAAAAATCCTCATAAATATATAATATATAAATTGTAGATAAGACCGTGTACAGAAGAAGTGCATTCCACACTTCGCGATTAGCTATATATGTTATATTAACTACGTTAATATGTGGCGCCCCATTTAGGCCCAAAAACCACCGTACTGCGTTTGGACACGCAAAGCAATATGTTTCATGACACCAGCTGATTGTTTTTCAGAAGCGACGAGCTTTCGATTGTGAAGCTTCGAGCTGTTGACTGTTAGCATGAGCTTTCGGCGTGCGTAAAGCTTCAATTTAAAAATTTAGGTATTTCTTTTGCAACTTTATAGAATGAAACTAAAAATATTTGTCAAACGTAATGTTAGTGCAACTTTTTAGTGGTTGGTTGACTTTTTTTGCCTTTCCCAAAACAGTTGGCAACAGTTTTAAAAAATTAAAAAATAGAATAAAATAAATGCGTTGGCTTTTTGCAAGCCAAACTGACCCCTGACCCAAAGCAAACGACATCAAAGTTAAAATTCAACAAAACGTCAAGTCCCACTTGCAGCCCGTTTGACCTTTTTGCTGCCATTCATAATGAACAGAACCTATAGAAATGGGTAAGGGGTGGGCGAGGTGCTAAATAGGGAGAAATTAAAAACTCTGACCTTAACATAACATAATTGAACATAACATTACATAACTAACATAACTTTTCAAAACATACCATAACATATTATGATATTGCATAACATAACATCACATAACATAACATAGCATAAAATGTTATGCATTCAAGACCGACTTCAAGTATTCCTAAGTGGCGCAACTCTTTAAAGTGTGCGTATTTTTAAATAAATCCCATGCTAAGCAAAACAGAGCACATAACTCAAGGAAAGAGGCACAGCCCCCTTTTGGCTCGTTTGCATTAAAGTGGCCGGCGTCGAACCCAGGCCGCTTTCCAACCTCAACTCTAAACCAGCTCCAATGCCAAATCCGTTTGTCTTTTGTGGTTGCCCGCATTTTGAACAGTTTTGTTCTGCACTTGCACACTTTTTCAATTGTAAGTCATTTACAGGGGGAAAAAAACGTAGCGAGATAAAAATAGATATAGGCGAACATTGAATTGAATATGCTTGCTAAAGTTTTTCTACTTGATTTGAGTTTTATTTGCAGCACTTTAAAACGCTTTCAATCCCAGCTCCATTAAAAGCTTACCGCGTTTAATTAAAACATTTAGTTACTGAAACGAAAAAAAGCTACTAAAACGGAAAAAATGAAAGAGTAACAAGCACAAATATTTGCATAGTTACTTCTTGTGCACTAAATCCTTATGCAGGCATATAGAGTACAACGTATAAATTTGCTTGGACAATTTACAGGCAAACATTAAAAAAAAATGCTGCCAACCGTTTTTGTGGTAAAAATTATGCGATAATTCAAAAACAGCGCAGGCACACACTGACACACACACACACACACACACAGGCGCGCGCCGTTCATTAGCACAAAACCCACACATTAATTTCATGTGTGTGTGTGTGTGTGTGTGTGTGATTGTGCTGCTAATCTTGAGGGAGTGTAAAAGTGTGTGTGTGAGAGTGTGTCTCTCAGTCTCTTTCGGTGTCTACGTATGCTGCTGTGTTTGCTTTTGTCACCAAAAAGGATATAAGCAATGTTTTTACTGCAACGTCTATGTGAGTTTCAGTGTGTGAGTGTGGGTGTGTGGGCGTGTGGGTGTAAGTTACTTTATGTTGCGACATAGCTGCAGAAAAAAAGTGCAAGCTTTCCGGTTCCTTGTGCCTGAGTCGTGCTTAGCAAGGACCAGGCGACAACGACAAGCCAACCAGGCCAATTTCAGTTTCGGTGATAAATTTCGTATAATAAAGAAGACATTAAGCAAACGCTGGCGAGAACGACAGCAGCGACAAGGACAACGACAGCGGCAACAAGGATCGCCCGCTGCGCTCTGTCCATATAATCCAAACACACACACACACACACACACACACACACACACACACACACACACACACACACACACACAGTTTACACCTTGCAGCGGCAGCACTAAAAAATAATATTATGCTTGCTTTTAAAAATGTATATTTTAGCGTGTAAACGCTTTAACGTTTACCCTGGCATATTTTTTTTATTTTTGTTTTTTGTTGCTGCCGCCACCTAGCGGTCGCTTAGGGCGCGCCAGTGCTACCAATATCCTCAATATTTTCAGTGTTCGTATACGCACTGTTTTAAACGCATTAAATCACAAAATGCATCCATCGAACCGTCTGAATGAGCCCCCTCTAAACATTAATCAAGCGAGTCGCGTATAAAGTAAATGCCATTTAATATTTATGCAAATTGTGTTATTGATTTCGATTTTGATTATGGAATGTGTTAAGTGAAAGGCGCCTAAAGGGTCAAAACTGCCTCCGAAATTGTGCATTTGGTATGCAACATTTTTGTTCAATTTCGGTTTTTGCCTAAAACAGCAAATTATATTAGGGACTAGAGAGTGGAATATTATAATTACTTATTCGAGCATTTATGAATATTAATTATCGCTTGGAATCGACCAATTTTACGATTAATTGAACGAAGTTATTGCATTTAAATATTATGTTGGAAATGTTTATTGTGCAAAAAACAAGAGAAATTCGACGTTTTTAATAAAAAATCAACAGTTTGGAGCATTTAACTTGATTAGCTATGGCCGGTATTTCATTTATTTATATATACCATAGGTATATATATACTATAGGTATATATATACTATAGGTATATTCTGTTACCAAGTTAGAAAACGAACATGGTATTTTAGGTATGGATATGGATAAATTATATAATTTATTTTTTTGGTATACGGTGTTTATACTCTATTATAAATACTCTGCACAGAGTATTTGGTTTCGACTTAATAAAACAATAATATAAAACTCTGCTTTCAGCTCTTAAATATCAGACTGCCCGAGGCTTTGGCCTCATGCATGCAAACATTAAATATGTACATACATATACGCATATTTTAAAGTACCTAGAGTGGGATTACATTTTCAACCGCCCTACTCCCGGCAGCTGGTGAAGCAAAATATAAAGCTATGACAACAAATCTGACAGCTCACAGCTGGACAAACACAATAATGGACGCAATGGCAAGCAACTAAACCACCTGCGTCTGGACGGGAAGATTTCCTGTTCCGGCTGTCACCTTGTTGCGTTTGCGGCAACTTTTGTGCTTGACACTGAAGTCCGGCAATGGCGGGCGGACAATCAAAGTGCAACGAGACAAGAGAGTTAAAAGTGGCAGGCGCATAAAGCAGCAACATAACAAACGATACGACAGCAAAGAGTGCGGGGGGTGGGGCAGGGGCAGTTCCGTGTGGTGTATGCAACAGCCACAAGCCAAACAAGCGGCAAACAGCAGAAAGAAATTACAAGCAGCAGAAGACACAACAAAGTTGTCGACATTCGTTTGCCAGTTTCCATTTCTGCAGCAGCGACTGCTGGACTCACTTTTGTTGCATGTGGCATGTGGCATGCGGCACGCGGCATGCGGCATGCGGCATGCGGCATGCATGGCTTAGATAACAGTTTGTGGCCACAGCTCCTGCCAAATTCAACAAATATTAGCTGCTAAACAAGCAGTTGCATATTTTGTTGCTTTTTTCTTTGTGTTTTACTCAAAATTTACAATTACATATGCAATGCCAAACAAAAGACAAAAGCGCAGCGCGTTCTGAATTTAGTGCAAAGCGAGAAAGAAAAGATTGAAGTGCTAAAATTGTGAATAACCGACTATGAGATACCCTGGCTCTTACAATCACTGAGATATGAGATATTAAAGGTTCCATTCAGGTATAAAAACCCAAGTTATTCTTTATATGGTTACCAATACGAAAAATGAATTTAAAAATTTAAGTATTTACTTTATGGAGCCGCAGGTATCTCCACACATTACATACATATCCATTTAAAAGTACGCGGTATGAAAAACACAAGAAAGAATTGGCATAAAATGTAAAAATGAAATGCAACAAGCAAAAAAAGCTTTTGCTTCGTTAAGTTTTTAGCGTTCATGTGAAAACATCAACAACAACAACAATAATGTGTTAATGTGCACACAGAAACACACACACACACATGCATATACAGAGGCGCACATTGCCATTGGCAAATACTCAAGCACACACACACACACAAACACACACACACACGCGCGAACGCATGTGCAAATGTAGCCGCAGTAAATGCAGAACACACGCGACAAATGCTGGAGAAGGAGAGGCGTAAAGAACGAGAAAGGAAAACAGAATTTTGTCGAAGCAACGTTTCAGCAGGCGAACATGATAAGCAGCGCGATAGAAGGCGGCAGCGTGGGAGGGATGGCGAGAGGGGGGAGCCAGCATGGAGACGTTGCCGAATGCAAATGCAATAAAATAAAATAAGAAATGCGCTTCACGACCAAAGCAAAATGCAAACGAATATGAATGCGAATGCGAATGTAAATGCGAATGCGAATGCGAATATGTGGCAAATTTAATGCGAATGAAGACGGGTGCTCGAATTCACGGGATGCCGCAGAGTACAGGTTAAATCGAACAGATTCATGGGCTGCTCTTGATAACGATAAGTTGCGAGTTTTTTGAACTGTGATACGCTT